ATAGATCTTATAGCTATTAAGGCTTCCCTTATAGCCTACTACTATTTTATTACTTCTAGGACTATTATAGGCTAACTAGTACTAAGCCTTTAAAGTATTACCTTTTAAAGGTATTATAGTAAGCCTTTTATAGTTATAAGTTATAAGGCTTTATAGGTCTTATAGCTACTAAGGCTCTTTTATAGCTTACTACTATTTTATTACTTTTAAGACTATTATAAGCTAATTAGTACTAAGCCTTTAAGGTATTACCCTTTAAAGGTATTATAATAAACCTCTTATAGCTATAAGTTATAAAGCTTTATAGGTCTTATAGCTATTAAGGCTTCTTTATAGCTATAATCTTATAAAAGCTTAAGCCTTTATAAGTTTATTACTATTTTATTACTTTTAAGACTATTATAGTTAATTAGTATACTTAGTACTAGTATAGTACTAGTATAGTATACTTAGTACTAGTATAGTACTAGTATAATACTAGTATAGTATACTTAGTATTAGTATAGTATTACTATAATATACTTAGTACTAGTATAGTACCTAGTATAACTTAGCTAATAGTCCCTTATATATCTTATAGCCTTTAGGATAAGGTATCTTTATTAAATATAGTTTATAATATAACTTTTATTTTTTATAAAATTTATTTATATAGGTTTTTAAGTTAAATTACCTTATAAGTAAAAAGTAGAAAATATAGTAATTATAAAGCCCCCTATATAATAGTAAGGCCCTTTATATAATAATAAGCTACCCTATACTTAATATAACTATAAGCTACCTTATACCTAGTATAACTATAAGCTACCCTATACCTAAAAGAAAAAGGTAACTTAGGTATACTAATAGGTACTATTATACCTATTAGTAAGTAGGAGAATTAGGCTACTATTATAGTATATTATAGTAGCTATAGTAGTTACTACTTTTCCTTATAGTTATTATTTTATTCTTTATAGTTATTATTTTATTCCTTATAGTTATTTCTAGTTATTTTTCCTAGTTAATATAGATTAAGTAGGAGTAATAATAAATAGCTTTAAAGCTAGAAGAATAATCTCCTATTACCTAGTATATCTAGCACTTACCTATACTATATAACTAGATAGAAGTTATATAATATAATAACCTTACCTCTTACCCTATATATGCCCTGTTAGCCTTAATAAAGAGTAGCTATAAGGCTTAGTAATCTTAAAGAACTAGGTTTAAGAGGGAGAGATATAGGGAATTTAATTAAGAATTTAGCTTTTTTCTTTTTTTCTTTTACTATTTAATAAAATATAGTAAATTACTTTACTATTTTATAAAGATAAGAAGATAAATTACTATTAGATAGGATAAGGATATTATTATTATAGCTTCTATTATCTAATAAGGATATTACTATTTAGATAGCGGCACCTATAGGCTATATAGTGGCTATAGGCTATGTGGCCCTATACACCACTAGATAGGTAGCTAGCATAGGGTAGGGCCTAGGAATATTATCTTCATTCTGTCACACACACTCACACCTAGGAACACTTGATGGCTATTCTGACGAGTTGCCTGATCTGGAGGAGTCGGTACATCTATGCAATGTGCTGATTTCGAGACTATGAGCCTCGTTCTGTTATTTCTTGGCGATGGTTGCATGTAAAAGAGTTATTATCAGCAAGTCAGCCGACGAAGCTGCGGCGAAGTATAAGAAGGTGCTGCAATCCGCCTCAGTATTCCCTTCCAACCATTAGAATCAACCACAGCCTCATCTCAGCTTCTTTCTTACACTCCCAACTTTCCCTCAAACTCAAGTTAAACCCCTGAAGACAACATGTCTCTTTCTGCAGCTTTGCTCTGCCTGCTGGCCAGCCAAGCAGTGGCGGCCCCTGCTGGCGGCCAAGACGCCGCGCCCGTCGTCCAAGACGGCATCTTCCAGCTGCCCGTCTTTACCGTCTCGGCCGAGGAAGAGCTTGCCGCCAGCGCCGGCACCACAAAGCGCCAGGTGTCTGCCGGTCTGGACAATGTCAAGTTTGGCGCTCGGCCGGCTGTGGCCCTGGGCACGACCATCATGGTCGGCACGCCGCCGCAAAAGGTCATTCTCGAGCCCGACACCGGATCGTCGCAGCTGTGGGTGCCCGGCTCGCATGCTGCGCAGCCGCGTGTGGGCGACGAGTCCGTCTACTTTGACAGAGACGCGAGCACCTCGCTGAAAGACTTGAAGAAGCCATCAGCGGCATCCTATGGAGATAAGGAATGGGTCCTTATGAACATGGTCAATGACAATGTCGCCATCGGCGGTAAGGACAAAATTAGCCCCCCCCCCCCGCGGGTGATTTTGAAAGGGATGAGTGGCTGACTAGACAACGTTTAGGCAAGTCAATGGACAAGCTGAACTTTGGCATTGGCAACATGACGAGCCCTCACACTACGCTGGGTCGCCTTGTCGGCGTCATGGGTCTGCTGCCCCCGAGCAAGGCGAATAAGGATGTTGACTTTGTCCCCCAGAAGCTGCTCGACAAGAAGCTTGTCAAGACTCGCGCCTTCAGCATGGGGTTGCGCAAAAAGGGCCAGGGCCTGCTCACTTTTGGCGGCTACGACACGAGCAAGTTCTCCGGGTCCCTCGAGAAGCTGCCCCTCCAGCTGACCAAGTCAAGACAGTAGGTTCCCAAGCCAAGGAGCTCCGTAGTTTCCGTCTACTCATTGCAGTTCTAACCGTGGTGGTAGCTATGTCGTCTCGGTCAAGTCTCTTTCGTTTACCGCCAGCAAGGGCGGCAGCAGCGAGACCGTGCTCGACGACCAGAGCATCAAGAAGCCCTTGACGATTGGCATCGACTCTGGCTCGCCCGCGCTGGCCCTCAAGAGCACCCTCCTCACAATCATCCAGGACAAGCTCCAGGGCAAGCTCACGGGGGGTCTGCTGCAGGTGGGCTGCGACGTCGTCGACGCCAACGCGCAGCTCGACTTTAACATGTCGGACAGCACAACGATCTCGGTGCCACTGAGCGACATGGTGATCAAGAAGATTGACAATGACAAAAACTGCCTGCTGGCTATTCAGGCCAATGACCAAGTGCCTGCCGGTAAGAAGAGCCCCCCCCCCTCCCCTTTTTTGGTGACACGCCCCAGACGGGAAAGGTGTTGGTTGATTTTCTGACTTGGCAATAGAGTTGTGGATTGGTGGTCACTTTTTGCGCCGATCGCTCGTCGTCTACGACCCGGATGATAGCTGCATCTATGTCGCCCGCGGCGCCGACTGCGGCACGAGCCTGGTCGCGATTGATGGCAAGATGCCGGCCGCGGCGGTCAAGGGCAAGTGCAGCGAAGAGGCAGTCGTCGCTGAGAAGCCCGATGCTGGTGCAGCGGCGAGCATTGCGGCTCTGACTCCGGATCAGCTCTCCGCCCTCCTGGACCCGCGCATTGACGTTGAGGAGTAGTCACTAGTAGAGTGATGGAAAGGAGGGTGCATGAAGAAGGAGTGTGATTCGTCGAATGGGGGCATTTGGTCATGGATGAAAGGACATTACTTTTCGTTTGACAATGCTTATCGAGATGCTCAGAATCCACTCGCATAGTTGGAAATTAAGATCCCTGAATCTTAAAATTGGTAGTGAATTTTACTCTTGTGATGCTCAACGCCGCGACTCAGTGAACCGGCTAGATAGATAGGTCTAAGGTACTTTATTAAAAAGGGTTACTTAGAAAAGAACGAAAGGGAATTGAAATTAAAAAGATTAAAAAAAGAAAAAAAGAATAACAAGTTGTATAAGAAGGATACGTAAATACAACTAGAAAATAAAACAAGTTAAGAACTAGCAACAAGATAGTAAGCATCGTCAACTTATTCCGGGCTCGCACCACGAGCCGCTTAGACGACAGTTGCGGCCATTTGCCAAACCCAACTCCCATTGCTTGACACGATGAGCTACTTAATCTCACCCAACATACTCACCTCTTCATATAAACCGGCAAGACGAAAAAACATTTCCGTTCTTAATGGCTTCGTCGGACCACTTCTCGTCCGCTGCACATCACCGCCCCACATTGCCGCCATTAAAATCGCGATGAGAAAGCTTCTCAACTTTTATTCACCGTTGTCAACCTCCTCACTTCCCCTGAAACCAAAGGACTCATCTACGCTTCTCTCGCGAGGACCGAAACTGCTGTCAGAAGTACATAAAAAAAAGTCTACCGCGCGGCAAACCACGGCACCAGCATCATGAGCGTCAGCGACGCCGACAAGCTCATCACCTCGGACGACCAGGACCACCCCGCCAACCTCATCCCCGCGCTCTGCGCCAAGTTTTGGACGCTCGGCTGGGTGACGGGCACCGGCGGCGGCTGTTCCATCCGCGATGAGTGCGTTATCCCCCATCCCTCAACCGCGTCCTCTTTCCCCCGTCCTCACCCGCGGCCCCCTCTGCCCCTCCCCCGCTCTGCACAAAGTACACACATGCTAACCGCGCCCCCAAAAAGCGACCTCGTCTACCTCGCGCCATCCGGCGTGCAAAAGGAACTCATGAAGCCGGCCGACATTTACGTGCTGTCGCTGTCCGCGCAGGACCCGACGCAGCCGCTGCGCAGCTACCTGCGCAGCCCGCCGTCGTACCGGCCGAGCCAGTGCACGCCGCTGTTCCTCGCCGCGTTTACGCGCCGCGGCGCCGGCTGCTGCATCCACACGCACTCGCAGTGGGCCGTGCTGGTCACGCTGCTGCTGGAGCAGCACGAGGAGGCGAACCGGAACGTGTTCGAGGTCAACAATATCGAGCAGATCAAGGGCTTTGGGCGCGGCCCGGGCAGGGCCGGCAACCTCGGCTACCACGACACCCTCCGCATCCCCGTCATTGAGAACACGCCCCATGAGGAGGACCTCACTGAGTATCTGGAAGAGGCCATGGAGGCGTACCCGGACACGTACGCCGTGCTGGTGCGCAGGCATGGCGTGTATGTGTGGGGGGATAACGTGCACAAGGCCAAGACACAGTGTGAGAGGTACGTTGAACTTTTTTTTTTTTTTTTTTTGAAATTGGAGACCGGATGGTCCCCTATTTGTACTGCATAACTAACAAGAAGCGTGTGCGTTGGATATAGTCTGGACTACCTCTTCCAGCTGGCCGTCGAGATGAAGAAGCTCGGCATTCCCTGGATCAGTGACATTCCTCGTATCGCTGCTGATAGGACGTAACATGGCCACATTTCTGCCATGTACTTTGTTTTTGGAGCAGCAAGGGGAGTCAATGAGGAGATTTATCAACAAAAAGCGTTGCGTTGTGGTTGAAAAGGGGTCCCGCCTTCAACAGGGTAGGGACAGGCGTCTTTTGTTATTAAAGTCGTCATTATATAATGTTTCGGGGAATCCATGTCTCATCATGAGGAAAAAAGACACACTCTTTATAATTCATCCTTTTCATGGACAGGCTCCGCATTTGTGCTGTCGTCGTCGCCTCTGTCCTCCACCCCTCGCGCCTCGTCATCCGCCGGCTGTTTCTCCGCCACCGGCTCCGTCACCGTTTCTTGTCCGGCCTCGACCTCTTCCACGGCCTGCTTCACAGCCTCGTCCACAACATCCTTGACATGGTCCTCCACCACCTGACTACCCACCTTGGCCGTCGGCAGTGCCTCACCCGGCAAGCCCTGCACCGATACCCTCTCCCCACCGCCGTCAGCACCACTCTGCACCACCGCCGCCGACTGCTTCCCCGCCGGCAAGACGGCCCTCGTCGCTGTCTTGCCGATGCCGAGAAGTATCCGCAGCGGCACCAGCACCAGCCACCACAGCGGACCGTACAGCAGCCGGCGAAACGCGAGCCACGCGAGCGTCACCGCGAGCATGTAAAACGCCGTCTGCAGGTACCACGTGTCGCTCTTTTGCGAGCGCAGCAGCGTGCCGAGCAGCTCCCGCGACTTGCCCAGCATCGAGTCGAGCGAGCCGTAGCTGTCGTCGAGCTGCCGCAGCGCGGCCGTGGACTCAACGAGCGTCTCGTGCGCGTACGCGCTGCGCCCGAGCTCCGACGCGATGAGGTCGTGCGCGCGCCGCAGCGAGGCCGTCACGTTGCTGCTCGCGCCGACCGTCTGCTGGTCCGTCTCGCTCAGGCCCGACCGGTTCTGGAGGATGCTCCGCGGTTGCTGGTAACGGGTGGTGGTGTGTTGCTGGGCGGCCGGCTCGTCGGTCTCGTTTTGCGGCTCGAAGTCGGGGACCGGTGCGGAATAGGATTGGAGGAGGAGCCGTCGCTCCAGCTTCTGCGCCTCCACCAGGCTCTTCTTTGCCTGCAGTCGTGCTTTTCGAAACGCCGCCCGATATCTACCCAACCGTATTAGCAGGTCCGTACAAAATGCCTAGCCGTAGACGTTTTCTTTCAAACCGTACTTTGCCAGATCCGCGCCTACGCGCACCACCCCATCCACCAGCCGCTCCTTCTCGTGGCCTTCCGGCCGCGCATAGCTCGCCTCGGCCCGCAGCAGCTCCTGCTCCTCGGCGCCCGTCTTGAGGCGCAGCCCAATCTCGGCGCTCAGCTCCCCGCTGACACTGTCCTCTTCCTCCGTGCCGAGCGGGACCGAGCCCGGCTCAAAAGTGAGGTGTGCGAGGCGGTCGACGAGTGCCGGGAGCTGGGCCGACGACGCCTGGAGGGCCATCAGGCGCTCGTGCAGCCCGGCGAGCGACATGCCGTGTGTGGTGTTGGGGCAGAGGTAGGATAGACTAGTGAGAATGGTTGAAAAGTATCCGAGGCACGGTATGCATTCAGTATGGCTCGGTTCGGTTTTTTTTCTCTCGGTTTGTAGAAATTTGTTAACAAGATGGACTGAGCTTCTAGCTGTCCTCAGTGACGAAATGGCCAGGGAAGTGGTGGAGCTCGGCTCACCCCTGCAGTGCGAAATATGCAACAACCGGGGGTGTCGCCCAAATTTCGAGATCAAACCTCGAAAGGGACCAGCTCCACGAGCCCATCTCTCCCAATTGACGCAATCTCGCCAGCTCAGCCCCGTCATCATGATTACCAAATTCATGACCGAGATCACGGCGCGCTTCAATCCCTTTTCTGCGTGCGCCAAGCCCGCGCGGCTGTTCCTGACCCTGCTGCCGCCCAACCTGCGGACGAGCGGGACGACGATCAATACAACGCTGCTGCCGCGGACGTCGACGGAGCCCAGCTCAGTCGCCGTCAAGTTTAGTACGTCGACGGCGAGATGCGCTGAATGTTATGCTAGGAGCCGTGCTAATCATGAACCTGCAGAGGACGGCAAGGAACTCCAGTTCAACACGAGCAAGGTCACCATCAAGGGCCTGGTGGAGGAAATGGACCGACACTCGCGCCAGCTACAAAAGAAGGCCGATCTGACGGATTAAGCCCCTGTACACTACGAGCACATATACTTTGCATTTCTCAACGGCGTTATACGGGAGCGATACAGAAGCGCCCTGCTAGCAACACATGGGCACGGGGCAATGTACGATATCTAGAGGACCAAAACTTTTTAAATTTATTGCTAGAGGCTTTTACTCTGGCGTCACATTACCATGGCTACATGATCCCCTTTGCTAGACTTGCATCAGATTTAAGCAGAGGCGCCACTAATGAAGAACCACTTGTCAATGGAGCTGTCAATCTTCTCAGGAGGAATCTCCTGGTTGGCAGGCAGAGGAGGGAGCTGGTCGGGAGTGATGCGGGCAGGAGAACGAGAGACGGTAACGTTGGCACTGTAATTATTAGCATTGTCGGCCAAGCATAAAAAAATGTGAAGCTTACATGGAGACATCGCCAGCGGCGGTCTTGCCGGTGATCAGGCGCTCCCAGGCCTCGCCGCACTCGCGGATGACATCGAGGGCATAGCTAGGGAAAGTCAGCAATGAATATACACGCATAGCCAAAGGTGATGCTTACGCCTTGTTCTTGCACTCGCCGGAAAAGGCAAACTGGTTCTCGGGCTTGCCGTCAGGAATCTTGTAGATGCGGAACCACTCGTTGGTGGCGCGGAGGAGGCCAGGGAGGTGGCGCTCGACATCCTCAACGTCGTTGAGCTTGGGAGCAAGAGGGTCGTTGACATCAATGACAATGACCTTCCAGTCAGTCTCCTCCTCGTCGAGAAGAGCCATGACACCGAGGACCTTGACCTGCTTGACCTGGCCGGGGTAGCCGACAAGCTCGCCAATCTCGCAGACGTCGAGAGGGTCGTTGTCACCCTTGGCCTTGGTCTCGGGGTGGATGACGTTGGGGTCCTCCCAGGTCTGGTTGAGGGTTTCGCGTGTTAGTCTAGGTGTAAGGTTATGATGACGGCGGGGGGGGGTGTTGGCGTACCTGGGGGAAGGCACCGTAGTTCCAGAGGTAGCCCTTGTGGGGGAAGCAGTTGCGCACAAAACGAAGCTTGCCCTTCTTGATGTCCTGCTTGATGGGGTTAAGCAGCTCCTCCTTGGAAATCTGTTGGAAAATCAAACTGTCAGCTATGCTGTTGGGGTGCCAATGCCGTTGCGTCATTTCACCGCGGGGTTAAAAAAAAAACGCGCTGGTCGGGCACACGACCACGACCCAACTTGACGGCAGAACACAGCACACAAAACATACCTCGAGCTTGCCATTGGTCCAGCGCGGGATCTCAACAATCATGTTGAGGATAGTCTGCTCCTGGTTGGCGTACAGGGGAATGTCGTGGAAGGGGGAGACGGGGACGCCATCCTTCTCAATGTAGACTCGGTGCTCGAGGGTGTTGGGAGCGGCAATCTTGCGGACCGCGTACGGGGACACCATCGTGGAGAGTGAGCGGTGCGTCGTGCGCGGCGCGGGGTTCTGGAGGTGGTTTGCGATTTGCGAGGTTCGCAGAAGCGATGTGGAAGAGGAAGAGGAGGGGAAGTGAGGAGGAGAAGAAGCTGCAGAGAACTTGGTAGTAGGACCTCGACCGCCCGATGGAGGGGGCGGGGCACCCAGACCCATTCTTGCGGCGAGGCGAGTGGCCGTACAGCCAGTCACTGCAGCACCAGTGCAAAGCCTACGCCGTCCTGCGCAGGCGCTGGCAGCGTGATTGGTCCGGCTTGGCAGAGGCCACAGGCGGCGTAAGGCGTGATGCGGGAGGCTCGTCGCGGTTTTCATGGGAGGGGACGGACCCGGGCGAGAGGGAAAAAAGAAGAAGAAGAAGAAGAACACACACAACAACCGTCAAGGCGCAAATGTAGTGCCGGAGGAGGCTTAACCACTCTCAGGGTTCTGCCGGTCAATTGCGGAAGAGAAAAGGGTGCTGCGGCGCAAAAAAAAGGCTGTTGGCCGAGGCTGTTGTGCAATTGCGTCCAGAAAAGACCAAGCGGCAAAGAGGATTGGCGGTTGGCATCTGAAAAGACAAGACGCTTTCCCTTGCACCAGCCGGGGCGATACGAAGATGCCTCGGAACTGCAGAATAGGGGCGGTATTTTTTAGCGGATGGGGCGCGCCCGCCGAGGCCGCTGACGCCGCTGCACAACGCTGCGGCTTGTCGCCCTCAGGCATTGATTGAACGGACCCTTGAGGCTGAAAACTGGCGCGATCCACGCTAATAACTTGATATCTGAGATAAGGCAATTTGGCCGCTACATAGGACGGACAATCACACACAACACCATCATTTACGCAAATGCACAGAGAACAACAGACATTACATAATTCATAGCCCCATTCCTATCAAAATCATGGACAAATCATATACTCCGTTGAAACAGCTGCCCTCCAAATCAAAACGCGAAACCAGTTACAGGTAATCCTCTCAAAACAGTAGCATCCGGTATCAATCAGGCAAAACTCGGCATTGCTCCTATTACGCTGCAGTGGGCTTTTCAGTAGCCGCATCATGCACCTTGAGCTCAGGGGCCTTGGTCTGCTCCTCAGTATCGACGCCGCTATGGGCCTCGGCGGTTCCGGAACCAGCACTCTCCGCGGCGTAGTGGTCCGTCTCTGGCTGCCAGTCGCGGAGGTCGTCCTCGGCGTCGTTGAGCACCTGGCGGGCCTGGCTGCCGTGGTGGTAGACGGGCTTGGCATCACCAGGGACAACGGGCGTGTCATCGAGAAGCTGGAGCAGACGGCGACCGTGCTTGGCCAGGATAATCTGCTTCTCGGCGCGCTCAATGGTGGCGGCAAACTCGGCCTCGTAGGCTTCCTTGAGCTTCTGGCGAGTCTGTGGCCGGCGACGTTAGTACGGCTCCGTAATGGACAATGACATAATCGTGGTTTCAACGTACGACATTGGTGAGTTGAGCCTCAGCGACGAGGTTCTCAGCCTCGGCGCGGACAAGCTCCTGCTCAAGAACGACCAGCTTGGCGCTCTCGGGTTCCTTGAGCTTCAGACGCTGAATCTCGTCGGCAATCTTGGCCTTGCCGTCGCGGCTGGGCTGCACGCTCTTCTCCGTGTTACGGATAGCCTTGAGGTAGCCGCGCGAGTCGTCAATGGCGTGGGCGTATGAGTCTTCCTGCTCGCCAATCTCGCTGAGGATGACGCCAACTTTGTCCGAGACGTCGCTGATGGCATCGTCGCCCGTGTGCTCGCCCCACTCGGACAGCTGCGTGGCAATCGAGACGCGCTCGCGACCGGCCGCCTCGTGGGCGTTGATCAGGTTGTTCTCCGACTTGATGAGGCGGAAGAGCTTCTTGGACAGCTCAGGCTGCACGGTACCGCGAAGCGAGTTGAGCGAGAAGCCGCCCATCTTGCTGCTGCTGCCGCCGCCGGAGCCTGAGCCCTTGTTGGAGCTGCCGGAGCGGATCGAAAAGGCGCGATTCCTGGGGGAGGGTCCCGTGTCAGTCAGGGGGTCACTATGGGAGGAGGATCGTCGGCTTGAGAAGAGGCGCATGAGAGCGGCGTCGTCGAAGCTGCAACGGGGCATAGTTTGGACCAGGCAAAGTGCCAGGCTAGAGTAGAGGGTGGGTGGGTAAAGAGAACTCTTAAGAGCTGTAACGACTTACATTGTGAAGGAGGTACCGTGAAAGGGTCAAAGAAAGCTGCCGCGTGTTAGTAAAGAGCTGTCTCGCTGGGTGGCGGAAGCTGCGGGCGGCTCGGCTTTGCGCAGTCTTCAGCGCGGCAGGAAGCTGATCCCAGGGCAGCGCGGGCAGTGGCGACTTACTTGAGGCTTACTAGTGAGCTCTCGAAATGATTGTGTAGCAAAGTATGTCTTACGGGCGAAGTAAGGATGAAGCTTGGGGTAAAAAATGTCGAGCTCAACGTGCAGGTGCAGATGTGATCGACAACGATGGCGGAGCCCAGCTGTGCAAGGCTACGGGCGCGTATTTAAGAAGAGGTGGACAATGAGTAAAGTAGGGATGCAGCTATGACGAGGCTAGGGCGGCGCCAGCTCCAACAGTTTGCCAGGTAGGGTAGGCAGTTAGAGACGGATTGAAACTTGGCTAGGAGTGGCGGCTAGTAGATGAACGCAGCGGCCTTGGTTCTTGCTGAAGGCGTAGGCGAGGGGGATGTTGTCATGATGTCATCCAACGCCCCCCCCCCTTTCGTTCACGGCAAAAGCCAGCAAATGACTGCGAACCCCGCCCCCGCCTACCGTTATTAGCCTGCGGTACGTCCGACTCAACTGGACAACTTCACAGCCAATGCTGCCTGCGACCTGGAAAAAGCCTTGATAATTGAGGTCCATTTCTTCGGCGCTCGCGAGAGCTTGCTTGGATAATTGCCACAACAAGTGACTCAATGTCATTCTATTCTCCCGCCCATCATGTAGGCGGGCGCTTACATCCGTGCGACACAAGTAGCACCAGCATCTCGGTCACGGAGCAAGCACGATAATCGAGCAAGGGTACAGAGATAAAAAGTCGACTTGAATGATGTAATATCATCTAATCTGTTAAATTCTGACCAGAGCCGTCTTCATTTCCCGCCTTGAGCTTGTCTTGCGTCATGGCCAACGGCCCCGTAATTCTCACAAACCTACTTGTATATACACCAGAGACATGCCACAACGCCAATCCCGCCCAGGAAGCCGAAAAGGAAAAAAGGTAGAATGCTATTCTGTGAGGGGTGCCTGATCTCTCCTAATAGAAAACGCAAATTTCTGTCGTGTGTGTGTGTGTGTGTGTGTGTGTGTGTGTATGATTGGTGCGCTCATGGATACGCGTCCTCATCAACCCTTCAACTTGGACTCAACGCCGCTTAAAAACCACCGCCATGATGCCCACCACCGTGATGACCCCCTCCGCCATGATGCCCACCACCGCCATGATGCCCGCCAAAACCACCACCCCCGCCATGATGCCCTCCATGATGCCCGCCGAAACCACCACCACCCCCGCCATGGTGATGTCCGCCGCCGTGATGGCCCCCGAAACCACCACCACCCCCGCCCATCGGGCCCATGTTCATTCCCATGCCGCCGCCGCCGCCAGGACGTCGTCCTCCGCCCAGCAAGCCGCCCAGCATGCCCAGGCCACCACCGCCTCCCGGCCGGCCACCACCGCCCCCGAGCATGCCCATGCCGCCGCCGCCGCCGTTGTTGTACTTGTTGTACTGGCCACCGCCGTAACCACCACCTCCGTAGTATTGTCCGCCGCCGCCGCCGTACGGTCGTGCCGGGATGACGTCGTCACCGTAGTTGCGTCTTGAGCCGCCGAAACACATGGCTGCTGCGATGTGGTGGTGTGTGTTTGTGATTGGGATGAGTGTAGGTGCCAATGTTCAATGCGAGTGACAATGCGAAAGAATGCTCTAGTGGGTGGTGTGTAGAGAAAGTATGGAAGAAACAGGGCCGATTATGTGTCAATGAGACGTCCAGCACCAGCTTATATATTTATATATACTGACAACTACCAGCTTTTTGCACTGCGCGGAATTCGCTTCCTTCAGAGTATACGTCAACCATGCTGTCGTACCCTCACTTGCACCAACAAGCTGATGCCAAGCCACCGGCTAAAAGTGTGGCGCGGTCGCCCCCCGTCATTCGTCATGCCATGCCATCGTCACTGGCTCCCAGTCATCGCTGCTCGCCTAGACGCTAGTGAACAGAGCCTGGATTCAAAACCCAGGCCTATTCCCGGACAACTTCGCTCATTGGTCTGTTTCAGCCAGACTTTTCATTTCAAGGCTATCAGTTTTGCATTTTACAATGGTACAGAGTCTCTATATTGCCCTCATCTCTCAGATTCCCCTTTTCACATGTGTCTACCGCCTTTCTGCCCTTTACTTCTTGTCAAATCCAACCTTGATGTTACCAATGGCCCACGCCGTGAAAAACAGAGACACAATGCTCGCGAAAATCACAACCGGCTTGCGCAGCGACGAGAGGAGTGTCACGTCATAAGAAATGATGAGGTGGCGGTCGCGGAATTCGTCCACCAGATTTACTGCCTTAATCGTGACCGACGTGCGGCCGACAGTATCCAAATACGTCTTCACAACGTCCACAGACGTCTCGACAATCGACGACTGGGGGACATCGGTGAAGAACTTGACGTTCCTGCCCAAAAGTTAGCATACGAATGACCCAGTAAGTATCATCATCACCCACTCAGCACCCTCGGGCAGAAGAACACGTAGGTTGATGCGGCTATACTCGACACCCTCGGCCTGCTTGGGGCCTTCCAGGAAAGGCACCTTGAGCACAGTGCCGCCAGCGGCCGTGCGGCGTAAGATGCTGGCCGCATTCATGTTCCAGCCAATTGTAAAGGGGTACTTCCAACCGCCAAAGATGGGGTAGCGGGGCTTCAGCTCAAGGAGCGCCTCGCGCTTGTTGCTCCTAAACCGCGAAGTAGACACGTTGCCAATGACATCGGTAAAGTAAGGGTCCACCGCGCCAATCTGGAGAGGCACGCGGAGCTCCTTGAGCGCCGCCGTGGAGCCGCGGTTAAAGTACTGCGACTGCGTCCACTTGGCCCGGTTGAACGGAGCCGAGAGGTTGGCGCCGCGGTGCTCCAGCGTGTAGTGCTCCTCAAAGGCGACGTTTCCGCCCCAGTGGCTGACCTCGACCTCGCGCTCCAGAGCCGAGATGTGGGTGACCGGCTTGGCGAACTCGAAGCGGATCTGGGCGGGCGACACGGCACCAGCGGGCTGCTCGTCAAAGGGCCCGTACGTCAGCTTGGTGCCCTGCTTCTGGGGGAACTTGTCGACCTTGGTGTAGTCGGGGATCGTGGCGGATGCTGACTTGACTTCCGTCTTTTGCTTGCTCGTCTTGTAGGCCGACGGGGCAAAGACGGAAAAGTCGTGCACCAGGTATTGCGTTTCGTCCTGTTCAATCATCGCCGGGAGCGGGCGGTACGCGTCGAGGTAGAAGTAGGTGATGCCGAGGGTTTGCTGTGCACCAGCCTTTAGAGGCTTGGGGAGGCGAATTCGGTAATATTGGGTATCGCTGAGGGACGTCATGGTCAGCATACACTGAGAAACTGGGTGCAGAAGCGAGTAGTATCCTACCTGTTGGGGTCGTATTCAACCACCTCGACTGCAAACGGGCCTGCCTGGTCATCCTTGCGGTCCTTAACCTCGAAGCCGCCGACACGGCCCATCTGCGACGAGGTAAAGGGGACATAGTATTCATCCTGCGGTTCCTTGGACACATTCTCAATGGCCACATTGATCTGTTCCTTGGCGTAGTTCTTCTCGAGCGAGATGACGTGCACCAGGTTGGCATTCTGGAAGACCTGGGGAGGCTTGAAGTCGGCGGGCAGCTTGGCGCTCTGGGAGGACGCGGCAGCCATGACGGGCGACAGCAGGCCGGCAACGGCCGCTGCGACGGACAAGAGCTTCATGATGGCGATTGGCGAGCGCGGCTGTTCATTGACTTTGCGCAGTGCCGTGTACGTGGAGGGACAGTGCTTCTCAGTCGTGGACTCTTGAGGATGGCCGTCTAATTATTAAAGGCATACGTTGCTCCTTGAGTCGCAGTAGCTCCCCTGTTAGCTCCTGGCCAATCACAGCCTGCTGGCCGCCAGGTACAGGCAGAACATTGACCCGCTTCCGATTTCCAGCGATCACTGAGCCATGGATGGAAACTTACATTAGCTTCTTCTTATTATTATTACCTCATTAATTCTTTTAAAGGTCCGGATAGCCTGAAAATGAAATAGTTTTGGTCCTGCCTGAAATGGTGCCCCGAGGTACATTCTTCATCACCCAACTGGCTCCTTTTATAAGGCATGTACCTGCCTACCTAGCTAGTAGTTACAGCACTCACCTCCACTGCCCAGATCAACTCTGTCAGGAACTACCAGCTCTGCTGAACAGAAAAAGAGCGTGGCCATGGAGCTTTTCCGCATACTTGAGCAGATGAGGGAATTACAGCTCCTTTTAAATTACATAGGCTGTTGTGGCGGCAGTGGGATTCGAGATCCTGGACCGCGTTTCACCCACCATGGAACGCACACCTTTCACTACCTACCTAGCAACCTAGGTACCAAAGCACAATTCAACAGGCATATGGACTCTTCGCTCTAAATGGGAAAGAACACGCACACATAATATTTTCTGAGCAACACCCCGTTGAACTAGTTACATACACTGCCATGTCTCAATGGCGACATACCTAAAGTATCAAGTTATAGCGGCGACAACCATGCCCTTCAGCCCGTAGGTTGTATTGCTCTTCGGATAAATAACCGCTATGAAATAGCCTTAGTAGTACGTTTCGACTCATTGCTGGCAGCTGAGCTCGAAGTCTCGGTTGACGAATACGCTGTTGACGGCCACTAACTGAGTTTCTCCAGAGGAACTCCCTGGTATTCATCGTATCCGAGCGCGAGATTCATGTTCTCTATATTGGTGTTAGCGGAAGGACAAGGTACTTTTTTCATCAAATCACGCATCACTTACGCAAGCACTGGGTAGCAGCACCCTTGTTGAGGTTGTCAATGGTGGCACAACTACCACATATTAGCTACACAGAATCGTGTGTGACTCAAAGGAGAAGACTTACACGACGACGCGCTGGCCAGTGCTATCAACAGCGAAACCACCAATCTCAACACCGTGCTTGTTTTGGATGGCCCTGACAAGCGGCGCTTCGCCGACAACTTTGACAAGCTTCTCGCCCGCATACCGGTCTTGGAAGATTTGGCGGATATCGCGAGAGGTCATTGTCTTATTCAAGGGGACATTGATGGTCAGATGAATGCCACGGAACCACGAGGCGCTGGATCTTCGTCAGTATTGTAGATACAGACAAAAAACGGAGAAGAAGGAGAAACAACGGACCAATGGGGAATAAAAGCGGCCGAAATACCAAGCTGGTGGTTGATTTCCCGCTCGTGCATGTGACCAATTAGACTGTCTGACAAGATATTAGCTTTTGTAACAAGACACTCGCGACATGTCTATTCTTACAAGGCAGAAGGTTATCATGGAGCAGGGCAAGGTCGTTCTTCGGAGAGGGCTTGGTGCCAGCTCCGCTGTAGCCCGATACACCAAAAATGCTGGGCGAGTCACCCAGATGCTCCAGGATGGGGTTGAGAGCCAGCAAGGCGGCCGTGGAGTAGCACCCAGGTGTGCTGATGCGCGTCGACTGGGCAATCTTGGGCCGTGCCAGCAGCTCAGGAAGGCCATACGCCCACGCGTTATCAAATCGGTAGTCGGCCGAAATGTCCACGATGACGCTGGGGGTCTGGCCCAGCGCCTCGATATACGGCTTGCAGACGCCGTTGGGGAGGGCCATGATCCAGCAGTCGACCTGGCCGTTCTTGTCCAGGCGGACGACGTCCTCTGGCGAGAGGTTCTCGTAGACGACCTTGCGCTTGGTGTAGCCCTTGAGGTCCTGGCCGCTGAGCTCGCGCGACGAGACGTGCCGCAGATCCATGTTGGGGTGGTTGTTGAGCAGGTCAATCAGGGCCTGGCCGGTGTAGCCGCGGGCGCCGATGAGGCCGATGCGCGTCGGGGCCTCGTTGGAGGCATTCTTCTTGCCCAGCGGCGGGTTCGGGTTCGTGTTGAGCGCGTAGGCGAGCCGGGCTGTCGAGGAGAGGGCGCGGCGGGCCTGGCCGGCGGGGACGACGCCGCGCGAGGATGAGGACGGCGCGGCGGCAACAATCGAGGTGGCGCGCGGCGCGAGGCGACGGGCGCCGATGCGCACCGCCCCGGACGTGGCAGACAACATAGTTCCAGTAGAGGGGGTTCTCAATTGGCCGCGATGTTGGGGGGAGGAGATGAGATGGACGGGGGGCCAATTTGTAGCGCGGCTCGAGTCTGGGGTGACTGCGAGGCTTGTTAGTGGCCGGGGTACTGGGTCCGAAATCGGGGTCCGGGGGAAGGGGCAAACCATCACAGGTACCAGACTAGGGACTCTCGAGCCGGTTTCCAGAGTTGCAATTATAAGAAAACGGAGAATTGAATTCTAGCTGATGATAGTGATAACTCGATCAAAGCCATCGTCGTTGGAATTGGCAAGATCCAGCCTTGCGTCTCGTCGTAAGACTCGAGAAATTGTCTTCTTTCCATTGATAAGCATATAACTAAAGCTTATTTCGCCTGTTCTTAAGATTATATTGCTGAATCCGTACATTGTGCTTAGAATTAAGTTGCGAAACGATATTTCCATCGTCCTGTTTCAACTGAAAACCACGCCACACGCCACACGTCAGTGGTTGAGTGTGGCGCATTTGGTTGCCCGATAAACAAATTGGCTTTGTTCTGTCAGACTGCCGGTCTGCTCCAATGAAAGACCGACACACGGCTTGTGTGGCCTGATCTCCGCTGCGATGCGCTGTTTTTGCAGCATCGCCGCCGATCACATGAGCCTGTCAGGTCACCAGTGGCTCACCAGTTGACGTGGTGCGCAAGATTCAGTTCGGCGACGGGTGTTGAGTCTTCACGACAAAGCTAATCGCGGTTGTACATTTCGACTTGTCTGCGACTACATTTGACGCAAAACGTTAGGTAGAGAGCTTGGTGCAGATTGTGTCCCTCATTTCTATGATTTGCTCAATATAGAAAGGCCAGGTGGTAGCAGTCCGATGCATTCAGCTAACTGTGAATGTGTGTTGGTTAGGTAAGCCCCCGCGCATTAGAGAATGGAACGTGGAAACACTTCTCGCAGGTTCGAGTCTTACCACACTACCAGTCTCGGGGGTGGAGGTATTTGAGTGGAATTCAAGCACAATGTGAGAATCAAACAATCCGGCAATTGTTGCACAAGATAAATGCCAAGCTGCACTGCGGACTCGACGTTGTAGGTAGGTTATGTCGGTGCCAATCAGCACCAGGTATTTCATTCTTGAAACAGCGTCGAGTAGCAGCGGCAGCGCCGGAATACTAAAACTTACTCAGTTCTATATTAAAGGATAAAAAAATGCATGAAATAGGTAGTCATACTATATTTAAAAGCTTTAGTTTTAGAAGGGAGAAGGGGAAATATAATGGAGGGGATCAATACTATAAAAGCGAGCAGAAGGATAAGTGAGAAAAACTAGACTGAGAAGAACAACGATGAAGGAACTAAAACAAAAGAAAGATAGTCAGGTTACTAATGACCGGCGGTTTATTTTGTCTGCTGGTGACTGTGCACGACTGTTGAGCCGCCAGTCCATTGGTGGTGGCAGGTTTGACGCCACTCCCGGCCCAACTAAAGTAGTGCCCAGCTGCCGGTCCGACTCAGACAGCGATAAACTCGCAGCCTTTTGTCTTCGCCCAATTTTGTATCTTGCAACCCGACCAACCTCGCCAACGGAACCAATCCCTCATCGTCACCCCAACCGACGGTTCGATCCCTTTTTCTTGCCTCCCGCGAACCGTACCCACCGCTCCTTTTCACCATCGTTAACCTCCTGCAGGCGGCAACCTCGCCCGGTCGACCCGTACAGAAGCTACCCCTCCATACCCCGCGACGCACTCAAAAATGGTTGGCCTAGGTCCTCGCGCTCCGCCCTCTAGAAAAGGTACGCCCCGGATACTGCTACTACGGCGGAAAAATATTGAATCGAACTTTGTCAACGTCTTTTCACCGATGCAAGACGCTCCTGGGATTGTGACGACCATCCGCTGCTGCACTAGAAGCTAACAACCACTGAGGGTCGAAAGCCGATGTTCCCAAGGACACCATGGAGGCGATCCGGAACATTGAGGAGCTCTTTACGGTCGACACTGCCAAGCTCAAGGCCATCACAGAGCACTTCGTCTCCGAGCTTACCAAGGGTTTGTGCCGCGCCCGAATTAAACCAGCCAGATTGCGCCAACCAACACCAGCCACTAACCGTCTTCTCAGGCCTCACCAAAGAGGGTGGCAGCATTGTAAGCATATATGAATCTACACCAACTACTGTAACTCAGGCTAACAGATCTCCAGCCCATGAACCCTACTTGGGTCATGTCGTATCCCGATGGCAATGAGACTGGCACCTTCCTCGCCCTCGACATGGGCGGCACCAACCTGCGCGTCTGCCAAATCACCCTTACAGATAAGAGGTCCGAGTTTGACATTATCCAGTCCAAGTACAAGATGCCTGAAGAGCTCAAGACTGGCAAGAGCGATGAGCTGTGGGAGTACATTGCCGACTGTCTCCACCAGTTCCTCGAAACCCACCATGGTGACACCAAGAACATTGGCACCTTGCCCTTGGGGTTCACCTTTTCTTACCCCGCTACCCAGAACTACATTGACGCGGGTATCTTGCAGCGATGGACCAAGGGCTTTGACATTGACGGCGTCGAGGGCCAGGATGTCGTTCCCATGTTCGAGGCTGCTCTTGCCAAGCGTGTATGTCTAATATGCCTCACTCTCTCGTACTCTGGTAGCTTGCTGACCTGTATGTAGGGTGTTCCCATTCAACTGACTGCTCTTATTAATGACACCACCGGAACGCTCATGGCCTCGGCCTATACTGACCCTACCATGAAGATTGGCTGCATCTTCGGCACCGGCTGCAACGCCGCGTACGTCGAACACTGCGGTTCGATCCCCAAGCTTGCCGACATGGGTCTACCTGATGACATGGAAATGGCCATCAACTGCGAGTGGGGTGCCTTTGACAATGAGCACAAGATTCTACCCCGTACCAAGTACGATGTCATCATTGATGAGGAGTCACCCCGCCCTGGCCAACAGGCGTTTGAGAAAATGATTGCAGGTCTCTACCTTGGCGAGATTTTCCGCCTTGCCCTTGTCGATCTGCATAACGAAAAGCACCTCTTTCAGGGACAGGACATCAACTGTCTGCGCAAGGCCTACAGCCTCGACGCTTCGTTCCTTTCGGCTATTGAGGAGTGAGTCACATCGTTCTGCTACTGAGGCATGCCGTCTAACTACCGGGCTCCAGGGATCCTTTCGAGAACTTACAGGAGACGTTCGACCTGTTTGCAAACAAGTTGCAAATCAATGTCACCGGCCCCGAGCTTGAGCTGATCCGCCGCCTCGCTGAGCTGATCGGTACCCGCGCCGCCCGTCTCGCTTCCTGCGGTGTCGCTGCCATTTGCAAGAAGAAGAACTTCAAGACCTGCCACGTCGGTGCCGACGGCTCCGTCTTCAATAAGTACCCTCACTTCAAGGCTCGTGGAGCGCAGGCCCTGAAGGAGATTCTTGACTGGCCCGACAAGACTGATGCCAAAGCCGAGGACCCGGTTGAAATTCTTGCCGCCGAAGACGGCAGTGGTGTCGGTGCCGCTCTGATTGCCGCCTTGACCCTGAAGCGTGCGCAGCAGGGCAACCTGGCGGGCATTCTTCACCCGGAGCGCTTCAAATAGACGGACTATGGGCATGAAAAGAAAAGAAAACATGGCCAGATAAAATTAAAATATAGTGATGTTGTATCATCCATCTCACTCCTTTTGGATGCAGCACTCTACAGCCTGTACTTTGGTGCACGCATGTACGCGTCTATCATCAAACGTAAATAGGTATAAGAAGAATATCGTCATGAAAGCGTCATGTCTAGCCCATGAATGTACATGTGGGCAGTTTATATGCTAAGAAACGGAGATGTTAGCGCAATTCACAGTAGCAAGGCGGGTCAAGAAACTTACTGTCCAACGTCCAGTACCGTCTACGAACGCCTTCCCACGCGCCCTTACCGTCCTCGTTAAGCTCGCTCATGTCCACCTCGACCGTCTCCCACTCGACATCTAGCCCAGCCTCGGACGCGTGCATCTCCACGACCTGCGCGTACACATCGTAGCACACGCGCCGATCGGCGCCGAGCCCGTTGAAGAAGCCGAACCGGCCGTCCATGTCGAGCAGCACGGGCACGTGCTCCGTAAAAAACGTGCGCAGCTCCGCGTAGTCCTCCCCAAATGTGTCAAAGTAGATGGCGTCGTACAGCTCGCCGCGGGCAACGAGCGTCGGCACCACGTCCTGCCACTTGCCGGGGAGCATCTGAAAGGCTCCGGGCGCGGGGCTGCGGGCTTCCCAGGCGGCGCCGAAAGCGGTCTCGCCGACGTGGGAGAGGACGCCCGGGTGCGCTTCGATGATGTGGTGCTTGGACGGGGCGTGCGCGGCGAAGAGACCGTCGATGATGCCCATGCCGAAGCCAATGTTGAGGATGCGCGGGCCGGTGCTGGCGGGGGACGGCGGCAGGAGGCTGGCGACGGAGCGCTGCATAATGTCCGTCTCCCAGGCCATCATGACGCCGTTGAGGTCGTCGTCGAGAAGCTTGTCGCCGTCGTATGTAATGGTGGACTGCAGGTACTCATCGCTGGTGACTGTCTTTTCACCCGCGTCCGGAGGCACAAACTGCGCAGGAGCTGTTGCCGTCATTTCCTCGTCCGCCTTGTCCGCTTCCGCCTCGTACTTTTCTTCTCCTTCCATATCCTGCGTAGCGTCTTCCTCACCCTGCCCCTCCTCCTCGTCCTCGTCCTCCCCGGCAGACGACAGCTGCTCGTACTCGTTCATCAGCCCAAACAGCATCTCCGCGCGCACGCCCGCCTCGACAAACATGCGGTACAGCGCGGTCTGGCCGAGGCGCGCGGCGGTGCACCCGGGCGTCTCGTTGTGGTTGTCGACGTCGTTCCAGATGGCGCCGCCGTAGAAGAGTTCCTGGATGCAGGCGCGGGCCTCTTCCACCACCGCCCCGCCGTCCTCTTCCTCCTCGTCGGCGGCCGGGCCGCAGCCGCGGACGACGGCGTGCAGGGGCGTCTCGCCGGTCGTCGGATCCTGCTCGCTGGCGGCGCCGGGGCGCGCGGCGAGGAGCGTCTTGAGGGCGGGCAGGTCGCGCGACCAGGCGTGCAGCAGGAGCTCGCGCACGGCGTCGGGGGACGTGGTTGGGATGCGCGCCTCGAGGGCGTCGTCGTAGTCGGGCATGTTGGAGGATAAGAAAGGGTGGGTTCCTGCGCAGAGTAGATCCTGAGCGAAAGACGACAGCCGTGCGCAAAAGAGTGTGGCGCAACCTGGTTTCTGGAAAGCTGTATTTACAACTTGGGCAGCAGGGTTTTTTTTAGTGGCGGCATCTCCAAATTTGGAGGGGCAGCGAGCGGTGCGGGCAACGGCGGCAGTACTGAGTGATGGGTTGGCGCAGACGCCCATGGTAGGAGCGGCTACAGAAACTCTACGTGCTGGAACATTTCAAAGTCTTTTTTTATATCCAAAACAAAGGATGTAGTATTTGGCGGTCCTGGCCATGCGCGTATTCAAAACCTGGTTACTGGGGGTTCATCAAGGCGGACAATGACGGTATCAAGGTCCTGCTATGAACCGTTCTATAGGCATGATGTAGGGAATAGAGACCATATATGTCAACACGAAACATGTTTGTATAGAAAGAAAACAAACTGCGAAACCTTGAGAGAAAAAAATATGTCAAACGATGACAACTTTTCTGCCCAAAACGGCCGAGTTTCGAAGGGTCTGTTGGCTAGACAGATACGGCCTAGCCGATTGTACATATTGACAATGTGTGTGACGCTAGCGATAACGTACAGATACCACTGGTGTAAATATTTAAAGGCTGCAGCAACGGCGGATGATGAGCGATGAGCCGGGATCAGGGCTCCAAGGTTGCATTAACGGGCCCAGCTGCAGCGGGCCAGATCCTCTTTGGCCCGCCGTAGCCCCCACGGTGGGTGGCGGAAACGACACCGAGGGCTGCAGTGGGCAATTGGGGAAGAAGAAGCTGTTCCAGGCCGAACAGAGGCCTCCCCGCTTCGGTCTCTCTGTTTAGTACAGTGGGTGTAGTAGCCTCTTGCAGGTGCTTGCAGGTTTTCTTGCAGCGTGCTTGCAGTGGACGCGGTGGTCGAACCATGGTGGGCTCAGTGGGCAGTGGGCGGCCAGTGGACGCAGAGGCCAGCCACATCCCCTCATCACCACGTTTCAGTGCTGCCAGCTTTGATTCGCCAATTCGTCTTCAATGGTTCGCTGCCAGAACCTTGACGTTGCCTGCCCGGTCCGTTTTCTGCATCTACATAACCAACGACGTATTATCGTCCATTGTCCGGGATCTTTAGCGGACAAGAAAAAAAAACCTCGGCCGGTGAGAATTTTTCCTCGTCTTCTTCTCCTCTTCAACCTCGCGCTCGCTGCGACCTACCTAAGTGACTTGCTTGTCCATCCATTTCGCTGGTTGCGTCCTAGCCTGCTGGTTTCCACACCCACATCACACACCACCCGCCCAACTCTCTCCATCTCTCGCGCCCGCCGCCCAGCCATGCCCGCATGCTGATTATCAAGGACCTCAAAAAGATCAACACTCGCTGGTCGACCCCTCCCCCCGGCACCTTTCGCGCCCGACCCGGTGTCATCGTCATGAAGTTCGGCGAGCAGCTGCGGTCCAGCGTCATCCGCGAGTACCAATGGTACTACATTGACTACAATGGCCTCAAGTCGGAGCTCAAAACCGCCACGGGCCTTGCCCCGGCCGACGGCGTCGGCCCCAACGAGTGGTGCGAGGACGACGAGACGCGCTTCGTAGGCCGCCTCGAGACGGAGCTCGAAAAGGTCCACACCAAGCAGCAGGTCAAGGCCATGGAGATTTCCCGCCGCATTGCCGTCTCGGAGCGCGAGGTCCGCGACGTCGTCAACCGCCTCCAGGAGCGCGGCCTCAACGAGGAAGGCCCCAGCGAGGAGGAGTTTATCCTGCTCGAGGAGGACCTGTCCGACATCATTGCCGATGTCCACGACCTCGCCAAGTTTGTGCAGCTCAACTACACTGGCTTCTACAAGATTATCAAGAAGCACGATGTAAGAAGACGATGTCCCCCATTCGAAACGACGTCCACGGCCATGGCTAACCATCCTTTCCCTCGTGCAGAAGCAAACCGGCTGGCACCTGCGCCCCGCCTTCGACACCCGACTCAAGGCCAAGCCCTTTTACAAGGAAAACTACGATGCTTCCGTCATCAAGCTGTCAAAGCTCTACGATCTCGTCCGCACCCGAGGCAACCCCGTCAAGGGCGACTCCGCCGCCGGTGGCTCCCAAGCCAGCTTCGTCCGACAAACTACCAAATACTGGGTGCACCCCGACAACGTCACCGAGCTCAAGCTCATCATCCTCAAGCACTTGCCCGTTCTCGTCTTCAACGCCGGCAAGGAGTTTGACCCTCAGGACTCGGCCATCACCTCCATCTACTACGACAATCCCGATACCTGGGATCTCTACGAGGGTCGCCTGAAGAAAACAGAAGGCGCCGAGGCCATCCGTCTCCGCTGGTATGGCGGCATGCAGAGCGAGACCATTTTTGTCGAGCGCAAGACGCATCGTGAGGATTGGACCGGCGAAAAGTCGGTCAAGGCGCGCTTCGCCCTCAAGGAGAAGAACGTCAATTCTTACCTGCGAGGCGAGCTTCTCCCTGGCGCCATTTTTGAAAAGGCGCGCAAGGAGGGCAAAAAGTCGGAAAAAGCCATTGCCGAGGACGAGCGTCTTGCGTCTGAGGTGCAGTACTCGGTCCTGAAAAAGGGCTACAAGCCCGTTTGCCGCTCCTTTTACAACCGCACCGCGTTTCAGCTTCCTGCCGATGCCCGTGTCCGTATCTCGCTGGATACCGAGCTGACCATGGTCCGCGAAGACAACCTGGACGGCCACGCCCGCTCCGGTGACAATTGGCGGCGCATGGACATTGGCATTGACTATCCATTCTCCCAACTGCCTCCCGATGATATTGCCCGATTCCCCTACGCCGTCCTTGAGGTCAAGTTGCAGACTCAAATGGGACAGGAGCCGCCCGAGTGGGTTCGTCAGCTCATCTCCTCGCACCTCGTCGAGGCCGTGCCCAAATTCTCCAAGTTTATCCACGGCTGCGCCTGCTTGTTCCCGGACCGCATCAACCTGCTGCCCTTTTGGATGCCCCAGATGGACGTTGATATCCGCAAGCCGCAAACGCACGACTTTGGCATCCACCGAGCCGGACTTTCTGGCACGACGACGACGTCGGATGACGACGAAGAGGACTTCGACTCGGATGAGGATGTGGCCAGACCGTCGACCAGCGCGGGCCGGCCATTCTCCTCACACCGATCCAGACGAGGACTGCCCACCGACATGGAGGATCAGACGGTGGATCTGCCCACGGTGAGCGAGGACTTTCCCATCTACGACTCCGACGAAGAGTACGACGAAAACTACGAGCTAGAGGAGGCTCGAAGAATCGGTGGATGGCACTACTACTCTAAGCTGTTCGCCACCAAGGGCCACGCGTTCGGCCAGGCCGTGCTCAGCGGCCTCTGGGCCGTCGTTCCTCGGCCGCGGAGCACGCAAGTGTCGCGTAGCGCGCGCCAGGAGATGCTTTTCGGCGATCAGCAGATTCAGTCCAAGAAGTTCCGAGCGCCCAAGGGCAAGAAGATTTACGTGCCCGTGCGCGTCGAGCCCAAAGTCTTTTTCGCTGCCGAGCGCACGTTTCTCGGCTGGCTCGAGTATTCTATTTATATTGGCACCATTGCCATGACGCTCCTCAACCTGAAGAGCCACCCGACGCCCATGTCCTTTTGGGTCTCGGCCGTCTTTACCTTTCTTGCCATTCTCAGCCTGCTCTACTCGGTCGGCGTGTATCTCTATCGCAGCGACGCCATTCGCAACCGCCGAGCCGCGCGCTACTTTGACAAGTGGGGGCCCAGCGTCCTCTGCGTGGCCCTGATTTTGGCCGTGGCGCTCAACTTTGGCTTCGAGGGTCGGGAGCGTGCTGTTTGGTGAGGGCTGTTTGGTGTGGTGTAATGGATGGAGGCCCAACGTGTTGGTTTCTGCGACTGTTCTTGTTACTGTTTGTATACAATATGGTGTGTCGAGCGAGAAAGGAAACACGGGGAAACATGAGGGAGAAAAAACCGCAAGATCGGACTCTGTACCAGTGTGTTTTATAAGCGTTTTCTTTTTAGGATATATTATAGTATTACTCCAACGGAGGTTATCCCTGACACACACCATAGTTACCTCAGATATCATGCTCAAGTCCTTTCAATACTCATTATTCAAAATTGGTTCCGATGAACTATCTCGGTTGTCTTGCATCTGCAAATAAAGAAGAGGAGAAATATTATCTGATGCTAATAAAAAGAACTCGTCTCGAGAAAGAACAAAAACAAAAGAGAAACGAGTTGGTATAGAAAGAAGAAGACGAAAAAAAAAAAGACCAGTAGGGTATCTAAAGATGTATATAGATGTATGCATAGGCTTTTCCCCGTAAAACGTGAAAAAAAACAAAGCTCATGCTCGGTTCTGGACAACTTGATATAAAAGGACGCTCCCAGCAATGAATGGAACAAGAACGTCTGTACCTTTTTCGTAATCAAGCGCCAAAAACAACAAGAAATGAAGATGGGAAAAGCAACAAAAGGAGGTATTAAAAAAAAAAGAAGAAGAGGCCATGTAGATGAAACAAAAAAGAGGGCTGATAATATAATCAAACGAAAACAAGAACCAGGTTGTAGAGCCCGACAATCCACCCGTGATAAAGAAGAGAAACAACACCACCCATGTCAAAGGAAGAAAAAAAGAAGAAAAGAAAAAAAGGCTCCGCAAATGCAATGTTGTTTTGCCATCCTCTTTGGAAAAACAGAAAAAAAAAAAGGACTGTGTCGAGTCCGTGTATATCCTGATCCTTCGTCCCAAAAAGAAAGCGGTACTAAAATAGGGTAGCAGTAGTAGTGTAGTAGTGTAGTAGTGTAGTAGTAGTAGTAGTGGAAAAGTAGCAGCTGGCAAAGAATAGAAGAAAACAACTCCGAATAATCCCAGGCGTAATAGTCGTAAAGGAACAAAGGAACAAAGGAACAAAAAGTCGCACCAGATTCCCTCTCTTTAGGGCGGTGTCGTGGGTATAACAGTCTTGCGCATTCTTTCAAACACCCCCAACTCACTTCTTGAGCTCATTGGTTATCTCCTCGCGGACGCGCCGGCACCACTTGGCAATCGCTGCCTCGAAAGCAATCCACGCCTGACGATCTGTGCCGTACGCTACAGCCAGCGCGTCCACGGCCAGGACCACCTCGAAGCGCAGCTCGGCAGCCTTGACCCAGTAGCGGAGGTTGTCGGCGCAGCGGTAGGGTTTTTGCGTGTCGGTGTGGAACGTCGGAATGGCGCCAAAGCGCCGCTTCGACTTGTGCACGGCGGCATTGTGAAGTGTGACGAGGCGCAGGCCCGTCTGCATGGCCGCCAGGAATGGCGTCGGCAGGGTTGGCGCGTCCGCCGCGGGCGTCCATGGGGGCAGGGTGGTGGCGGCATCTGGCTCCATGGCAACGAGAAAGGCGCGCTCGCGGGCAAGCTCGCGGCCGGTCCAGTCGCCGGATATCCACGTCCAGCTGGCGCGCTCGCTCGTCTCGGCCGCCTCCATGGCCGCCTCCTTGGTGAGAATGTCAAAGACGCTGTCGGTCCAGGCGAGCATGGTCTTGGTGTCATCTTCCTTCATGCCTCCCTTAAAGCCACGAATGGCCATCTGTTTTAGGACCTCCATGACGGCGAGCAAGTCGGAGCGGACCTGCTTCTCTGACTTGATAGAGTCGAGACGGTCAGGCTGCTCATGGGCCGTGTAGTACATCTTGGCGGCGCGGATGGCGAGGGTGACGACATCGAGTATGTGCATGCCTTGGAGCTCATACCAGCCCTGCGAGTTTTCTTCGGGCATGTTCGGAAGCACAGGCTCGTCGGGGGTTGCAAGATAGGCACCGGCCTTTCTCGCCTCGGCCTCCTTGAGGGCCTTTTGGGCATCACGAAGTGTCGACTCCAGCTCGGCCTTGAGTTCTACTATCGTTGGCGGTCTCGGGATGGGTGTCTCTCTGTGATGATATGTGCTGACCGTGGGGGGGAGCATGCCAGATTCTGACTCGGTAAAGCTGTCTTCGTCGTAGTAGTCCTCGTCGTCTTTCACAGGTGGCTCAGTAATGGTAGCCGCGAAGCCCTGCGAGGTAAGGTCCGGGCTGCTACCTATGGAGGCGTATGAGGAATCGAAGTCGGAGGAAAGTCTGGTGACGTCTGCTGAGCTGTCGACGGCGGACAGATCGAGGGCTACCTTGGCCTGCTTCTTACGGGCAAGCTGGCCGCCCTTGCCGTCGAGCAAGCCGGTGCGGGCAAAGTAATATTGTAAATGGGCGATGCTGCCGAGACTCATGACGCTCTCGCGGGATCGGGCGCTGGCGGCGAAGTCGGTGGTCTGGGGCTTCATGTAGCCACGTCGGCGCGTCTTGGAGTCGGCCGACTGCGTCGAGCGTCGGGAGACGTGGGAGGCATCGGACCGGCGCGAGTGGTAGGAGCCTGAGGAGTGGCGTGAGGTGTTGAGGTTGCTGCCGAGGGAATCCCGCGAGCTCTCTTCGGTGAGGGAGCTGTGGGAGAGGGACGAGGCGGTCGAGACGCAGCGGGACAGCTCGGGGCAGGCACCCAGAGCGGCCAGCGAGGGGGGGAGATCCGGCGAGGGCGGATGGTTCTGGGTGGCAGCCATGGCAAGATCAGCCTCCGGGGGAGGTGGTTCCGTTTATCTTGCAGAAAAATAGATCAGAGATTGTGTGACGGACGGATATGCCGGCGGCGAGCTGCAACAAGCCGTGGCGATTGCTGGAGGATGTTGGCGATGCCAGTCGGGGAAGAGCACGTAGAGGCGCTCGAGGAGCGAAACGCTTGTAGATTTTGGCCAAAGCACAGGAAGTTTCGAGTTCAGACGATGGCCACTGCAAAGGCAACAAGGGGTTTATGGTGGTGGCAGGTTAATGTCACCAGATTGAGGGATCCAGGAGGTCGTTGTATATAGCAAGTATCAGTACAAGTATGGGGCAGGCGATGGGGTACCTGGTAGTCGTTTCTTGTTTGAGCGCAACAGGGAGAGAATGATTGCCATCGGCCGTGTTGAAGATGGGACACGAGTTACCGGGTTGGCCCAGCAGAGCAGATGGGACGAGGATCGAGTGCCAGTCCAATGCCAGGAGGTGTTTTAGCTTGGGATTTGGGGGGTGGGATGGACGGCGGGTGAAGACGACTCCGAGGCAACGGATGAATGGCCAGATGGTGGATCGCGAAATGAAGAGGGAAATGGCGGAGCAGCCCGCCAACCTGCCTTATTGGTGGGCCATGGGGCGTGCCGTAGCGCATGTGGAGACTTTTAGGGACTTGGGGGCTTTTCGGGTGGCGTTTTCAGTGGTGTACCCTCTGTATTTCCGTGCTTTACAGCGTCCACCCTCTCGAGTTTTTCTGCTTTGTAGCACTGTCCTCTCTGTACTTCAGCGCTGCAGCCCGCTGGTCATTCGCTGCTCTCAGCGCTGGGAGCGGTTGTGAACGAGGCAGCACTTGGCATCAAAACGGCTGCCCGAGGCTGTTTCAGAAATGCATTAATACTCTCTATTATTCCCCGTCATCGTCTTCCATTGAATGCTCTCTGGTTGGCCCAACTACCCACAAACAGTGGCGCGGCTGTTTCCGCTAACGATTTGATCATGTGCAGGGAATGTGTTAAGTCTGTTCTATGTTTCAATTCTAATCTGTACCGAGTAGTTAGCTAACATTATAAAGAGACATTCATCAAGTTAAGCCTCTCTCGCCTTGACTCCATGATGCTTTTTCCACGTTAGTATGCATGCTCTCACTGCACCGCCGTTGTGCCCCAGCATTGACCTATAAAAAGCCTGTGCCTGAATTTGCGGCACCCAGAGTGGAGAGTGCCAACGGCCGTTATCACCTTTGTAGCGTGCTAGCGTCCAAGTGCAGAACAAAAGGACACGCTGGACAAGAACACATATGACAATAGACAATATCGTCATTGAGCCACGACTCGTCAGGTAATGCCACAACTCCAAAATTCTCTTCTCATAGTTACTGCAGTCGGCTCCTTTCACAACTCCACATCTCACGACCACCTTGTTCCGTACCATGCCGCCTACACCCGATACTGATTCATATCCCAGGGCAACCCAGACGTTGGAATGAAGGCTGCCCTGAGCGCCACAAAGGCGTACAACATGCGCATAATAAATGAGAAATTGGCCGCTTTCGATTGATGACCGTTTTGTGGTGTTACGTTGACAGGTGCCACCTATTGTATGACAACTTGTTCCGGCACCCCACGCCAGTCTTGACTGAACGAGACAAATGACAAGAGTTCATTGACACCTTTCAGATACTGAACGTGAAAAGAGCTAAAGTCGTACTTACTTCTTTCTGATGTCTAGCTGATTTAGCATAGAGAGCCGATCGGCTCCGGGCCCGCTTTGCAGGACCATTGACTTACATAGTCGTCGCTCTGCTTCGCGGTTCCAGGTGGAAAAGTCTTCTACGGTGATGTATTTTTGAAGGTCAACATCATTGTCGCCGTTCTTGCTGTAGAAAAGCTTGGTACAGTCTTTGACCATGTTGGCTGCGTGGTTCTCGGTGGTACTTCTTTTGACATGTTAGTAGTAGAACCGATTAGGGAGAAGCCTCAACCATTGAGCTCACCGTTATGGATAGAAGAATGTGGCAAAAAAGGTTAGCATGACAAGGTACCCTTTCTTTTGGCAGCCCATGTCTAGCAACGTGTAGGATCACGCAACTAGATGTTGGTGGCGGCGTTGTTTCCACGGAGGCCCATCCTCCTCCACGCCACCCCGCTTCGTAGTCCTCGTCGCGGTATTGATCCTTATATATAAGCGATGAGTCTTGACTCAAGTTTCGTGTCAGCCAAATCTTCTCTTCCTCTTCGAATCTCATTGTTAGGCACCGATGACGATGCGTCGCCAATCCAAACGCGCCACTGTGCTACACGGATGTGCGAGTTATAACAACGAGCCGCGACGATGACGCTTGCTATTCCAGGCCACTCAACTATATTCTCTCTAGCGCCAGAAACTACGGACTAGTCTTGGCAACCGGCGCACCGTTTCGTTTCGAACTATCGGAGATGGATCACTCACTGCCTCGCGCCACGCGGCCGTCAAGGCTAAGCACGCCGCGGAGCTCGAAGCCTCTGCTCGCCCCATGACATCGAACCATAGGGCCGTGTTCAAGAGAAGCATACATACGGGTACCAATATCGGTTCGAGCTGGCGCCGGATGCGATTGGCGTCGACATAAGTCCCCGCCAGACCCGAGGCGCGCCGCGCTGTCCGGAGAGGGAGGACCGCTCGGACATCCGCCTGTGCTGGTCGTCGATGACGGCAACTCGACTCGACGAGCCACCGGCGAAATGTTGTTCGTTCAAAGTGGCACAATTAAAAGAAGTATCTATCGCGGGGTGGATTGTACGCCGAGAGCTGTTCGAGACGCCCACAGTGCTAATGGAAATTCTCAAAGCCGGCTGCCTCGCGCTTTAGATAGATACGGTAGGAAAGCCACGCACGGTCTGGGCTGTATATTTAGCTTCAAGCCCCTCTCTCATGAAGGGCATTGTCCGGGATCTGTAGCAAGGTCGCTGCGATGTTCCCCAGCTTTACCTAGAGTGTGTAGAGCACCTACGTGGAACAGTCGGCCGACATGGACGTTTCCGATTACAAGGCCCGCCGAGAGCTTGATACAAACCCGGGGAAGGGCTGTACCTGCCACCGAGCATTCTCACCATTACGAATCAAGACATCTACGAACACACGTTTTGATACGATACGGATACAGGTGCGTGCCGGCCCCGTTGTCCTGCTCTTCCTGTTGCATGTCGTTGCTCTTGTTTCTGCGAGAGCAGGGCGGAAATGTATTCCGCTGCTGACAACATGCGCGTCTAGGACTAACGGTCGGGGACTTGAGGCCGTTTTACGATGGCATCGAAATCTCTCTTCCCCGCCAAGTCCCTCGCTGAGACCTTTGGCCCGTGGATCGACCGCTGCCGCATGCTAGACATCGCCAAGTACAGCCGCGTCATGACATGCTGGGAGCCAAACCTGTCGGTGCCCAACGAGGCGCCGGCACACGGGGAGGCCCTGCGGCGGGCGGTGGTGCTGGGGGTCGGCGGCCTGTACATGGCCAACGGCTGGGACGTCGCGGCCCCGCGGGGGGGTGCCGCAGGATTGGTCCGATCGGGCCAAGTTCCTGGCGCAGCGGGACATGTAAAGGGTGCATGTCATCGAGCCGCTGGAGGCCAAGGTATTTGAGGCACGCAAGGTGGCGGATGAGGAGAAGCGGGAGCGGGAGCGGGAGCTGCGGGATGTCGTGATATTGAAGCAGAGAGTGGCAGTCATCAGTAGGGAGATGAAAGGGAATGGGCAGGTGCAGTCAAGTGCATGCATGAGGTGATGTGACTAGGCATGGCCTGAGGACACAAAAATGGGGGACGAAGGGCGAAAGTGGTGTTAATTAATCGCACGCGCGAGTATGGGGGCGGCGAGATTAACCACGATGATGAAACGGACGGGATACAAAGAAAAAAAAATATGCCCCTTTTCTCAAAATTCACAAATGACCATCTTGACGGTGGAGCACGACAGCCGATCCGAAGCTTGCTGACTTTGTAATACCAGTAGTTACGACTGTAATTCTAAGGTATTACCTTATTCCTGGAAGCGAGCGGCGTTTGCATCATCTTGCCACCTGCCCCCGGCCCCTGCTTGATTTCAACCTTGGACCTTCTTTTTTTTCCGACATTGGGGACGATACATTGAAGATTCTTCTTTTTATTCTACCCTTGGTCTTCACTCCCGAACTTTTGTATTATTTCTTATTCTGCTTCTCCTCCTTCTTTTATTCTATTTTATCGAACCGAACCTTTGCGACTTGACCCTCGCGGCAAACGGCAACGTCGAAGGACTGACGCGCCACCCCTATTTCGGCTGCCGGCGCGCAGACAAACGGCGATAGAACCGCTGTTAATGTCCAGGAAGACGACGAACGGAACTGCAATTCATATCGGGCAGGGCATATACGTGACGAGCGAGCGAAGACGGCGACAAAGAAGAACACCCAAGCGGAAAAGAGCACGACTGGCTGGCTACCTACCTGCCTACCAAACGGCGCATCAGGCAGCCAGAGGTTGACCGACTCCATCGACGTGCAGGATTGTGCATGTCGCGGGTGGCCAGCTGTGCGAGTGTGCGAGCCAAAAGGGACAGCTCAGGCGAGAGGACGACCCTCAGGCCACGGGAAGCTCGCAGCAAACACCGCCAACAGGGGTAGCTTGCGCGGGTAGACCCACCGACCTTTGTACACCAGCAGCGCTACCAAGGTACTTGCATCAGCTACCCAGGTCGGCTGCTAAGCAGGTTCCGAATCAGGTACCTAGCTTAGTAGACGCTCCCTGTCGAGGCCAGCACCCGGTGCCTGCATCCACAATAGCTGTCTGCAGCAGCGTACAGTGCAGCAACAGGTCACCTCGCGGGCCGCCGGCCTGCATTGCATGATACCTGAGCACAACCTTCCAAAGGTGCCCAAGAGAAGCCGTTGGTTCGATTGTCCGCGGACAAGGTGAAGCTCGCGGTTCAGGATCAAACGCCCGATCAACTTGGACCTATTCACCCTCTTCACAACACTCGCAATACTCGGGGCGACAGAAAAGAGACCCTATTAACTACCAGTACGCTACGGTCCTGCTCCACCTCATTTCGCTGCGACACAACAGGGCCCGAAATTACATGCAAATTTGGACCGCCACCACATTGGCAGTGGACGAACCCCCCATGACCGCCCCCGACAGTATGGTTGTTGGGCCGCCCACCACCGCGACGCCCCAGCTCACGCTCCCTCCACGGGTGCACACGGTTCCCAAACCGCTTCCCTCAGGCCAGTCGCCCCCTCATCCTCATCCTCACATTCGCATCCAGCGACCTCACTCGCACATTGACCTGCGCGGCCACTATGACATTGACGCCCACGATCTGAGCCCCAGCGCGCTTGGCTTTGCCGACATCTACACCGGCCATCTGCCCGCGCTGCCCTGTCCGCCCTCGCTCTCGACTAGCTGGTCCAGCTCGTCCATCTCCATCGCAGACGACTCCACATCCGCGTCGACCCTCGCCAGAGCGTACTCCGTCTCCACCACTAGCAGCCCAACCCAGCCAGCCACGTCGACCGCCTGGAGCCGCTCTAGCAGCCGAACCCGCGACGACGGCCTCGACGACAACACGCCAACTCCGACCCCAACTCCAATCCCACCAGCCGCCACTATTTCCCGTCCCTCTGGCCCCAATACTGCTCCTGTTAGGCGTAACAGTGCCGCCAGCGCTCTCGTCCACCAGCCTGCTGCCGCTCCTGCCGCCGCGCCCACTACTTCTGATAACATCACCGCCACCATCTCGCGCACACCGAGCCCTCTGATCAGGCCACCTTCCGCTACACCCTCCACCGTCTCTACAGCCGCCTCCTATCGCAAACCTGCCCCCGGCCTGGCCGCCCGTCTCAAGGCCTTGGGCTTTGGCGCCTCCAAAAAGACGTCTCCCACCGCCCCACCCCCCACCGATCTCGTCGGCCGTCTTGACGAGCACCAGCTACGCCAGCTCGACGAGAAACACATCGCCGGCTCCATTAGCTCAGTCATTTCCAGGAGAGGTCGCCCCTGGAGAGGCGCCGGCGCCTTCTCTACCCTCAAGGCGTCCGTCAGCCAGCCCAACCTGCGCCCTGCTTCTGCCATTCCCGACCAGTCCCCGCGCCTACCCGAACTTGAGCCTCCAGACCCTCTCGAAATGGACACCCAAAAATACCGCCTGCCCGATCACACTAACGGCAATGGCACAAAGGTCACCCTCGAGACTCGCCGCGAGCACCTAGAACGACATTCACCTGCCCTGTCCGCCGCCCTACCCACAACTCCTCCGCCTCCTCCCCCAAAAGATACACCACCGCCGCCCAGCACGCCTCCGCCGCCGCCTGCCTCTGCTCAATCTGACTACGTTCCCGGCCTCGGCTCCTACTTTACGCCTGGCCGTAACCGCCCCGGCTCCATCTACACTCTCTCACGAGCCTCGTTTGCCAATCAGCTGGCCCAGCTCACATCCCTGAAGCTCCCTGATGCCCATTCGCTCTCAAGCCAGGTTTCGGCTATTCCCACGGCTGCCGCAGCTACCAGGGCTCTCATCAACGCCGCCGACCAGATTCGGAGCTGGATATCCAAGGCCCAAGAGGTCATTGGAGGCCTGGACAGCGAAGATGATGTCGAGTGGGCGGCCGCTGGCGGCCGTGAAGGTCTCAGTGACGTAGAGACCGCCATTGTGCGCTTTGAGGAGCTTATCAATGCATATGTCTCGGCGATTGAGGAACTTCAGCAACGCGATGATTCAGCCCAAGTTCCCAAGCAAGACACGCATCAAGCGGTATCTCAGATGGAAATTATCCTTGACGAGTGGTCCAAAATCAAGTTAACCCTACACAGCGTCCGCGGCCAAGTCGAGATTGCCATGGAGTGGGAGGAGCTCTGGAACAATGTGCTTGGAGATATTCAGAGTGAAATGGATGAGTTGAGCCGCCTCGTCTTTGAGATGGAGGAACGCCGACACAAAACCATCGTCGCCAGTGCTAGCGGCGACAATATCGATATCGGGGACCTTGAAACCATTGTTGAGGATGGACCAGTCGCAATATCGAACGTGAAATCTCCAGGGCGTGTGCCCATGGCTACTACTCCTCTCAGTCCCAGCTCCCCTAGCACTGTCAATGCTGCTGGCCCCGGTTTATCACAAGATGACTCTAGCCTGCTCGCTCTGTTCGCGCGCATGCAACCTCTACGCGCCTCCCTCGACTTCCTTCCCATGCGCCTGTCTGTCTTCGAAACGAGAGCCGAAACCATTTTCCCTACCGCCTGCGACGAACTCACCATGAGACGAAGCGGCCTCGATAACAGCTACCGCAAGCTGGAAAAGGACGCAGAGTCCCTCCGCAAAGAGCTTGGTGAGGACAGATGGGTCATTGTCTTCCGCGGCGCTGGTCGCCAAGCGCAAAAGATGCAGCAATCTGTCGAGCGGTCTCTCCTTAAGCTTCGTGAGGGCGTCGACGCTAGACTACATCTTACAAATCCTCCGGCCATGACCAAGAAGATAGAGAGCTACGAAGCCAAAAAGGTGCACTATGGCCCCGCCATTGAGCGTGTTCTCTCCATTATCGACCGCGGTGTCAAGGACCGCTTGACAGTCAATGGCGAAATCTTGCGTCTTCATCACGACTTGCAGACTCGATGGTCACATCTCAAGCAAATTATGAAGGAGACGGGCGGCATCGTCGAGGTGATTTTGGCCGACAACAGGAGCAAGCAGCTTCGCGACTCCGTCTCCAGCCTCTTGTCTAACGATCGATCAACGGTTGGCAGTGGTCATGAAACGCCGGGAAGCTCTCCGCCCTCGTCGGTCATTATGACAAGCCTTGGCTTCGATCCTCACACTCCAGTGGTTAGCCAGCCCAAGACTCGCTCCCCCAATACTCTCGCCCCCTCCAATCGCAGGTACTCGTCACTCCCAGAGCCCGCCTCTGCCTTTTCCAGGCGACAGGCCGCCCGACTGTCCACCATCCCGAGCTCCTCTGCAGGCACTCCCGTGCAGGGCAGCACGATCCCCCGGCCCAGCTCGAACATGGACCATCGCCCACGCTGGAACACGTCCACAAGAACAGGCGACCTCGAGGCCGGCTTTCGCCATGGTAACCCAAACACGCTCGCGACACCCAACAGGCGCGTCTCCTCGACGGCCTCGCCTGCCAGCACCGGCTCGAGACTACCCACTATGCGCAACATCTTTCACCGTGCCGCCTCGGAATCGCCCCAAGTGGAGCGGACGCCCTCGCGGGCCAGCCACTCCCGGATGGGCGTGCGGGACCGCCTCGCCTCGCCAGGTCCCTACGCCCAGCAGACGATGGCCAAGAACTCGTCGGCGAACACGACGGGCAGCCGTCGCACGTCCCTACAACCGGCCCGGCCCGGTTGCGCCGCCGAAGAGGATCAGAGCCGCGCCGCGAGCTCGCTGGCGTCTCACAGGGAGGGTCTCTTGCCTCGGATGCCTGGCCGGTCCAGCCCCATGTCTCGCCGAAGGGATGCGGTCGACAGAGACGGGAAGCCTCGTTGGCGGTTCTAAACAAACGAGGGGAAAAGATGGGAAAGAATGTGCAGCTTGGAACTGTACTTACGTCTGGCAAAAGGAGAGGCACGCGGGTGGACTACACACGTGGGAATATACCACCTGTATTCTGACCCCCCTCGCCTATCTATGTTTGCCGCCTATTTGTGTCTTTCTTTTCTGAATGCCTAGCATAATTGATAGCAAGCAGGGTCGGTTTTTTATCTGTTGCGAGAAAAAAAGGGTTGGTAACACTCTTTGTGTTTTTTTTTACCACTATAGATGCACACGCGCGCACGCACACACACAACGCTCTCACACTGGCAATGATATCCTAGCGGCGGAGTTTTTAGGGGAAAATTCGCTTTTTATCTGGCCTTTTTTTTTGGGCCGTCATTCCCTTAATCTAATTATACCTCTTTTTGTCATTTGTCTCTTCTATTTTCATTTGCCATCTTCAGAAAACAATGTCTGCATAGGGTCTCTTTTTGCTCCTCCCTTGTCCTTGCTACTGTATTCATTGTCTTTGTCTTTTTTCACATTAGCAAAAAACACCTTCTGTTGTGCTATCATGAGCAGCATAGCTTCTGTATAACGGGCGTTGGTGTTTTTTTTTTTTAAATTGTACAATACAAAAGTTTTCATATTGACATATAAACAGCTCACTCGTCACGTTGTCTACATGTCCTGTTGCGTTGACCTGTCAAAAAAGTGATTTTGTTATTATATCTTTCTTCTACTCTTGTAGATGCAAGTATGCTAATGGTGTGAGTATATAAGAATGGCTTCGAGCCAATGGTGTAGAGTCCGACAGACAAGCCGCCAAAGCAAAGAGATTAGAAAAACGCCAAAATATCATGCATCATGAGGAATTCTCTTATTCCTCTTCCACACCCAGCATCTATATATACAGGTTCGCTCACGTCGGGCTCTCACATCACACCGGCATTAGACCGATTCCTCCGCCGGGTTTCTTGATGATCTTACCGTCTCTCTTGACCCCAGACAGCCGGGAAGGGCCTGCTCCTCCCCCTCCGGCAAAACCAGAATCGCCGCTTGCTTTGCGGGATTGGTTACCTCCGCTGGTATTGCGCTTCCTCACGCCGCCCTGTCCTTTATTGCGCTTATTATAGGAGGCCTTGCGCCCCCCGCCACCGCCGCCTCGGCCACCACCGCCTTCTCCTCGCACCCACGGCCGGGATGGTCGAGCTTGGGTTTGCAATTCAGGGCTGCCAGTTTGATTTGCTTGCTCGAGGCGGGAATGAAACGCGGAAACTTCGGGTCGTGGCCGCTGCGGTGGTGCAAAAAAGTGTGAGGTCTCGCCGGCACTAGGTTCTGCATCGAACTCAATGTCGGAGCTAATGAGGTCTACGATATCCTCGTCATTCTGGTCAGTCCCGCCCATCATTTCCTCATACATTTCCTGATGCTTGCGCAAAATCGGGAGCAGCTTCGGGCCGTGCTCTCGAACCTTGTCGCCATCGATGCCAGGAATGCGGCCCATGCGGTCAATAGTAGTAGTCCAATTGATGGCCATTTCCTGAAATTGCTTCTCATTGAAAAGTGGCCGTCGAAGCTCCTTCTTGTTGCGTATATGCTCTTCAAGTCTCCGTGCTTGTTGCACAAAAGCCATGACAATGTCCTGGTGTATTTCGGGTAAATCTTCCATGCACTTATTGGAGTGGATCGGAGGACCAAATGGCTTCACTGGGGTTGCTTTTGTGGCGGGTTGCTTTTGTTTTTGCTTGCTGGTGCTGGGTTTGGCTGGTCGGTGGCTGGGTAAGTCGGCAAAAGTGTCGTCCTCGTCCTCATCATGTCCCTCTTCCTCGTCCGAAATGACGAACCCATCATCGGCATATCCGTGCGAAGTTGCTGGGTAGTCCTCGTCATCGCTATCAAGCACTCGAGGGCGCGTGCGGCGCTTGCCCACCGGCGAAGACACATAGGTTGATTGCAAGTTGAGCGTTTCCTGGCCTTTACTCTTGGTCTTCTTGGTGGAGGGTTTCTTTTTTCCAGCAGCAGCTTCGAGTTCACTGACCTGCACCGGTATCATCAGCTGTTGCTGACGATTGAGAAACTGGTAAGCCCTAGGCCCTGTGGCCAAATATTGGATAGCCATGCCATATTTGCTAACTACGTTGTCTTCGCAGAAAGCCTTCTCCGCCAAGAGCTTGTCGATGACGTTGATGATCTGGTGCTTCATAAGCCCCCGACAGTCGCCAAAGCACTCGCCAGAGAATTCTGGATCATGCGGCTTCTTCTTTTTGCCGAGTAGATAGTCCGCGCACTGAGACCCAGTCAATTTGGTGCGCTTCTCGTGAAGCTGAATGACTCTGATGGCCGATCTGGCGCAATCTGAAAAGTCTCGTTGTTCAAACACCTTTCCCGATTGACAATTGTCACAATTCTTCTGGCATTGTGCCGCCGAGAAATCTTCTCCAAAGTAACGCAGGACTTCTGTTCGGCGACAGTCCCATTGGTTGTCGCAGAATGAGGCGACTCTGTTGAGCATCTCCATTTGCCTGTCCTTTTGCTGTTGGTTGCCTTCACCATCCGTGATCATCTTCTTGAGAACTGTTATGTCTCTTTTTCCATAGAGAAGAATGCAATCGGATGGCTTGCCATCTCGGCCTGCACGGCCAGTCTCCTGATAATACCCTTCCAAGCTCTTCGGCAGTCCGTGGTGAATGACAAATCGCACATCCGGCTTGTCAATGCCCATTCCGAAAGCAATAGTCGCAACAACCACCTTAACATCACCTTTTTGCCATTTCTTCTGCACACTGACTTTCTCGGGGGGTGTCATGCCAGCATGGTAGTGATAGGCAGAGATACCTGCCTCTCCGAGTTTCTTGGCGACATTTTCCGTCCCCTTGCGAGATAGAGCATAGACGATGCCAGTCAGACCAGCATAATGAGAGTGAATTAGGTCAGCGATGGTTTCAATGGAGCTGGCGGCTGTGCCCTTCGGTCGGACTTCGTAGAATAGATTTGGTCTGTTAAAGCTTTGTGAAAAGACTTTACAGGTGTGCATGCCAAGGTTGTGCCTGATATCGACGATGACGTTTTGCGTGGCTGTGGCTGTCAATGCCATGACAGGGACGTTGGGGAATTTCTTGCGCGCTTGACCCAGAGCTTTATAGTCGGGGCGGAAATCATGGCCCCATTGGCTCACGCAGTGCGCCTCGTCAATTACCAGCCTGGCAAACTTGCCGTTCTGATACAATTTTTGAAGCGCGGCATTGAAAGCCATGTTCTTGCTGATCATCTCGGGCGTGATGTACAGTAGCTCAATAAAATGTTCTGGGCTGCGTTCTCCAAAGGCATTCATGACTTGTCGTTTATATTCAGCGGAGCATTCTCCGTTGAATGCGACGGCTTGAATTCCAAGTGCCTTCATGTGGTCCACCTGATCTTGCATGAGACTCAGTAGCGGAGAGATGACAATGGTGACACCGCGTGTCTTGCCTGTCCTAACCACCGCAGGAAGCTGGTAGCAAAGCGACTTACCACCGCCAGTAGGCATCAGAACAAATGCATCCTGGCCGGACAAGGTTGCGTTGATGGCTTCCAGCTGATTTTGTCTGAACCCTTTCATACGAAACCTATCCTTGAGCATCCTCTGCACTTCTGGAGACCAGGGGAACTTCATCAGATGCGGCGGGATGGTCAGCTCTGGCTGCACAACGACTGCAGGCTTTCGGGATGCAGAACGAGCCCTAGAGACTGGTGCAGCATTTCCAGACGTTTCAGAAAAGACTCTGCGGCTCTTTTGGGACTGTTCCTTGCCCGATTGCTGACTTTCATAGTCTTGTGCAAACGCTAGCATATCCGCATCGTCACTGAAGTCGCTGAACTCATCTCGATCACGCTGGGGGATGCTGCGGGACGCGTTCTTGGAAGATTTCTTGGCAGATCGTGGAGGGGGTGGGAGCATAATGTCGTCATCAAACTCAGACATGAGCTCGTCCTCGAATGGATCAATGTCTGCTAGCGTTGTTGATCGCATATTATTGAGAGCAGGCCGCAAAGCCTGGCTACCAGGAGCCCTGGGGAATGGCGCGTCAAGTCTTTGCGCTGCCTCTAAGCCAGCTGCATAGCTGTTGATACCAGTATGAGGGTAATGATGCAAGAAGCTGGAGCCGGGGGTCTCTCCGATCTGAGTTTGATGGACAACTTGTGTCGCATGCGCCATGCCAGGTTGAGGATCCAAACTCGGCTCTGACATGTCAACCGTCACCCCCGCTACGTGCTGAGTTCCCAGCACAACGTTTTCAGATTGAGAAGTGCCTTGCCCAACCGGTACCAGGTCGAGACAATCAGCTTCTTCAACACCAGCCATTGTTAGCTCTTGCATCAGTTCTTTCTCTTTTTCTTCCACTGCGATCGTAATCTCGTCGAGCTTTGCCTCGTCCTCGTCAGTCTCCATCTCTTCGAGGTATGCCTTAGCAACGTGGGCGGCAATGGCCTCACGCTGCTGGCATATTTCAACATATGATCGGAAGGATATGGTGAGTGCTTCGAGAGACTTCTTCTGCTGCAACAAGCGTTCCTTCTCTGTTTTGATTTCGCCACGTTTCTCCTTTGTACATCGCGCCTCTATCGCCTGTTTAAATTCGCGTGCGTTTTGCTGAATAAGAACATCGAGCTGCTGGAGTTTGTTGTCCAGAATAGTAGGATTTTGTGACAAATAGGACAATATGCGTGGGGCTTGGCTCGATTGCACATCGTTTTGCGGCGGCAGCATGATGATATCGTCTGTTGAGGTATCTGCCGAGGCAGTTGTCCCAAGTCGTGGCTGGGGTGAGTCCGCTACTACTTGGCTAGCCTCTGACTGTAAAGCTCGTACTTGCTGGCTCCGCTGGGATATATTTGCGGTTTTGAATGACGGCGGCGTTACAAACTCGTCATCGGAGTCGGGAATGAAGTGTTCCACTCGCTCAATGTGTGCACTCATACCGTCGGGAAATTGAACGAGTGGTGGCGTCGCTGCTGGAGTACTCAATCGTCTGCTATCATGTGTTTGTATTCGCTGCTGTGAAGATACGGATACTTCATTTCGACATTGGGAAAGGCCGGATTGGGGCCGTTTCGCAGCAACCGCCCGACTTGGGGACGAAAAGTCGTCCGGAACACTACTGATCGAATGGAGCCTCTGTTTTCGGGCAGAGTGCATTGTTGTTTCCGCATCTCGATTTTGGTGGCGCTTAATGCTGGTTGAGCCGTTCTTTCGGGAGGACGACTTCCAAGCTGGTGTCGACATTGGACGTTCGGTGCCAAGCATTTGATATACATCAGCGAAGTGATCCTCAAGGTCCGCTTCAAAGCCATTGATATCGCTGCTCTTTCTCTTTTTGCCGCTTTTGGGTTGCGAAGACGTTGTGCTCTTGCCAACAGACGATTGCAGTCGGACCTCTTTAACAAACTCCAATGACTCGGCCGAGTGCAGTGTGTCCGTTGTCAAGTCCATGCATTCAAGGTCGTCGGCATCGATATCCGTAAACTCCAGTCCAATGCTCGAAATCGGTTGCTGGAACGCGGGTTTCGGTTTGCTAGAGGAATATTTTCCAAGGTCCGTCCGCGAGCTCGAGGGCGGGTCTCTCTTGCTTGTGCTAGCTCTGACATCGTGAATTGTTGAGCCGGAGGATTTCGGTGTCGTATTTGCGGATTTTTGAAACAGTAAAGAGGGCTTTTGGGACTTTGTTGTCGAAGTCAAGCGGCCCATGTTGTCCTGGGACAGCTGGGCCGAGCCGTGCGCTGGTGGTTCTTGCCCGGTCCTCTCACGAAGTCCATTTGCCGTGAGGCTGGACAACGATTGAGAAGTTTGTGAGTCTTGTGGCTTGTCCTGCCTTCTCAGAGCCTGAGGCCGGGGGCTGGGAGGCAGGATTGAGTCCGACGCGTCCGAAATGCCGAGATACAGTCCAGAGGGCGTAGGAAAGTGGCGAGGCGGTGGTGTTGCTAGGGAAATGTTGTCGAGCAGCCAAGTCAGATGGTCGGCAAGGTTGTTGCGAGTCATGAATTCGACAGCTTAGCATCGAGACGAGGAGTGAGAACGGCTTCTGAGAGACATTTGACAAGAGCTGGTCACGACAATAGCTGGCTGTTTATTGTACTTGGTACCGCCATCGTGAAGCATCGTGCCTGGCCGGACTAGTGGGGTCCGCGTTGAGACGCGTCGGTTAGTCAGCGAGATGCGAAAACACGTGATGGCGGGTTTGCAGGGGAACAGTGTAAGTGGTCACTGGGGAATGTTGATGGATTGTTGCTAGAAAAGATGAGGGTATCGAGGTTTTTTTTTTTTTTTTTTCAGCAATTGCGATTTATTTCTCGTGTTGAGGTGGTACGTCCACCGAGCGTCGTTCGATTTGACTTGGCTGAGAGTACGTACCGTTGGCGGCCACAAGGCGGCGGCGCGGCGGTGAAGCGGGCTTGACATGACGCAGGAACCGGGAGTAAAGATATGAAAAAAACTTGTGAGACTTGAATGTTGTGCAGCCAAGACTGTCAGCCAGGTACGGCACTAATAATAATACAGAGCCAGGATGCACTACTGAACCCATACACAACGGCAGACTGCGACAACACGACGATCTCTGGCGCTTGCACCAAGATCAACGCCAATGGGCCTTGAAGCAATGACCACGTTTTAATTTGTTTCTAGACATGTAATTCCACAGCCAAAAGAAATTGTCTTCCAGCACTGCACACCGCAAATCGTACTTGTTGCTGAAGGTTCAACGAGGCCGCTCTCAGGCACCGAGAGTGGGTGGGGAGCGGCTGTCGGCGGCATCGGCGGACAAGGCTGGCGGCGCCGCAATTCGGTGTTGCTGCAAGTTTGCCTGTGCGGCTCCGGCTGCCGGGCAGAAAGGCGGTTGGCCGAATCGGGTAACTCTCAATGCGGCTGCAAAATTCGCTGCTGCTTTACTGGAGCGGGCTTGTGCCCGACCATCTAGTGCGCGACCTTAGACTAAAGCGGCGCCCATCCCGCCTCCACCGATGTTCAGGCCCCGTCGCCGCATCGACAGGATGCTTGGTTCCGTGTGGATCCGAGTCTGACTGTGATTCAATTCTCTCGTAGGCGGCTGTCGGATTGTGTGGCTCGATCGAATCCTGATGATAAATGGACGATGCCTCTTCTGATTTTGGTACTGGCTTCCTTGGCACTTCCACTCACTAACGTTTCTCCCCTGTGATACTCGCTTGCTTCTCTAATCCAACACTCGATTGTATGTGGAAACGATTGGATGCTCGAATCCCTGAAACTACCTAATTATCGATATTACCAAGATTCCGTCACAATGGCCAAATCCGAAGTTGTCATGGAATATGGGACGGACCCGACCTCGGGTCATTCGTCTGATGACGAAAACCACCATGGCAGTCTAAAGACAACTCTTCCTCCTCCACCAAAGGGCGGCATCGTCGGTCACTTTACGAGCGATATTCGACCAACCATGTTCGCCGAATTGCAGCTGCTGATACTCACTTTTTGCACTGGCATTCAAGGTACGTTGAGTTGGCTATTCAACATCCAGCACATCTCCCGCTAACCTACCTTGCCGCCTAGACGCCACTACCTTTCCCGACTACCACTGCTTCGCTTCCAACCAGACTGGCAATACCGTCCTCCTGTGCCTGGCCATTGTCTTTCCTCAAGCCAACGGTGACCTCTTCATCGTCCCCAACATCGGCATGGCCCTCGGCCTCTTCCTCAGCGCCGGCTGGCTGACGGGACAGCTCGGCCACATGGTCGGCCCCCGCAAGCGCTGGTGGCTCGTTCTCTGCAACCTGATACAGACCTCGCTCGTACTTGCCGCCGCCGCCGTGCAATACAAGTTTGGCGTCCGCGACCGGGGCTCGTCGGCCCTCGCCGTCATTGGCCTGCTGGCCGCCGCCTCGGGCAGCCAGGTTGTGCAGTCGCGCAGTCTCGCCATGACGGAAATCAGCACGGCCATGGCGACGGCCGCATGGGTCGACTTGATTATCGACCAAAAGCTCTTTTCCATCAACAACCGTCCCCGAACCCGCCGGGTTGCTTTTCTCCTCGCCCTCGTTCTTGGCTCTCTGATCGGTGCTCTCATCTACAGGGAGGTTGGCTCTCCGACCGCGATTGCGGTTTCCGGCGCTGGAAAGCTCGTCGTCACACTCATGTTTATTTTCACCAACGCCGAGAAACAGCTGCAAAATAGCTCAGCGGTTTAATTCACGGAAAAATACACATTTTACGCATTCACGATATTTATACCCTGATCCTTATTGGGATCTGGCGTACCGCTTTTATTTCGGGTTGGCATCATAGCGGTTCACGCATTCCACTTTCGGCATAGAGAAAATCACCTTCATATTCTGCATAACATCATATTAGATTTTTCAATTAACTAGACATTTCTGTAATAATTTTACCTGAATCGTGTTTTCCACAGTGTCTACTGCCCATCTCGTTGGAAGCATGACGAACGTGGATGCCTATGCCCGACATGTTTTAATTATCATACACGGAGACACCGAAATCAACGCCCACTATAGCTTGCAACTGCCTTGACTCAAAAAAAAGGATGCTTGACTGTGCTTAGTATCAAGTCGCCGATACGCCGCCGATTCCGCCGATTGTGGCGCTGGCCCGTGTTACAAGCCTTATTTCCGGGCGAAGGATTTTCAGCTGGATCCGTCTTAACTTGCCTTTGCGAAGATACTTTCTAGCCAGCCACATTATGCAGGGCTGACACCCCGTTGTGAAGTTGACCTCGAGCTGAGCGTTTGTCCCTGCAGAAGGCTTGCATGAGTTATCAGTGGCTGGATCCTCGAGAATTAATGCATCGGCTCGGTATGATCGCTCGCTACTATACTACATTGCAGCTAGCTTACTAGAACTCTGTCAACTCTTTCGCGACGTTTTTACGTGTGTGGCAAAAAAAAATAAAAATGGTATTAGCAATTATAGTGAAAAAAATCCACGCCTTGTCTTTTTTTATTGGCCCGATTGATTGCCCCAGGGCTATGCTGAGGAGAGGACCAAGCACCACTTCACAGCAGTTGGTAGCCCATCACACTGCCGGTTTCCCGTGAACTCACATTCTTTGGTGCCGTGCGTTCCCCGACTAAGTCTGATGCTATCATAGTAAGAAGAGAGCGAGGGTGGGTGGGTGGATGGAGTGCAAAGACATGGATTTGACGACCGGCATGGAAGCGCAATGCCGGCGTGGCTCGAGTTCCTCGAGTTCATACATTTGTTGAATCCGATCTATCCTATCAGTATCGTGATCAGCGCCACACCCGTATAATCCCCGGCGGTGAGCACCGCTCGGGCTCCCTCGGCCGAGAAGCAGATCAGCCATGACAGACCATGCTACCACAATGGCTCAATCCTTGCGCACTTATCCTGAGTAACTCGTACATGGGGGGCGAGTGTATCGCGGCCCATCGAAGGAAGATTCAGGACGAAACTCGGCCCTATAACGAAGACTTGCAGAGACATTCAGACGATAACCACGTTGCTAGAGCGAACTGAGACACGGGCGCATCAGAGACAAAAAAACAGTATAGAGAGATCTCTGGAAGATCCCAGCCAGCCCCTTCGCTTGTATGAACTACTAAGCGACCGCCATCCCGCAATATTGAGCTAGGTCGATCTCCAGGATGATCCCGAATATGTTCCACAACTTTAGGTGATGAGGCCGTAAGCAAGGACGCCATGAGGCAACCTAGCGGGAAGGACGTGCTACTTGACCGCCAAGGCCGATACGCAGAGCCACGGGTAGACCGAGTATCATCTGCAAGCTTATATGTCGTGCAGCTGGTCTCAGAGCTTTGACGTGCAGATTTCCAACGTCGTTGGACTGGCCAGTCTCGTCAAGAAGCCTGGTGCCACAAAGACTACTGTGCAATGATGGTTTCCAAATACCAGGGGACTACATTCTCATGAGCGAGACGAAAATGCCCCAATTACTTCTTCACTAGTTTCTCTTGTTGTACGCCGCACTAGGCAACTCAAACCGGCCATCTACCCCATATGATCGACAGCATCCGAATTGCGGGGGCGGAGCATGTTCCTGACTGGGCTAATTGTCCGTCAACGCCCGACAAGTGCCGGGATTTCGGATAGGAAAAAGGCCGTAAAACACGGTTGAAAGGGCAAATACGATGAAAATACTGGAAGGCGCTCTGCATACTTTCAGACAGCATTCTGTGGGCGCAATGACAGAGGCAACATGCAGCAACGCAATTGTGGTTGCACCATGTAAGCGCCACCGTGACACAGATGCCTAGGTCGAGGCAAAAGGAACGGGGAGCGGAGCCGAGGGCCAGCTGCTCGTCAAAAAAAAATAGATTTCAGCTTCACGATTCGGAAGAGCCTCCACAAAGCTGCCGACTGGCTTGCGGGCTGCAGACCATCATCCGTTGCGGCAGCCTCCTGGTAGCGGTCCGCTATCGTAGCCGCAACCCACTCCCCCCCCCCCCCGGACTTGGTCTATGTTGACGCCAACCGTGAAACATGGAGAAGAACAGGCTGCTGGCCTCGGCGCAGTCTACCAGGCTGGGAATAGTTGGCAAGTCCGGTCGGGCAGTCGCCCCGTTTGAGTCCGCTTGCATCGACGGCAACGCCGTCGTCTGAACTGGCCCCGTCGTGTAAGCGGCCAGGCGCACGCGACAAACCAACCCCGCCATTAACATGCGAGATGTGTAGTGACTATTCTGTATTTTGTTTTTTGTTTTTTCTCTTTTCCCTTCTCTATAAAGAGGGCGGTTTCTGCTCTCGAGGAGTGAGGGGGAACAGAGCAACAATCTGTACACCAGTCAAGAAAAGAAGCCATTGGCGCAATTCATACCAGGAGGCAACCCTGAAATTTCCAACCCTCACTTCTTTTCTAATCCAGCATGCAACCTCTCAACCTGCTCCTTGCTGCCCTCTTTGGCACCGCGGCCCTGACCGCGCCGACCTCGGGGGACCGCGCATACGCGGATCTGGCGCAGCGTGGCCTCGACACCAACAAGTTTCTCCAGTACATCCTCACCTACTTCCCTGGGCAAATGGCCGTGCAGGACGCCTGCGCCGTCATCGGCAAGGGCGAGACCCTGCTCGGCGACGTCTTCCGCCTGTCGTCCACCGCCAACAGCGACGGCTGCAAGGACGTCACCGTCGTCTTTGCGCGCGGCACCTGCGATCCCGGCAACGTGGGCGTCCTCACCGGGCCGGCGTTCTTCGCCGCCGTCAGGGCGGCCGTCGGAGGCAAGAGCGTCAACGTCCAGGGCGTCGCCTACCCGGCCAGCGTGGCGGGCTACCTCGACGCCGACAAGGCTGCCGGCCTGACCATGTAAGTCTGCCACACAGCGAGGGGTCGCTATCCTCCGCCCCCTCGTACATCCGGTGCGGGACAAGCTTGGGGCTACTAATGTTGCAAATGGCAGGGCTCAAATTGTGCGCGATACTCGCTCTGCCTGCCCGAATACCAAGATTGTCATCTCTGGCTACTCCCAAGGCGGCCTCGCGGTCCATAACGCGGCCGACGCGCTTGGCGGCGACATGTCCAATGTCAGCGCCGTCGTCGTCTTTGGGGACCCAATGTCTCACTATCCCGTATCCAACATTGACGCGAGCAAAGTCCGTATTGTCTGCCATGGTGGCGACAATATTTGCGACGGAGGGGCCATCATCTTCCCCCAGCACCTGACTTATGCCGCCGACGCGGCGTCTTCCGCTGCCTTTGTTGCTTCAAAGGTTTAAGCCTGTACTTACTGAGGTTGTACAAGGCGCAATCTGTATACAGTTGCGTATTTATAAAGGGAGAAATTATATGGTATTATGTTGGCATATTCCTGTTCGTGGTGCACTGGGACTACACTACATAGTCACAACATTCTGCTCTGTCGCGCATGTTCTGCACGATTTCTGTCTTGTTCGCACGACGTGGTCGATTCCAGCTAAAATAAAATAAAATATACAATCTATTACTTCAATCTCCTAGCGTTTTCTTGTACTAATGATATGAAAGAAATTAAAGAGTCAAAAGGGCAAAAAAAGATGTGCGACACCCGCGTCGAGCTCATCTAGCTGTGTCCTGTGTCGGATGTGTTCGACATCGTCAGAAACGAGGCACCCATATATTTCGCACATAGAAATCCCATACTGTAAATCATCAATCAACTGTCTTCACGGCTACCCCTGGACGCGCATAATCTTGAAAGCAGCTCTGTTTCAGTAATTCCAGAAGCATCAGCTTTTCCATGGTTTGCAAGACCGAGTGGGCAACGCCTGACGAACGCGTGCCGCGAGAGCGAGAAAGGACCGCCACGAAAACAATTGGACGTATTACATATCCCTCAAGGCGACTCCAAAAAGTTCAAAGACACAAAATGACAAGTCAGTCAGGCCCTGTTGAGGAAAGGCGTTGTGCATCACCAAGCCAGTGGGCCGGTATAGGTTGTTGGTGTGTAATAGCCATACTCTTCTAACAATCAAGCACCCAGGTCTTGTAATTACCTAACGGCGATGCTCTCAGCTCAGCTCAGCACCAGGATGCGCCAACCCCGCGTCAGACACGGACGTGTTCCAGGGTATCACGGACAACCGCCGTCATATGTATGGGCGGTCGGCAGAGATAACAACGCCTCCGCAAAACCCCAGAGGCCAAAAAAAAATCCAAATGTGCCGGAGCTAGTGTGCGTTGGGCAGGTGAGCAAGCTCAGGATTTCCCTCTTCGGGGCTAGCAGGTGAGTCTGAAGTCTGGGGTGCCGGTCTGAGAGGGACGAACGATCATTCTCTTAATAATAACTTGTTCTGGTGGCGGTGGTGACAGGTCGGAGGAGCAAGAAAAGAAAATGGCTACTGTATTTCCCCGCACGGCGGTACGCTAGAGTAGCGCTTCTTGGATATATTGCTTTGTGGGCTTGCCAAACACGCTGACCCATGCGATGATAAACTCCGAAATCACGGATCCGGATGTGGGTTTCTACACCAAAGACTAGCAGCCGAGGCGGGACAAGTCTATCTCGTCGAAAGACTATCTCGTTGGCCCAGATGCTAGTGTACAAACTAAGCAAGTAAAGTCATGGCACATCTACTTGGTGCCCGTGGTCTCCCTCCTACTCATAGACTGACCACTTCATCAGTCGAGTAGATACTTTTATTCTTGTCTCTATTGTCTTGTAGTCTTTTGAAATGTCTGTAGTTCGGTAGTTCGGTACATGTGGCGGTCTGCCAAGTACGATCCAGTTCTCGTTGATGAGGCGATACGCTCAGCTGTCGCCTCGCCCGCGCCCCAGCGCTCATGACAAATAGAAAAGACATAGGTTGACGCCAAGTCCATTCAAGCTGGGTTGGTTATCTTGGTCACCATGTTTTATTCCGAGTCTTTTTTGAATTATTTAAGCTATACGGAGTACAAGAAGCAGTATAGTATTTGGCCTGACCCATCATCTGTCAGGGTATCCAGGCGGGCCAAACCCCAGTTCATCTGAAAAGGGGATTATTCTACGGATACATTAATTAATGCGATGCACTTCAACGTCATTATAGTACGGGGCCACAGTGGATTCAAGTGACAATCGTGTCGCGGCCTGCCAAAGACAGCCTAGCCTGTCAGAAAGACGCCCAAGATCCCGAGATGAAAATGCCGCCGTATTCTCCGGCGGCTCCGAAAACGGACGAGAGAACCCACGGCCCATCGCTGATCAATATGTAGCGACGGATAATGGATGGACCATTGATCATGACATTGGCAACTTGAGGCTTCCGTACTCACTCGCTCGCAGCCATACAAGCCCGAGCGCTAGCCCGCGGGCCGGCCAGGCACAACGGGCGGCTGAATGCCCGCCCGGAAAAGCAACGGCTCTGGATTTCCACGCGAATATACAGAGTAATAGCCCTGATACTGGACCCTTGGTTATCTTTTACGCTGCCCAATAGCTTGCCTGCCTAAGTTCTGGACCGCGCCACGCGCCACGTGCGCCACTGAGGGTAGCCGGCCACGACTATTGGCGAAAGAATGCCGTGCGTTTGTCATGATAATGGATAGATAACTAGACGCCAGAGAGGCCCTGAAATAAAAACGCCCTGGCTCCAATGCAATTCCATTACATCACAATTTACCCCGAAAAAAGCCACCCCCCCTCATGAGGCTGGCAGCTGTCACAATTGAGGGGACAGCTCGTTGTCAACCTAATCTCACTTGTCAGGAAGCAAAGGGACGATTCATGAAACAAGAGTTCTGGGGAACTACCGTTGGAGAAGCCAGGAAAATCTCCGTCAAGATTGCCTGGCCTAACCAAACATGGCAGGTACATGGAGATTTATTCGACACAGGAGAGTTGGCTTGGCCGAGCAGTCGACGTCGTCTGCGGGTTTCGGCGGCCGACATTGAACTCTCAAGGATGCTCATCACTCGATACTGTACCGTGGAGCTTCTCCTGCAACCTCCATGATATAAAGCCCGACCGTTGCCCCCGACCATCATGGACAACATCATCATCACAAAGCACTCGTCTCTCAACTACCAACTCGCAACCAGCTAGCTTCCCACCATGCTTTCCAAGCTCGTCTCCGGCCTCGCGGCCCTTTCCCTCGCCTCGCTCGCCCTGTCGCGCCCCAATTCTGGCTATGCCATAGAAGGGCGCTCCCTGGAAGAGCGCTCCCTGGAAGAGCGCGCCGCTGTCAGCAGCACCATCTGGTGCGGCCCGGTCCTCGCCGCCGCCGCGCGCCAGGTGTCCGCCGAATGGACCATTCCGCGGGTGACCCTGCCGAGCCCGAACGTCGGCCAGACGGCCCCCATGTTCTACCAATGGGTCGGCATGGATGGCGTGCGTGCCTCGAGCTGCGGTTCCGCTCTGCTCCAAGCCGGCACCTCCCAGGTGGTACGTATTTCTTCTTTCGTGTTTCTCTCTTCTTCTTTTTGGACTCTTGTCCAGGCCCAAAGTCCAAATTATTGACTTGTTCAACCCCAGTGGAACGGTAGAGCCTTCGTATACGACGTCTGGCTGGAGTTTTACACCCCGGCTAACACGTCCTCGTGGCACTTCACCTACCCAGTTGGTATGTGCTCGAACTCAAGCGACAAGCGAGTCTCAAGACAGAGTGAAACTAACAAACCGGAAACCAAGTCCGTCCTGGTGACAATGTCCGCACGACCGTGACGGCCGGGTCCGATTCCCTTAGCGGAACTGTGTAAGCCAGCGTTCTTTCGCAAAAAGGCTCCCCGTGACTGACATTTCATCACCAGTCTCATTGAGAACCTGACCAACCGGCAGTCGAACACTTGGAACCTGAGGGCCACTGGCAACTACCCTCTCTGCTTCCAAAACGTCGAGTGGATCAACGAGGCTCCTACCGGCAAGCTGCCCGGCTTCCCCAACTTCAGCTTCAACTCGCTCTCTTACACGGACTGGAACGGAAGAGTGTCCACGGCTACTGGCGCTAACCTCTGGTACATCAACACATCCAGCGCGCAGTGCTCTGCCACCCTGTCGAGCGATGGCAGGACCGCTTCCTTCACCAACGCGGCTCCCCGATAGTTGCTTCACCAACGCTGCTGCCCGGTAGCTACTTTATCAACGCGGCGAAAGTTAGCTTAGAGGTGATTTGCCTAGGTAGCTGTTTAGTTTCAAGAACTTGAAAGAATAAGAGAGAAAATTGTGGTCCATATTCGACTTGTCTTCTGAATACCGTGATTCGAGGCTAGACGAGTGTGTGTACGTTGTACGAAATAGTCAAGAGTCTCCGCAACCGGTGCCAAGATTGGAGTCAGTTGAACGGGGCAGAGATGTCTTGGATGTACAACAAAGCCACCGATGAGTTGACAGTTCAAGACGAGCAGTGGAGCTGTTGCCTGCGATCGTGCCTACAGACCGCCGTCTTGGATGAACCTATCGGGGGCGGAGCTGCCGCCTAGTGCTGGTCAGGGGTATAGGCCAAGCCGTGGCTAGCACCAAACCGTCTTGTTACCGAAGGCTAGCGAATGTGGTAGCGAAGAGCGGCTGCTGGACCGAGAGGATTCACGGCCGGGGATACGAGCTGCCAGCGAGGCTGCATGATGTTGTTTGTGGAGGTTTTGGCGGCTGGCGGCGGGCAATTGGCCGCCACTGGAGCTGCTGCCTGCTGCCTGTGCAGAACTGCACGCTACGGTGACGACCAGAGACGAAGCCGCAAAAAATGGAAAAAAAGAAAAAATGGAAAAAAATTGTATCATCTTCTATTTCATTAATTCGTATCATTTCGTATAGAGACATTGAGCTTCCTGTGCGGATACCGGAGACTCTATGGTCTTGCAGCGCACTTAAACATGGGAATAGCAACAAGCATCTTCAACGGACTTAATAAGAGCAAGAAAGGTGCACTACGGTCTTATTTGCTATTATGATTCCAAGTTGTCATTTCTACGACGAGGCGGGCAAATATACTGCCAGTGAACAATACTATTGTCTCCCATTCTTCCTATTTTCTTATTATTCCTGAACTTTTTTATCTCTCTACTTCTAACTATCTTTCTGACCTTGTCATGTATTTGTTTTGTTCCCTTTCTTCATTACTAGGAAACCTCTTTAATAATAGAGTGTAAACTCATCTGTCTGGCCTCTCTTTGTCCCGCATGCTAGCTTCTCCTTGGCAGCTGATGGGGTTCGCGGCACTAGGCTTCAGCTGCTTTATTCACGATCGTAGGCAACAGCTCCACTGCACACCTTTAACCCTTTAACTCTTCATCACGGCCTTGTCAGTGTGGCGTCTTGGCTGCGCTTTGATAGGCAGCATGCGGCGATGGCGTCGCTTCAGCTCCAGCTTGTGGAGCTTGCCTGCCTAAGAATGCCTTGACAATGGGGAATTGCAGGCGCCTTTGTTTCCTCCAACTCGAAATCTGCCTCAGGAGCCGACAGCCAAGGCTACTTATAAGCCGTCGCTATCCTCACGACTTGAAATTGAACTCGACGCTTCAATAAGACTGGCGCATCCAGCTCACCACATCGTCACTACTTCTCAGCTCGAATTTGTTCGGGTCAATTGCCATTCTCTCTCTCAGTCCTCTCCAACAGCCTTGATCCTTCTTCCCTTGTCCACCACCATCAATACCGCCCGCCATGGAAGCCCTCCCACAGCTGCCTGCTCCTCATGGACAGCTCGCTCGTTACATCGCCGACAACACAGACAAATCCATGATTGACATCATGGAGCCCTATCGCAAGTACGAAGCAGCACTCCGAGGCGTTTTTGCGCAGGATCGCCAGAATCCTGCTCTCAATGACCCGCACATCAATGTTCTACCCCTCTTCACCGAGGATACCAGCCGCATCACCACCCGGGCTCGAGACCTTGCGTCCGAATCCGACGAGGAAAAGTCCAAGTACATCATGGCACTTCCGGACGAGCAGCGTCGGGTGCATGGTTCTCCGGCCACCGTCGGCAGCATTGATGCGTTCAAAAAAAACTTCAATCTCTTCTCTGAGTCTTCTCTGTCAGAACTTGACTGGAGCAATGTTGTCGCTGCTGGTTCTTCTGTCGTCAATTGTCTCTTGCCTGTTCCCGAGGCCTTCAATGTGAACAAGCGCAAGCTCCGCGAGTACTATCACGAAAAGTTTTGCCCCGCGTCGGACGTTGACTTGTTTCTCTACGGACTTACTCACGATGAGGCTGTTGAGAAAATTCACACGATTGAGCAAGCCATCCGTGATGCTATTCTGAGCGAGGTCACCGTGGTGCGTACAAAGTACGCCATCACGATTGCAAGCCAATACCCCGTCCGCCATGTTCAGGTTCGTCAGAATCTAACCCCTCGACAAGCCTCGTATTTACTAACCTGATCAAGATTGTTCTGCGTGTTTACAAGTCCGTTAGCGAGATCCTCACTGGTTTCGACATTGATGCGGCAGGAGGAGCGTATGATGGCAAGCAGGTGTACGTGACACCCCGTGCGCTCGGAAGCTTCATCACTCAGGTGAATCATGTCGATCTAAGCCGCCGGAGTCCGTCATATGAGAATCGTCTTTCCAAATACTCTCATCGAAGCTTTGAGGTGTATTGGGCTGATTTGGACCGCAAGCGAGTCGACCCAACTATTTTCGAAAGAAGCTTCCAGCGAACCCTTGGCCTGGCACGCCTTCTCGTTCTTGAGCGGCTACCTACCAGCTCAGCGAGAGAGACGTACCAGAACAAGAGACGCCAGGAAAGAGGCAGGCCTCAGATTCAACGTCAAACCTTTCGTTTGTTCGGTAATATCAAGGGCAACCACGAGGATGAAATCGCTGATTGGCTTTCCGAGGAGGATGTCAGCAGCTACCATACCTTCACGGTGCCGTACGGAGAAAAGTTCCACGCCAAGCGCATTGAAAAGCTTTGCTATACCAGAGACTTGCTGTTGAATGCAGAGTGGAATCAACCCAAGGATCGCAAGGTCTACTTGCATCGGCACCCTGCATTTTTTGGTCGAGTCGAGGATGTGATTGAAGATTGCTGCGGCAGCTGTCCGGTCCCTGTCACGCAAGAGGAAACCGAAGTTGCTGAGAAGGAAGCAGAGATATACATCTCGGGCAAGGTATCGTTCATGATTGATGATCCCGGCAGACAGCAGATTGGCTCTTTCAATCCTCTCACAGAGCAGGATTGGACTGATATGGCCTACGTCGGCAACACCGCTCGACTATGCCAGTCCATTGTCGACGGCGATCTAGAGGATGTCATGAACTGGTTGTCTCAGGAAGGTGCGGATCCGAATCAGCGAGACTACACAGGCAGATCGCCTCTTCAACTGGCTGTCAGCTCATCTACTGCCGAAATTGTAAAGTGTCTAGTCGATCATGGAGCCCGCTTGACAGCGCGCCTTGTGGATGGAAAGACGGCTCTTCACCTCGCTGCCGCCCGCGGAAATGCCGAAATTGTCAAGATTTTGATGGAGAAGAGCATCAGCAATGAGGAAGAGGAGAATGACAAACATGACCGAAAACGACGAGCTGAAAAGTCGGAATCGCACGAAACAAAAGAATCCACCAAGGAATCGCGCGACAGCGACGAGGAATCCGAAAGCGAAGATGAAGACTCGGACGGGGAGCTCGTAGAAGCTACCACGACGGCAGACGTGGTCTCTGTGATTACAGGTTCCTTTGTCAAGGTCAAAGATGCTTCAAAGGGCGATGAGGATCGTCTTCCAGAGGAGTCCGAGGATGAACCAGATTACTACCAGATTGACGTTTTGGGGTGGGACATTCCGTGCTCTCCTCTACATCTGGCTATCGCAGAGGGTCACGAGCATATTGTCCAGCTTCTTTGCGACGTGAGTGCCGCCCATGCATCCCTGTCCTTTTTTTTTACATTCTAACATGCAACTAGTACGGCGCCGATGCCATTCTCCCTGTCAAATTCTTGAACTACGAAAATGCAGCTATTCTCACCCTTGTACTCGCCTTGTCCCTGCCGCCTGCAAAGGCAAAGTCCATGGCGGAGCTACTTCTGAGACTTGGTGCCATGTGTTCCCAGGCGGAGGGCAATGGACGCACCGCTTTCCACCAATATCTGAAGAGTGGAAAGTCTGAAATGGTGGACTTGCTTCTAACCAATGACAAGGCTGCCGCCAAGGCCGCAGTCAATCATCTCCTAATGGCAGGTTATTCTTGGAATATGACTGTGGAGGCGCCGCTTCAGATCGCCATTGAGAATGGTGACAGCGTCATGGCCATCAAGCTCCTTGATATCGGCGCGAGGCCTGAGATCGATTTCGACACCTGGTTGAAGGCTTCCCATTTCGCCACCGACGTCAATGTTTCCTCCAACAATCTGGAAGATAACAAAAAAATGTTCAAGAGGAACGTTGAGCAGCCTTTGCTCTGTGCAGTCCGAGCAGCAAGCGCCGATGTCGCTCTTCGACTTATTGAAGGGGGAGCAAGTGTCAATTGCCTGACACCCACCTCGGAGCAGCTGCTCCAGAATACTTACATGAGATCCCACAACAAGGGGGAGTCAATTCTTGATGTGCTTCAGCATATCATCAAGAAATTGAGTGAGCCCGAGGACAAGATCTCGTATCTGAACAAGCCCAAATTGCTGCCTGGCATGGACGAGTACTTGGCCAAGCTCACGCCTGGTTCGTATCTTCATACACTCGTGTCACACGACATCAAGAACAAGAAGCGGGACTTTGAGGCAAGTCTCAAATCTTACGAGGAGCAGTCCAAGAAGATGGACGCCAGGGGTGGTGCCAAAGAGAAACAGGAGGCCATTGATTCAGCAATTGCCGAGTTGAAAACGATTGAAAGGGCAATGATTGCTGCCGGTGCAAAGACATTCACTGAGTTGTATCCCGACGTTGAGACGGCCAAGGAACACAAAAGCAATCAGTACTATGGAGCTGAGAAAGAAAAAGAAGCCGTCTACGATTTTGACCTTTGGTTTCACAACGACCGCAATATGACAGACGGCCGCCGACAAGGATATATTGAGCTGTAAGTTGGCAACTTCATCTCGACTTTCTTATTTTCTTTGTTGATTTTATTTTCTTTATTTCCCCTCCCCCCCTTTGACGCTTTTACTACTTCCCGCCAATGCTAACTTGACAACAGAATGGAGGCAGCATGGCAAGGCGACATCAGCAAGATTAAATCGTTCACGCTTCAGCCTTGGGGCCCCAATCAAGATCAGCCTCCTCTCATGGCTGATATTCGCGATAACCACAACCATACGCCATTTTCATTTGCCTTTTTGAGAGGTCACTATGGCGCTGCAAAGACGGTCCTCGACGTGATGCAAGCGCAGTGGACTCCGCCGGAGAAAGACGAAGTCCGGTACAAGATGGATGGCGATGATGGTGACGGCGACGAGTACAGCGATGATAGGGACTGTTACTCGGATGATGACGACTCGGAGAATCATGTTCGGGTAGTTTCGGAAAAGGTGGACAAGAAGTACACGATCGACAACATCGGCGAGGTTTCTATGCAGGTAAAGTCACACACTAAGCCTGCTGAGCGGCTCATGGCCGGTTTCCGGGTCTTCACACTCGATAACGGCGAGCTTGTCGATGGCGAAGTCTACGGTACACTTTTCGCGCATGTTATCAAGAACGATGACATGACTGGCCTGAAGGAGCTGCTGGACATGGCCCAGCACTTCTCTGAACCTCCCAAGGCGGGCGACGAGGAGAACAAGTCAACCTTTACCTTTAAAGACACCGACTTCATCTTGGCTGTCAAGTCTGGAAACACGCAGGCGCTTCGCCAGATCATCAAAAAGACGGGTGCTGGAGTGCCACTGGACAGTCTTGTCAAAAAGAGCGGTGTCGAGCTAAAGCAGAAGTCTCGATACTACGAGGGCCTGACTGTCTATGGCAAAAAGAGGTATGCTACCATGACACAGATGCGGGAGAAACAGAGACTAATACAACCATTGCAGAAATGACTGGGCAACCGCCGGGCGCAACATGGTGATCCGAACCTCTGGCGTTCAGACACCGCCGCTCTTACACGCTGCGCTAGGCGGCCGGCTCGAATGCGTCGAGTTTTTCCTCAGCGACGTTCCGCATCGACTGTATAGCGAGTTCTCAAAGACCAAGCAAGCACAGGAGGACTCGCGCCTGAAGCATCTCATGGATGCTCCTGGCGGGTTCAACCGAGCAATCTCCAAGTGGCTCGGGGCAGACAGTACGTATTGCATCCTCGACTGTCACAAACGCGAATTAACCATCCTTGTCAGACGAGCTTGTGCTTCACTGTGCTGTCATGGCAGATCCGGGCCCGGAAGCCAACGAACTTGTAGAGTATTTGGTCGAGAACTCTCCCGTTTCTCTGGAAAAGAAGGCTGCCGGCGGATGCACTCCGCTGATGATTGCCTGCCAGCTTGGGCGCATCGGCTTCGTCAAAATCTTGATCGCCGCCGGCGCAGACCAGTCTACAAGAAACGACAAGGGCGAGAACATTATCCATGCAGTAATCAAGCCCGACAGCCCAGTCTGTCGCGCCCGAACCCTGCTCAACCTGTTGGACTCTGATCTGCGCAAGCATCTGTTCCAGCAGCGCCAAGCGCTCAAGGAGAACGGCACGTCCCCGCTGCACTCGTGGATCCTGGGCTACAGCAGCCGCGACTACAACTCTGCTTCGACCAAGAAGGTGGTGGCCATGCTCCGGCTCATCCTCGAGTACTCCAACGGCGAGGAGCTCGACATGCTCAACGGCGCCGGCGACACCTGCCTGCACAGTGCCATCTCGCAGGGCCAGCTGGCCGTGATCCGCTGCCTCGTCGATTTCCGGCCGCAGCTGCTGTACCGCGAAAACGCCGTGGGCCGGACGCCGGCGGAGCTCGCCAACGACCAGCTGGCGGCGCGCGTCTTCCGCACCGCGCGCGACAGCAACCGGCGCGCATACCGCAACGACGGCGCCAGCAGCAGCGCCCTGGCGCTCAAGCAGCGCGACCAGGGCGAGTTCCTGCTCGACAGGGTGGCGCAGGACGAGCTGCTCCAGAAGCAGGCCGACGCCATGCACGCGGCGTCGGGCCTGGCCGAGGCGTACACGCCGCACCAGCTCGCGCGCATCCTCGGCGCCATGGGCCTCGACAACCCCAAGGACTGGGACCGCAACGACCTGCAGGCGTCGGACCATCTCGCTGACCGCGTGGTCTGGGACCTCTGCGCCGGTGCCATGCGCCGCCACGCGGGCAAGCGCCGCCTCGTGAGCCTCAACGAGGCCAACGACGTCGCGCGCCGCCTCGGCGAGAGCGACGTCACGTCCCGCTACTTTAGCGTCAACAGCCGCCACGCCGCCGACGACGACGACGCGGGGCAGGACGGGGACAAGGAGGAGGATGAGGCCAAGAAACTGTCCGACTTTGTGCGCGAGTCGCTGCAGTGCGCCAGCCGGTGGCTCGTCCGGGCGGTGGATGAAAAGGCGGAGAAGGGCATCGCCAAGTGTGCGCAGTGCGACCAGCACCACACCGAGGAAGAGTAGGAGACTCTTTCCCAGTCCGCTCCATGTTCTGTTCTTTCAAGTTTACTTTGCTTCCCCATCTCCGTTTCCTCATGTAGCCACGCCGCGATGCCTGATAGTGTACGCATTGAATTGATATTCAGTATTTGACTCGAATTATTGAAAACGCCCCTTGAACTCATCAGACATATTTTGCTATATAACCAGGAGTAGAATAAACAGTCGTGTATTTTTCACAAGGGCCAAGCGAAAAGACCGCGTGGTGGATGTGGTGTTGTCAACAAGCAACGGGGAAGAAGCATTACAGTATTTTTTTGGTTCCCTTCCTCTGCATCATTTTCAAGATACCACGACCACCGGGGCACCATCTCCCCAGAGGCCTACCACCGACATGGCAAACGCCAGTCCCGCCAAACCCGCCTGCACCGCATACGCACGCTGGAGGCCCTGCACGCGGCCGCGGACGTCTTCTCCGTTGACCAGCTCATCCATGTCCTCCTCGCTCGCCGGCTCACTGTGGACATCACCGAGAACCTCGTAGCTCGCCTCCATGTGTGCGGCGCGCTGCTTCGGGCGGGTGGCAGGAGGTGTGGCGGCGGCGGCGGCGGCGGGAGCAGGTACGAGGAAGCGCGGGGCGGCGGCGCTCACGGCAGCGAGCACCGAGGCGTAGACGAGATACGGATGGCGCGCATGGCGCGGGGCCAGGACGAAGGCGAGGGCGAGGGGCAGGGCCGCGAGCGAGGAGAGCGTGAGGAGCGGCGCGCGGAGGGAGTTGCCGAGACGGCTGAGGGCGTCGCCGGCAGCAGCCGACGAGGGCAGCGAGAGCAGCGCGGGGAGGGCGAGCCGGGAGACGGCGTAAGAGACGCCCTGCGAGAGAATATTGTGTTAGTTGCGGGGCCGAATGGCCTCTCGTTTCGTTTTGTTTCGCTGGCGGGGGGAAGGGGAGTTCATTGGCGAACAAACGCACGGTTAGTAAGCCGAGGGACACGGTCCCTACAAACTTGAGGAGGGGAATGGCCTTGAGCGCCATGGTTCTCGAGTCGTTGGAACAGGTGCTTTGATGCGCGGAAGTTGTGGCAAGGAGGATGGGGGGCGGGAAGAGGGAAAACGGGGAGGAAGGGAAACCAGTGGCAGCCGACGGAGATGGAATGACCAGTGACGTTGGTTGGCGCGCCCGGGGCTTACAGCGCCTGAGGAATTGGCGCTAAAAAAGGAGCCAGAAAGAGGAGAGAAACAAGAGATGGCCTGCTTGGGCGAATGGACTCCACTTTGGGCGGTCGACCCCACCCACCATAGTATTTTTTTCCAACAGTGGGCAAATGCTCTCTCGTTCTCTGTCTTCTCCAACCTCTTGCGAGCTTACCATCCGAGAAACATCTCGACGCCCAATTCGCAGCGATGCAGGCAGGGCTTGTAGCGACGAGAAATCGCAAACGCTTTCATCACTTTCCGTAACCCCTTTTCCCCGTGAACTCTTCGATTGCACAGCGAACCGATTCGAACCCCCCCTCTCTCCAAAACGGTACGTTGCCTACAAACAAGACGCAATCCTTTCCTGCCGACACAAAGAAAAAAATCTCCAAATGATGATTCGTCGATATTATTCTATAATATCAACACCCTTCAAATCTTCAGGAAGAGCCGTCTGAGACGAACCCCCGCTCGCGTGCGGCCGTCTAGGTTTGCCTGTCCCCGCGGATTTGTCTCTTTCTCGACTCGTTTGTCTTTTGGTCTCTGCCGGCCGCTTCTCGTCTTAGAGAGGGAGTGTCGGTGACTGAGGCATTCGAGAAGAGGAAGGGGTTTGCCTTTTTTGGTGTCCGTTCATAAGGGGCTGGCCCGTCTGGTCGTCGCTGGGGGTCGTGGTGCTTATAAACTGGGTTTCTGAAAAGGAGATTTTTTTTCTTATAATTATGTGACTTGTTTCCTCGGAGCGAGACAGAGAATCATGGCTACCCTTCGGGTATCGTGACTCTTTGTCTCGTACTAGAAAACTTGTCATGTAACTACTTCACATCACGCTCTTTGCAAATCTCTGGATACATGTGCTAACAGCCATCTAAGTAGTTTTACTTTTCGATCTATAACTCGAAACGCCCCTGATTTATTTACTTTTCCCAACTCTAACCACAGCAGTCTAGTATCGCGCAGCCAATTATATTTTGCATTTCAATATACAGCATTTACCGTATAAAAGTGACTCCCCAAGTTCCCGTGCATCCCGTAGCCAGCACCTAAAGCCAGTCCATCTCACCATCCGAATCATCCAACACCACTCCTCGCCTACGCCCAGCCCGTCTAGCGACCACGTCGTTGCCCGACGGCTTTGTTTTGCCAATTGATCCCACAATGGAGCCCAGCTCAGGCACACCTTCACTCTCCTGCGTTGCGTTAAAGGCCGTGGGTTCGAAAAAGGGCTTGGACTTGTTGGCGGCGCCTCGAGGCGTCACCTGGCCAGTCGACATGGGCGACGTTGGTTGTGAATGCCCCATGCTTGACGTGGGCACATTGTCAGAGACGACAAAGCCTTCCAAGTCACCACCGGTGTCTGACCCATCCGTGTCCAAAATATCACTGGTCCTGTCACAATCGTCGCCCATTTCCTCCAGGAGGTTGACCGCCGTTTTTCCTTCGCCCTTCTGCTTGTCCTTCTTCTTGCCGCCTTTCTTGGTCGTTTTACGTTTCTTTCTTCTGGGGCCGTCGTCGCCGTCTGTTTCGGCCTCGGCGGCCATGTCTGCCAACGCCGCCTTGACAGCCGTCCGCCGAACCTCTATCAGGTCCGGTAGGCTTCCTGTTGAACCAGACGAGTCTCGCCTTGCATTTTGTGGTTCCACCGTGACTACTTCGTCGTCCGCCTCCGACTCTCCATCAGATGCCACAAATCGTCGAACTGGAATCTCTTGGTATGCGCTACCGTCGCTGTGTCGGCATGCTCGGACCAACTTGTCTGGGTTGGTGCTCATGGTATGCAGCATCTTGACGAACCGCTTGGTATGCGGGCCGTGTTTGAGCAACCACGTTGGACCCAGGCGTCGTTGTGATTCGGGGTAAGCAGTCATGCTAAGCAAGTCCGTCTCCTCATATGTGCTCTGGTTAAAAGGCAGGTCACGGTAGGATCGATTGAGCTCCTTAAGCTGTTCCTTGCTGAGAACCACGTTATCAAACTCTGGTACTTTACTCAAGTCGTCCAGTTCGGGGTTGCGCTTCGGTTCGGCCTTCTTCGTCTTCTGGCCCGGACCATTCATGAAATCCGTTACTTTCCGAAAGCCAGTTTCAACACCGTCCGGCATGTGAAACTTCTTCGGTGCCTTCTTCTTTCCCGCCACAGCTCGCTTCTTCTTGGGCTCCGGTAGCGACTTGTCTTGCGTGTTTTCCACAGGAATCTCAACATGTCTCTTGTCCACCTCGGGTCGTATGTTGCGAGGCACGATGCGCGTTGACAGGTCGAAGCGAAAGTTGAACCGGCTGCCTTCGCAGATCAAGGTTTGCATCTTTTCGTAGTTGTCTTTGGATTTTGCAAACTGCTCTTCCTCCTTGCCTCGCATCAATAGCAGCACAATATTTCCCGCTCGTTTTCGACCGGTTCGTCCCATACGCTGTAGCATGCGAATTGGAGATGACGACGAGTCGTAGCAGACAATGAGATCCACCTGTCCGATATCCAACCCTTCTTCGCCGATGGACGTAGCGACCAGCACATTGAAATGGCCACTGCGGAACTTTTCAATCGTCTGGATCTGCTGCGCCTGCTTCATGCCTTCGCCTCGCTTCCCAGCCGCCTGGCCAACAAAAACACTAGCCTTGACCAGCGGCTGATGCAAATTCAGCAGGCGGACAATGTCTTCCGCAGAATCTCGATATTCGCTGAACACGATGACGCGTGTCCCAGAGTCCTCACCCCGGTCCATGAAATGATTCAAGACCGCGTCAGCCAAGGCTGTTTGTTTGGGATGTCCAACGAAGCCGTCTCGTTTCATCCAGCTGGCAATCTTATTCATCATGTCTTGGAAGCTTGGGTGTTCGATCAGTTGCCGCTTGTACTTGGAGCCCTTTTGGCCCTTGTCCTCCTGATCGCTTCGAAAATCCACTAGATTGTCATAGAATGGTTTGATACCATGAAAATTTAAAAGTTTGATCGAATGTGCCAAGCTCGTGAGAACGCTGAAAATGGCGCGCATCATAAATTGAACGCCTTGGTTGACATGTTTGCCTCTTGTCGCCATCCACTCTTTTTGCGATTGCAGTAAACCAAATGTAGATATCGACATCGGAGTTTTTCCGTACCAAATATTTTGCGCACTCAGTTTATCCAACAGCGGCTTCAGTGCCTCTGAAAATAGTTCACAAACAAGATTCATCTCGTCGGAGGGGTCGAGCACGACTAGTTCAATGTTTCTGTCATGAACATATTGACGAATGTCAATCGAGTCCTCTGTACGAATTTCGCAGTGCGATATTCCAAGGTTGTCGATAATTTCTTGTACTGTTTCGATTTTCGAGCCCGGGGTAGCCGTCAAGGCGAGCACTCGAAAACTTTTTGAAAATCGTCGGATTAATTTTGCGACTTTAGCATACGCGTACTCCCCGACGGCGCGGTGAGCCTCGTCGATCACGATGAGGCAGATGCTTTTGGGGTCCGCGTATCCATGCGACAGGTCGTTGAGAAGCGTTTGTGGTGTCATGAAGAACACCCTCCTCTTCTGCCACTCCTCTTCGCGTAGAACAGGCTGAATGTCGCCTGTAAGTAACGTAGTGTCCGATCTTGGTATGCCCGCGATGCTGTAGCAAGCGTCAATTTGCTGAGCCACCAGGGGTTTTGTAGGAGCAACAAAAACAATCTTTCCCTTCTTTGTCCATCGGTAGTAATTAAGCATCACCGTCGCAGCGATGAATGTTTTTCCAAGGCCAGTGGGCAGCGCAACCAGAGTGTTGTTGAATAGACTGTTCTTCACAATGCTGAACTGGTAGTCTCGGGTTGCTCCCAAGTTCGTAGGATATACCCATGTTTCCATGGCTTGCTTATCTAGTTCATGATGGCTCGGCTCTTCCCGGGGCAAGTCGGCGCGAAAAACTCTGGTGACATTGGAATCCTGTAGTTGGCTGCTGGTGTCACCGAGCGGCTTTCCAAAGAGGGTTGTCTGTCTATAAACTCCGGACTCGGATCGCTGCAGGCCGGCGCGTGGCGCAGCCTGGATCGTATTCGCCCGAAACTGGGTCGGCGGCGGCTCGGGAGAAGAAAAGGCATCGTCGGGCAAGCCTTCTAACTCTGCTGCCACATTATGGTTCACCGAATGCTTTTTTCCGGCCGTCTGTCCATTCGAGGAAGAAGAAGACTGATTTAATCGGGCATTAGAGGACGATACCTGGTCAAAGGCGGTGTTTAAGTCCTCGTCAGCTATATCGTCGTCAAATTCATCCGAACTCATGGCAACCGTCATCGGCACGCCAGGTGGTACAACGCTTGAGTTGGAATTTTCGGTCGCTATTTCAGGCGTGCAGTACGCGTGGTTCACATGATAGCTTCGAGTTGGCGTTTGTTGTTCGGGTATGAGCTCAAAAATCGAGCGCTCATGGTCGAGTTCACCTGGAAATGCAACAGGCAATTTACGCGCCTGGTACCGCGTTCAGCAGAGTGCAACGCGAAATAAGTACCACATCACGTGATCTGAGCCGTGAACTCCGACTTCCGATTTGACCTGGTGGCAAACATTATTTGCATGCCATGACGATTATCAAGCCGAAAAAGAAAAATCCCAAAGCTACTGTTGGTTTGTCTATTTAGTGAAACATTGAATACTTCTAGTCGTCTTTGTTCTTGTATACCTATATATATATAGTTATGGCAACGACCGTGCCCTTGCAGCTTGGGTACAAAAGTGGGGCGTCAGAAAACAAACCCGCTGCGGAAAGCTAAAGTTGATTGTTGCACTTTCTTCATTTTTGTTCTCTTGTCTCTTTCATAACTACTTTGTTCCCCGGAGCAGGCGACTCTACACTCTGCTGCTCTGTTCCAGCGAATACCATATATATATCCGAAAATCCGCCTGAGACAGTTTTCTTCACCCAGCCTAAAACGCGTCGAGCCGACTCCTCGTCAACATCGCCACTTGAACCAACCCCACGAAGTTCAACGACACTCTACCCGACCACCTTCCATCAGCAGTCGGCTCACAGCCATCTTTACCCAAAAGCGCAAGTCCTTTCTCGCCTGCGGTGCGATCAGTCAGTGTCTGGCCTCCAACCGCCGAAAGTGCTGCAGCCCGTGTCGAGCCCATCTTCCTCTCTCCATCGATCAATAGCCTACGTGCACAGCCCGACCACCTCACATCTACATACAACAACTATGGCTCCACGTGGTGCTCGCAGTGGTGGCGCTCAGCCATCACGCGGGTCAAAGGCGACTTCCATGAAGTCTCAGGCTGGCTCTCGAGGTGGCATTCAAAAGAAGAGAGCCGGCACTACCAAGATTGACGGAGATGGAGATCTCGACATGGACAGCGCTGCCCGGCGGTCAGGCAGGCCTGTCGGCGTACAGTCAAGCGGTGGGCAACCAAAACCCAATACGAGATCCTCTACTACGAACCGTGGCGCTTCCAAAGTCGCACAGAACGTTCTGAAACACCTAGCCAATGGCAATATTGGTGAGACCACGTCCCGCGTCACTAGAGGGAGGACAAAGACCAGCCTGTCCTACCTCAGAGTACATGGCCTTAGGCAGAGCAAGGCCTCCAGCAACTCCGACGGTGGGGTTAAGGATCTCCTCAACTTTCTAGAGAGGAGAGCTTCTTTATTTACCACTGGACGCCAAAGACGAACCATTTTTATTAAGAAGGTATGTAATTTTATTGACCATGTTTCAGGGCGCATCGAATTTCCGCAACTACCCCGGACAGCTACTTGTTAAGCCAGGCGCTGAGCGCGACATGTGTTTTTCTCAGCACACTACAAACTACACCGACTGGATGCCCCGGAATATATCCCTGGTACTGATTACTTACTGACGTAACCCAGGCACACCTTACTGGAGAGTACCTATTCATAGGTTCCAGCAAGGAAGATGCAGAAGAAATAATCAAGCTTAACACTTTCAGCTTTGCCGGCGCAGCGTTGGAAATCGTTGAATCGACGGAGGGGCTTGGACAGCCTAACAAAGCGACGGAGTCGAAGGAAACGCAAGAGCTTCGCGCTAAATTGCAGGCGATTTTAGGCTCAAGATACTTTCAGGCAAATAAGCTGCTTAAGCTTGATGCCCTGTCTACAGATCAAGAGCTGGTCAGGCTAGGCATGTTTGAGAATGCCGAGCGAGCTCTCAAGACATTCAAGGGCTTGATGGTCATTTGTGATGACCTGTTCAAAACAGCCCAGGAGAAGCGCGACGCCATTGAAAGCATAAGCGTGGCAAGCAATGGCATTGATGATGTTACGCAGGTGGAAATTGTTGCCAACACGTTCCCTGAACTCAAAAATCTTGACATGAGCGGCAACAGGATTGCCACCATCAAGGCCATGGAGCGCTGGAAGGGCAAATTCAAGGAGCTCAAGACACTCTACATGACCGGCAACCCGGTTGAAACCGCCGATCCAAGCTACCAGACAACTCTCCTAGAATGGTTCCCCAAGCTGCAGGACATCAACGGTGTTCATCTGCGTACCGCGGCCCAGATTGCAGAGCGCGAGGAAGCTTTGAAACCTAAAGCCATTCCACAAAGCGGCCCAGACTTCAGGGACGTCAATGGGATCGGGGAAAAGTTTCTGTTGGAATTTTTTGGGGCTTACGACAACGATCGTCAAGGCCTCATTACCAGGTTGTACGACGAGGATAGCCAGTTTTCTCTGGCGGTCGACACCAACTCTGTAAGAGACGAGAGTGCGCCGACACCTTTGCCATGGTTAGCATACTTGAGGTTCTCACGGAACCTGGTCAAAATCACACATCAAAACGCCAGAGCCACGCGACTATTCAAGGGGGCGAGTGGCATCTATGACTTGTGGAAACTTTTGCCGCTGACGCAGCATCCCAACATCAAGACGGATTTGAGCAAGTACATAATGGACTGCCATCCTCTTCCGGGCCTGGTTGATCCATCCGGACAAAATCCGCTGGGGGTGGATGGCCTCATTATTACCGTGCACGGCGAATTCGATGAATATGATCAAAAGAGTGCCACGACGGGCAAGAGGAGCTTCTCGCGCACCTTTGTGCTCGGGCCCGGCCAGCCAGCCAGGGGTGGAATCCGCGTCGTCAGCGACATTCTTTCGCTCCGCGCATGGAACGCATTGCCAAACGTCTTCAACACCAACGGCACAGCAACAGCGGCCCCGGCGGCCCAGGCGCCTGATCAGCGCGCGGCCATGGTCGCTGAGCTATGCAAGCAGACTGGCATGACGCCTCAGTACTCTGAGATGTGCCTAACGCAGGTGGACTTTGTGTTTGACAGGGCGCTTGCTATTTTCAACGACAAAAAGGTTTGTACAGCTGACCCCGTTGCGGGTACATGGAATCATGACTAACTGGTTTCACAGGCGCAACTGCCACCTGAAGCTTTTGCAGCACCTGGGCATTGAGCCGCAAGCTCGGTCGCTATGCGGATTGGGAGGACTGGATGGGATTGGAAGGACACGGTTTATTCGAGGCGGGTGGTGGTTTGACTTTGTTCATGACATGATTAATTTGTTCAGCCGGTGGCATACTGTACTGTTTTGGAGAGGCAAGGCGTTTATGGACTGCTGCGTTCGATACAAGATCATCCCACTTCAACCTATCTCAGGACGTGCCATGATCAGCGTGACGAGAACCCTCCACCGTCTCGTTGACATGTATCAGATTGATCATAATTTGCGCAGATGACATTTTGCCGCCAAGCTCTCTTTTTTTTGCTTTTTCGATTGGGACGGAAGCAGGGGTTTCCTGTTGTCCGTTGTGATGCCAGAGTGGCGCAAAGTTACATGATGGGACATGGTGTACTGGGATAACTTATAGATTGCGTGAACCACCAGCTTGGCTGCACACGTGTTAAAATTAAACACTGATGCATTTACAACTTCTCCGCGTTCGTCATTAATCGTGACGTATTTTACAGCGCTGCGAACCTCCCTCTTGTCCTGCTTTTTTGTTCATGTTGGAGGTAGTGCGCCACGCGAAATCGGTTCCGGGTAGTGCGCGTGTTTCCCCATTCTCGCGAAGCCGGCAAAACCTCCCTGCCGGTTCTTGTGGCACCGCATGTACGTAGCACAGTGCCCTTTTCTTTGTTTCTTTTCTTTTCTTTTATTTCCCTTTTTTTTTTTGGTCGGCCCTCCCTTGTGCCTCTACGTGGTTATTCTCGCGGGGCGGAGAGAAGGGGGCGTATCAAGGCTGAGCAAATGCACAAACGACGAGACTAGTTATTTTTCTTTGTTCGCCATCCCTCTTTGTGGACTGTTTTTCTTCTTTTAGAGATGTTTGAACCCCCTCTCCCTCCTCGGCAGGGGAAAAAAGAAAAGAAAAACAAGCAAACAACAAGAAGAGCGTATTGTTCCATCTGCCGGGCTTCTGCAGAGTATGGAGGGCCCAAAACGCAAAAGCCGAATACTGTATCATCTTTACGACAATGGCAGGGAAACGGGATGTGGTTTGCTCCCATTCTGTGCTATTGATCTTTTACCATGGTTTTTCGTAATGGCGTGGGAAGGAGGAGGGAGGGGGTCGTTGCGCTATTGTTGGAATAGATGGCGGCAATGCAACGGCCGTTGTGCTGGCATTTCGTATTCCCGGGCAACTACATTACATATAGAGTAATAATGGGCGTCTGATAGAGGTCGGGGTTATAAATTAATTTCAGGAGCATTGTAATTTGGGGCCAACAGCCCAATGTGCCCGGGTCTAGGTCCTCTTGGCTGAATCCCAAGTCGCACCCAAATCATCAATGTGCTTCATGCAGCGGGGCGGATGCTGGTAGATCTGTGGTCGGAAGAAAAAAAAGAAGTCAAGGATCTACGGATAGTACGGATAGGAGTTATGCGAACTACTCCTTTCCATTTATCGTCTTCTTCTTCAGTTTCAGGCATAACTACTATTTGGCTTCGTTGCCGTTGGGCACTGACAGCTGTTGGCGGTCAAGTCGTATATAGGTATAGGTAGCAAGCAGGCTTCAACGCCACATGCATGTTCCCGTCCATGCAACCGCTTGCAGAAAAGAAAAGCAAGCCACGCGCTATTTATTCTTTCTTCTTCCATGAATCATACTTGCCTCTATTCTTCACCGCACTTTTGTTCGGGGGATGACTTAATGCTGAGTAAGGAACAATCCAACATCGCGTCAAGCTTCGTTGGCTCCGTAGCGAGCAGCCGTGTGTCTGGCGCGCGACCTTTTTTCATCTTTGTCGTATCAATAGTAAAGTACGCTTTTTTTAACCTTGGCGTATCAATAGCAATATACTCTTTTTTCTCTCTCGCATGTTGTGCGCCCCCAACGCGGTGCGTCCAATGTTTCAGTCCTAGCAAACGTCGGATAAGTGTTTGCTGCAGTGACGAGCAAACTCATCACATCGCACTCACGTCATCCATCTGGCCATCGTAGATCGCGCGCGACCAGCGCACGACGGTATCGCGGCTCTGAAGGAGCCGGAGATCGCCAGGTGCTGCGGATGCAAAATATAGTTGGGTAGAGTTGGGCACTGCTAGCCGCATCTTTGCTGGCTTGGATGATGATTTCAGACCGGCAGGTCTTCTGGGACCCGATCCAAATAGCTCGCTCTCACAACGAGCAACAGCCGGCCTCGGGAGTCGCTGGTCAAGGCTTCGCGGTGGTGGCCATGTGTCTTGCCGAGAACTGCGAACGTGGGCTACTGCCGTGTGATGTGGTGTGATGTGCGATGGCGGCCCGTGGCGCGGACAGTGCCGAGACGAAAAAAATTCTCAAGTCAAAGGGCAAACAAGAGCAAAAGCTGGACACTCGCTTGAACTATTGTGCAGGCGAGAGCCTGTAACGACTAGTATGTAGTATGATGAACAGCGGGCGCCAATTTCTCAAGGTGACGCGGAACCGAGATTTTGGGCTACACAGCCGCCTGCGTGGATACTCGATTGAAGACAAAATTTAAACATCTCGTGTACGATGGGAATTGAGGTCGCTCCGTTACATGGGTACACGCACTTTTTGCGAAGAGTCATTTGTATTTGATAATCGAAACGTGGAGACAAACTCGATCAATTCCAGACCCGTCTACAGCTCATGCACGTCAGCCCACGAAAAGCTTCAAAATAAGGACGGGCGTCGAGATTGGGTCTTGCTGTCCGCACACGTCCAAGCAAGTACATCCGATATAGGCAAGTGTGTTGGGACTGGTACGGGGTAGCCACGAGGTCTGTAGCCGAAAGGCTAAATCCGTTGACAATGGGAAGCAAGTCAGTGCGGGGAAAAAAGAGGCAGAGCGGAATTCGAGAATTAGAGGTTTGCTGCGCGTTTGCAGTAAACCGTGCTCGAGTGCATAGTCGGACGGTTGACGTTGGTGGTTACTTTTGAAGAGGAATATCCAGACAAACTGGGCCAGGTCCGTTTTAGCGCGTTTCATCGTGATGAGCTTTGGTGGGGGAGAGGGGGGGTGTGGATGGAGTAGTCGAGGGATGAATTTCCTTGCTTCTGGCTGGAAGAAAAGAAGATAGATGGGCGTTGAGGTTGCATGTGGCTTGTAGGTAAGAAGAGTGCTCATTTCGACAGCCTCCCAGCAGGGACGCACCCTGAATGACGCCAGTCGCAATTTCGCTTGTCGACGACACGGAAGCTTGGTCGTCGGCAGCTCGAGTTCCGACATTAATAATTAGGCAAGAGCAAAATGAAGGCGAGAGGGACATGGCCTTATTACGAAGTATTACGAATAGTGCTTGGTTGCGTCGTTGTCTCAGAGGCTTTGTCGTAGTACATATTCGAACGGATAGGGGGAGAGTCTGTATTTGCTGCAGTGCAACGGTCTTGTCCTATTCTGCTGTGCTCCTAAATGATTACGTAGGAGCAAAAGGCAACTAATTAGTAATAAACTACCTAGGAAAGCATCGTGTGCTTTTTCTTGCTGCATGTCTCTGATGCCGTCAGTTGGTATGGTCTGAGCGTTTGTGTGGACGGGAGTACAATAATAATACCAAGCACTTTTATTATACATATGCATAAACTAATGCAGGGCACAACAACTTGTCAACCCTGGCAAGTGGCTGGTGGCCAGTGTCTTGGTAACTGCCTAGGTATGTAGGTCGTTCGAGATGAAGAGGGTATCCGTAATCGCTTTATATCTTGTAGTTATCCGTAATCTGTATCCGTAATCTGTATCCGTAATCTGTACATAGTTGGACGGTGAATGCGATGACGTGCAGCATGCAACTATCCTTATACACAGGCTCACCACTAGCCGAGCATCAAGTGACAAGTTTGCAGTTTGGCGCCCGGCGTGGTTGTTGGTGGGAATTGATAATCCAATAATACTGGTGCATTGGTGCGGCGGGCGGGCCATTTTTGTGCAAGGGCATGCCTGTGCACTGGTGCACTGGGCTGGGGGGTGTTATGCAACCAGCACTATTGGCGCTACATATTGAGTGGCTGCCCGCATTCTCCAGCCCAGCGAGCAATGCCGGGGCCCAATGGCAAACCATCAAGCGTGGACAATGGAATTGTGCACAGCGCGTACTAGTTAATGCCATTTTGCATAGTCGATTCCTCGGGACGATTTGGCGCAGTTTTCTTCTGGAATGACAGATTCGTATTCATGCCTACCGAGCACACGATCTAGCTTTTTCGATTTCTTTGATCTCCGCATCTCGTGTTCAGAAGGCTGGTCATTGCCCCCCATCTACTATGCCATTGGACAATGCTCTCCGTGCCGGGTCGCTGGTAACTGGTAAGAAACCCTACTGGTGATGCATAACCCATAACCGCCTACAACGGTGCTACGAAGTATGTATTCCATTCGACGTCACTGACTGGCCAGCCACCCCCAGGGCGTCTAGGATGAGCGGGTGAGCACAGGCGAGACAGAGGCAGCCGCTATTACCCTTCACATCCAAAAACTTCACATTTTTTAATTCACCTCCCACCGCTAGTATTACATTGACCCCCCCCTCAAAAACTCGCCCCCTGAAACCCGCCACGCACATCGATGCAAGAATGGCGAAGCTTTTGCACGCGTGTAATATGCAAAAAGCTCAGTGCCGTGTACGCGCCGGTATTATTATGGCGCCACCACCGCCGCTTCCAAAGGTACCATCCTTTCAGGCTGTTGACCGGAACCTCCAACACGCCAAGTGTGCAGCCAGCGTGCAGCCCGAGATGAATGGATGGCAGGCGGCTGAGAGCAGGGGACCTGCAGGCGGTGGCCAGCTAGGGACGAGAGCCTTGTGCTCGGATCCTGATTTATTTATGCAACAACTTGAATCTGAACCCGTGCAACAACTTCAATATTTGAAATAATTGCAAAAACATCTTTCCAACTCATCGTCGACGTCGTCTTTTGGCTCCCAACCTGCCATCCGAGGCTCGCCTGGCTTCCTTCTGGTTGGCCAAACTCTCCCAGCACCACGAAAGCCTTTTTAGTGCCCCCCGCCTCAAAATCCCCTGAACAGCTCCCCGCCCCACGACATGCAGAGCAAAGCGCTCTTGGGCGCGCTGAGCGTCAGTGCCGAGCAATTCCCAATTCAACTGCTGCCCGTTGCAACCTTTTTTTCTTCGTTTCTCTTCTCTTCTTGTGCTCTACTAGTCTGTGCACTACGGTCACTCAGTATCGCACCGTTTGTTTGTGCATCCAATCGACGGCCCGGGCTTTCAGTGTCGCACTCTTCAACGTGATAGGGGCAATGATACCTCATCTGGCAGCCACCCCCCTACCAGTTACCAGCTTCCCTTCCCTCTCCCCTGCCCACTAACACCCGCAAGCTAAAATGGTACCTGCCCAACTGCCCAGCCTGGCGTGACGGCCAGGCTGTGCCAGCCCCCCAGGGTCGCCTCGTAGTGTGGAACCCCCCCAAGAGCTCCCTGCGAGCCTTCGTATTGTTAGTTCGCACCCCCCCCCAGTTGTTCTCCTGATTACCTGCTTCGCCTGCACTTTTCCTTTCTCTCCCCCGTTCCGCTGCTCCTGCTTTCTCACCTGTCCAGGTCTCTTTTTTGGCCGTTCTTTCCACCATTTGATTGCCTCGTTTCTTACATCATCGTTGAGGCTCTTCTCTTTCTCCCTTTTCCATTTATTTACATGGCCAGGAGCGTAGCTGTCATTCCAGCTCCAGCTCCAGCTCCCCGCTACCAGACTAAACGTTGGTGTTGGCTACGCACCCACTCCCTACATTCCAGCAACCGCTGCCCGCCCAAATACATGCCGTCTGGTACGAAGCACGCTTCGCGAACCCGATAGTCTTGTCTCTCGATCATAACGAGTCGCGCTTTCTCTTTCAACTTCTTTTTCTCATCTTCGAACCTCTACAATCCCGCCGCCCGGCGCGCCGCATCCTCTGTTCTGAACGGGGCAAACGAACAGGTCACTTTCTATCAAAAACAGAACAACAACAAACAAAGCTTCGACTGGTTTTCAACAAGTTTTGAATTTTATTTTTCTTATACCCAGCTGAATATTCCGCCACCACTTGTCTCGTTTTTTCATTCTCCACTTCAAAACGCGCGCCGCTTCTACGAATCCCGAAGCCTTTCCCAGTGATATCGCATCCTGCGAGCACATTCGTCCTCGTTCTCGCCCCGACTAGCATCTGCGATACGCCTCTTGAACTGCCCAATTGGTCCCGCCAAGTCATGTTATTTTGAACCGACCGCTTTGCTTGACCACGTCCAAACAACCGCCCAGGTTGAAGGGGCAAGCTATTCACAATGTCTATCCCCGGGCTTAAAGATATCTCTACGCTCGACAATGCCTGCACTGTCATTGTCGACGATACATTATACTCTTACTCGGACAAGGGATTTGGGGCGTTGCCTTTGCATGATAGTACGCAATGGAAACCCCTCAACACTGGTGTCAAGGTAACAGGACCCTCATGCACTGGCAAGAAGCTGGCCGACAAAAATGCAGCATCTCTACTAGTAGTCGGTGGCTACAGTGATGATAAGAGCTATCCCGGCTTGCAGGAATACACGTTTTCTACTGACACGTGGAAAACTCTAACGCCCCTGACGATGGACTTGCAGAACCGCCGTGGTCATAGTGTCGTCTATAACGACGCTTCTGATACCATTGTCGTTTTCTCTGGCCTCAAGTCGGATGACCCAAATGCTGTCGCGGGTGCTTCCCAAGAGACGCACAAAATCCAGATGTCAGGAGACCAACCACTTCGAGTCATGTCGGCAAACCCCCCGCGCTCTGGCAGGGCTGGTGCGGTGAAGCCTATGCTTTTCCCCTGGGCTGGTGCTGATATCGCCCTGATCTCTGGCCCCGCAGACGATGGAACTGTCTGGCTCATGAACGCAGACCCCAATAATAACGATGGGTGGAGACCGGTTGGAAGCGTTAAAGACTCATGGCCGTCGGATTCTGCCGCAGTCCGTGGCACACTGGTCGCCAGCACCAGTGACAGCTCACTCAGTCTTCTCAAATTCGACTTGAGCCGCTCACCCAATGTTGTGACGCGTATACCCTTGGCCAAGGCCCCCAACCAGGCCATGTATGGCGCTACTCCTGCGACAAAGCGCAGTGTCGATTTTGGATTCGGGAACTGGCCTGAATATAACAGCACAAACGCGCCGGATGCGACGAGAAACGGCTACTCGGTGGCCCAAGGCGCCAATGGCATGATTGTCATGTCCGGAGGCAACACCAAGGAACCTGTTGCCATTTTCAACGCCCAAAAGAACAGCTGGGTCAATGCCACCGACCTTCTTGCGGACGGCAAACAGAAGATTCTCGCCTCTTCCTCATCCACGACGACCTTGACCTCAACGACAGCGTCCTCTACGTTTGCCACTTCGATCATTACGGCCACTTCAACTACCGCAACACCCACTGAAACTGGCCCTGTTACCTCACCCGCAAAGCACGGCCCCAGCTCCAATGCCATTCTTGGCATCACCTTGGGAACTATTGCGGCATTTCTCGCCATCCTCCTTTTCATCCTGCTTCTTCTGAAGCGCCGTAAACGCCGCACGAATCCTAACCAGGGCGCTGTTCTCAACCCTGACGAGAAGGATAACATTGCGTTTGCCAAGAGCGCGCAACCTCCTGTCTCGCACGTCAACTACCGCGGCCACAATCCTACTCTCTCCACCGAATCGTATTCTTCTGTCGCCATCCTTATGGGCCGAATGGGACCCCAGAAGCAAGTTGGTGCTACCGGGAAGATGTCGCGATCGTCATCGAGAAGCTCGACCAGCTCTGTGCATAAGCAGTTCAAGAGCACCATCAGCAAGCCCATTCCCCAGCCATCGAACAACCCGATGCTGCAGGCTCACGATGACAGAGGCATCGTTTTCGACCCCACTGTCGCTGCCGAGCCCCGTCCACGCAATGTTGAGCTGACGTCGGCGCGGGATGGCACGCGGCGCAGCTCTGGATGGAACAAGTACTGGTCAGGAGGAAGCGCGCTACAAATTCTAGGCTACGGAAACAAGCGTGCGACAGTCACCTCAGAGCGTAGCTCGCGTTATTCGGAGTCCACATCGGCCAATAACAATGTCCGTGCGACTCAGGATTCCGCCACAGTGCCGCCTCTCAACTTTGAGTCCCCGCCTGAAGTGAATAGCGTCAACACCGGAAGCCCGGTTGTATCGCAATACGTCAGCAAGGTTCCGACTGAGGGCCTTGCCGGCACAATTGAGCGCCCCGTCTCGCCGCTGTCGACCGCTTCTGGCTACTCGAGCGGAGTTCCAGAGAGCATCAATGAGATGTTTAGAAACTCTAGCGAGAACAAGCCTTGGGGCCAAGACCGTGCCCCAAGCAGCATATACCAACATCGCCGAGAAGAGTCGGCGACTGCTGCACCACAGAGCTCCGGAGTGAGCCACCAACCACAACTTGCCATGGCAGCCACCTCGTCAGACATGAGCTGGCTCAACCTGGGCGACCAGAACCGTAAATAATGTTGACGTTGACTTTTTTGCCCCGGTTCGACGAAGGCATTGTCGTTCAGCATCAGGTTCGGATGACTTGGTTGGCTTATACCCCCTTTGTTTGATAGCGTTTCTCGTTCTGAGCCTGTCAGCGCGGCAGGTCTTGTGCTTTTTTGATGGTTTGAAGTGTAAGAATTCCCCAGGAAGGGACTCGAGGAAGTATATTGCATAGACTGGCGCAGCGCGAGCAAAATCGGGCTGCAACGGAGCGTCACTCTTTGGTTCTAACTCATTTTTCGCGCTATTCTTTTGTTTCTGACGCAGATGGGTGTGTCTGCTTACCTCCATGGGCGGTAAATGGCTTCATATTTTGTTGACATGGACCCCGACGACAAGGCCAGAGATTTCCGATTGGACATATCCGCCACATCACACATTTCCTCTTATCTGTCGCTTATACATTCTAGACTAGGGCCCGGGTTTGGTCCGCATTGCTCTTACTTTGATCAATCGAAGCCGTTAGCAGTTCCTGACAAATATAGTTGAGAGGTGGAAGTGGTAGTTAGGAATTTCATGGCACCATTATCAATCAACTCGAAAAGCTTGAACACTGTGAATGTCCTATCCCAATCACGATGTTAAGGTAGGGTGCGATGTGGCAATAAAACTAGGTCAATACCGCGACGCGCTGAGCACCTGAATATACACTTATGCCTAGTCACTGTCTGTTTTGCATTTGCCATGCAGGACCAAATCCTGGTCATGTCCCAAGACAAGTTCATGGACTCATTGCACACGATTGATCCACGGAACAGTAACTACTACGTACCACGTTTGAAGAGGGGAGGAATGAAAACAAGAAAATTAATATCTGCAAAACAAATTCCATATTTTTACCTTGTTGCAAGATGGAACCAAGGAAAACTGAAGGAAGTAGGAAAGGATGCACCGCTTTTTTTTTTCGAAATGGGGGGCGCGTCTCGGTGAACCAGTAGGGAAACATCAGCCGAACGCCGACCAGGCGCGCCGCGCCGCGCCGCCGCCGCTGACGGGCTTATTTTTCCTTGGTCGGGAACTGGGGTAAGTGATATACGCACAAGCCTGTTTGCGCGTTCTTTGTCACGAGACGAGGTGGCGATGCTGGCCCAGGGGGGGGGGGGGGGGATGACGGGTTGGTGATGTGAGCCTGATGTCTGGCAGTGACTTTGAGAGCACGCGCCTGATGCTGCCCCGTGCCTCTTTTATATACACGAAATAACTGAGTAATGGTACAACGAGCTCTTGTTGTTTTCTGACTGGTCAGTTTTTGTCTTTGTCTTTTGTGTGCTGCGCCACACGTCCATCGGGATACTGCTTTGTAACTAGCTAGAGGGAGTACACGCAGGATCCGTCCTTGTCACTTTGGCTGACAAGACGGCGGGTGCTCCCTTGTAGCATGGAGACTTGAAGTGTTGCGGTTCTTTCTTTTCTTCTTCTTTTGCCTGGGCTCTCGTAGAGCGCGGATGTTCGCGATCTCCTTCCAGCACCCCGGTTCGGTGCTTATTGGCAGTGCAAAAATGACATCCTTGTTCAACCTCGAGAGAGGCAACTAAAAAGAAGATGATAAATATTGGAAATAACAGTTGTGGTTGAGGGAACTCCAAAAAATAGAAGTAGTTGTGGCAGGTGAAGCAATGCGGATATATGCCCGAGAGCGGGTCAGCGACTTCTCCATGCCCATGTCAGGGTTGAGGCGGTTGAGGCTCGGCTGATGGGTCCTGATGAGGCTCTGTTAACAGGACCCAGTGAAATAGCAAAGACAATATAACACAAGAGATATATAGCATGGTGTCTTGGGCCCGGGTCTGGCGCTCGAACCAAGGCGTCAACTCTGGTCTCGGGGGATTTCTTTGCTGATAATCTAGTTTTGCTTGTATATATCCACTTGGCATGTCACTGGCAAGGCTGTCTGTTTTGACCGCATCAACGGCAAGGAATTTGCCGTCGGTCCTCGTCTAGTCGGTCTGTATTATCGTGTACCTTACCGGGGTAGGCGAAAAGACGGTCGATACAAAGAGGCTCTCGCTCCTGCAAAAGGTGTAACTGGGCGAGTGGTTGTGCCGCGGGGATGGGGGAGGACTTGGTTAAATTTGATGAGAATGGAGATAAAGGCAAGAAATTCACCCGGAATTTGGACTTGCAGGGTGCCGCCCGACGTAGCCGTGATGTTGTCGGCTGGCCGGCTAATAAACGCTTCCACCAAGAAACCCACCAAGAAACCCACCAAGCACGCTCCGACAAAGGACCCTGGTAGACGACCTAGTTATTGGCGTCTGCACAATGAGAGACAATTGTAAACCGTTCCTCTTTTCCGCCCCCTCTCCTGGGATCTAGTTACAATGTTGGTTGGTCGACAGCTGGCACCTCGCCCCAGAAAGGCAAGCCGAAGAAAGTTCCACAAAACGCCACCATTATTATGTAACGTTCTGAAGATACCCGCTCATCTCGTGCTCGGCGGGGAATTAGGAAAAAAAAAGTCGGAAAAAAAATAGTTAGGGGCCGAACGGGAAGAATGAGAAGAAGCAATGGAGAATGAAAAAAATTTGGGACCCCTATTTGCCTTTGGAGAAGGAGGAGTTCGTCGCCGCCCCCCCATCTCTCTGTTTGCGGAAGTTGCCCAGTCCAATGGATTCGGTACTGGGCCCTCTTTGTTCAGCCGAGGCGAATATGCAAGTTGCAGATGCCGGAGTGGGCTGGTCGGTCCGGCAACTTGGGTTGTGATTTTATTGGATTTTAAATCTGGAGCTCGGATATTTGTTTTTATTTTTTTTTGGATGCCGTTGTTGAGGAGTTTTAGGTAGAGTTCATCTATTTGACGCTGGAAAAGGCAATGTCAAATGTGACAGATGTGAGTTGATGCCTCCCAGAGCCGGCAGTGTACCTTTGGTAGGCAGGGTATGGAAATACTGGGAATACACTCTGACTATCTTGATCCAGTATCACATTTGGTGATGCGTTTTTTTTTTTTCCATTTTTTTTTTTAGCCTTCTGTTTCCTGCGAAGCGAGAGCCCGGATGGTGTGTGCTTGGGATGAATCTCCGCATGGAACTGGGTAGCGTGTCTTGTAAGTAACTAGGTAGGTAATTGACGTGAGCATTTCCTGCATCTCTGTGCTACGAGAGGAGAGCGCCACGCATGATGGGCTGAAGGGTGATGCTTGCCACGCTAGGCGGACGAATGACACACGTCTCTGCTTGGATTGATTTTCCGTGCTGAATGGATGCATGGATGCATGACTAGCGGGGGGTGAAGGGGGGAGGAGGGCTCGCGGCAGGGGAAGGAAGTGGTGGTTTGTGGTTTGTGGTTGTGGTGGTGGGGGTGGCTAGGAATAGCTGCTTGCTGTACAACTCGATCGAGAGCCCGTGGGGGCCAGTCGCTGCAGGTCGTCGGCGTCCAATATTCTCACTGCAACCTGCAGTTTCATGATTTGAAGAGGAACTGCAATTCCGAGAGGATAAAGTTTCAACGAAAAAAAAGCAGTGTCGTTGCCTATTGGCTGGATCTAGTCATCTTGGCGGCTGATAGGCAAATAGCAAACAGGCTAGTTTGGTACCTTTGTACCTACCTGTTAAAGCTAGCCCAGGGACGTTAGAAGGTGGAGGGTTAGTTGGGGAATCATTGGCGTGATTTTCAAGTGGTCCAGGTGGCTGAAGTGGTTCAACCTAGGTGAACGAGGAGAGGCAGTTGGTACATAGCAAGGTACGTCGGGTGCAAGCTTCTCTCTCTCTTCTCTGTGACCTCTGTGACAGCCCGCCCACCTTTGGGGAGAGCCCCGCAGAGGATCCGACATGACAAGCCTCAAGCACCGTCCAGCGTCCAGCCCCTCTGCGGTCGGTTGCGCTCGCATGGCAACAAGGTATGGACCTTGGTACTATCGTCTATCCATGATAAATGCCACTCAACTACTGGCGGCCAATGTTGGTCGTCCATCCACTTCAAGGCTAGAAATAATGAAACCCACTTGCTAGCAGGAGGAGCCAGAGTTGTTGAACTATTAGACGCCGACGACGGATGCGAGTTTGGCCCCCCTCCCAGGTCCCAGGCCCTCCTCCCACCTCCCGCACCTCCGATACAACCCGCACAGCTCTCCGACCGCCTACCTACCTGTACTAAGGTACCTAGAAAACAGTGTTAGTGCCACCTAGGTAGAATAAAGCCACCATGCACTAAAACCCGTCGCTAACAGGTACAGGCTGTTTCTGCGCCCGCCCAGTCCTTTTTGTTGCGAGTTGGTACCGGGAGTACCAATACGGGCCATCCTCCAACAAGTCTACCAACAACCAAGAAATCAAACCACCATCGCACCACTCACTGCATCCGCTTTCTCCCCAGCCTCACAGCCCTTCAGCTTCTCCATCCGACACTCTTGGGTTTTTTCTCTCTCGTCCTCTTCGCATCAGTCGCTTCCACCCCCGAATCCTCGACATTGCCAGCCCTCGATACCAAAGTCCTGTGCCCCGACTCCCCAGAAGACCCGCCAACCAAATTTCCTGCGACTGGCGCCGCCGCCGTCGCCGCTCCTCTTTTTCCGGCCGCCAAAAAAAGAACTCGCCCGGGGACGCCTAGCCATCTCGAAACCATTTCGGAACAACGAGTCACATACTGACCTGTCTACCCAATCGACTGCCCTGCGTCTGCGACATTTTTACTATCCGAGCTTCTCCTCTCGTCGACGCCGCACCGCGGCTCAAGACCTGACATTGCCTGGTTTTCACCCTCCTCCCCCAAAAAGCCCGCGCGCCGCAACACCCACGCAACCCTCAAACGCTCTCCTCCCCTCTGGGCAACGCCAACAAAAAACGCCCGCCATGATGAGTTCTGCCGCCTGGGAAGGCCAGGACCAGCACATGTCCTCGGGCCCCGACGACGAGTTCAACCAGTTCCTCGACATGACGGGCATCGGCACCATCCCCGACGCGACCGCCATGCAGTTTGACTTTCACACCTTCAACGATGCCGCCTCCGCCTCCGGGCCACAGCCCATGATGCCCGGCGCCGCCCACCAGCAGCACGCCCAGCAACAACATCACCAGCAGCAGCAGCAGCAGCAGTCCCGACAGAACCCCTCGGCCGACGCCCTCATGGCCGACTCGGACCCCTCCGCCATGATCCCCCGCAGCGACGGCCTGCTGCAGAACCACACGCCCGCCATGTCCGCCGTCTCCCACCCGTCCATCACCGCCCACATACTCGCCACCTCGGCCCCCGACTCCATCTCCAATATTGACGCCCAGATTCACTACCTCCAGCAGCAAAAATTCCACCAGCAGCAGCGCCAGCTCCACGAGCAACATGCCACATTTTACGGCCCCCACGGCCACTCGGTGCCTCCCACGCCGCAGAGCCTCGAGATGCCTCCAGGCTCGGGCCAGTTCTACTCCCAGGCCGAGCAGATGCCCCAACGGACTGCCTACGACCGCAGCTATCACCAGCGCGTGGCTGAGCAAGATGTACGTGCCTCTCTCGTCCTTGCTACTCGAAGAGATGGCCCCCAGCATGGCAGGAAGCTAACCTCGCTCACAGATGGCCTTTACCCCTCTCGTATCGCCCGCCGTCACCCCGCTAGATCCCCATTTCAACATGGACAGCGCGTTTTCTGTCCCCAATTCATATTTCAGCCCTCTGACGTCTCCTGCGCTGCATGCGCAGCCTGACGGCTCTGTCTACGATCACAGCACCAACTCCAACAACTCGCCCATTGACATGGACCTCGAGACACCGCCCGCCACACAACCAGCACCCCCCAGCCACGATCTCGCCAAAAAGGCTCGCAGAAACAACGCCGCCAAGGCTCGCTCAAAATCGGGCGTCAAGAACTCGCCCATTGCCAAGCCCCAACGGCGCAAGGTTGGCCCCAGCCCGGCCATTGTCTCCCAGGTCCTGAGCGAGGTCGACGAGAGAAGGCTGCAAAATAGCGGCGAAGCTGGCCTGCTGCCTCTGCCGGCCACGTCGACAGAGGGCTCCGAAGAGAACGCCTCGGTCTCGCCCGAAAACCTCACAGACATGCCACCGCCGCCGGTTCCCGCGCGGCGGTCCAACAGCAAGTCTCCCTATATCCAGGCGCAGAATGGCAGCGCGAACCAGGCGCCGCCGCTTTCTCTGCACGAAGAGCGCCAGCAGCCTCACCCGGCCACGCCCGCCTCGCTCATGAAGCTGGCCTCCAAGGGCAAGAAGCCGCACGCCGCACAGCTGGGCGACACGGCCACCGAACACATTGAGTCTCTGGAGCTGCCCGAGTCCGTCTCCAACCGACCGCTCGCGCCCATTGACACGCACGTTGCCTCGCAGTTTCCCGGCCACGACCAGCCTGCCTCGGCGCGCAGCACAATATTCCACCACCCTTCGCCGTCGCCGAATCTGCGCCCGCTCGGCGGCACGCCGTCCGCCAACGCGAGCCCCTCGCTCGGTCCGCGATCCGTCGGCCTGCCGGCGCGCAAAACCCCGCAACTACTGTCCCGGAATAACCGAAAACGGTCCACCGGCTCCGTGCACGTGTCGCCGGCGCTGCTCCCCCGGATATCGCCCAACATCAAGCCGCTGATTCCCGGCACGCCGGGCATGTCGGCCGAGGACACGTCGCGCCTGCTCATGTCCAAGTCGAACTACCAAAACATCCTCGAGGGCAACACGGTGCCCGGCGTCAGCTACCCGATGGAGCTGTCGACCAACCTGACGTCGAAGCGCACGTCGCACAAGATTGCCGAGCAGGGCCGCCGCAATCGCATCAACTCGGCCCTGCAGGTCATGGCGAGCCTGCTGCCCGATTCTGCGAAACCCACGTCGGAGGATGGCGAGGACGGCAAGGACGGCAAGCCGCCCGGGCCCAGCAATAGCAGCAACAGCGCCAACACGCCGAGCAGCAAGGCGAGTGTGGTGGAGAATGCCATTGTGCACATGAAGAATCTGCAAAAAGAGAATGAAGAATTGAAGAAGGAGGTGGAAGAGCTGAGAAGTAAAATGGAGGCCATGCAAAAAAGTTGATGTGCTCGGGCACTGACGCTGAATTCTTCTTTCATGGTTTCCATTTTCGCGCCTCTTTTCTTCTTTTCTTCTTTATGAGTCTCTTGGGGTCTATTTTTATGAGCGGGTTTGCATTATATACGTCGAAATTTGTCATGAGCGCGTTGTTGGATGGGGATACCCTTTTTTCCTTCTCACCATTTTTGTGGGGGGGTGGTGAACGTCGAGGGCAAGATGAGATGGTTGGCAGCGGCTCTGGTACTTCCCTTGACACTCTCTCTTCTTGGTTGATGCTGTGGACCAGTGACGAGAAGAAGGAGCTTGTTGATTCGAATACCGACTGTGGCCACTACTTGGGGATAATGGTGGTTTCGTTCTCCTTTGTCTCGCGCCGTTTTGAACCGAAAGGTTGATTTCTTGTGCTTTGGGGTTCCCTCTCTGTCGATTAATGGTGACTTGGGTGGTTTTTGGATGGGACATGGGTTTGTTTGGCAAAGCTGTCTTTTTTCATCCTTGTATACAGATGGCCTTTTTAGAGCTTCATTTTTTTTTTTTCAAACTTGTTCTCCATGTTGTTTGCAATAGTAGCAATCACTTTTCGAGGTGAAAACAAGGACATTATATATAAACAGTCTATAATATGCCTAATGTACATGATATTACTGTGTAAATGCACCTGGCGTTGGATTTTGTGATTGTTCAGTTTGTTTTTGTGGTATATGCTGCGTCTCTATTACCGCGGGAAACATCATGCGCCTTGCATGTATAATCGTTGATGCCTATATACAGATCCTCACCCCCTCCAACTTTAATCAGCTCAACTCTCGTCGCTACTCTCCCATGCCCCCGCCAAGCTTCAATTCGGGGCGGGCGGCGCGAAAGACGGGATCTCGTCCAGCTGCTCCATGACACCCACGACGAGCTGCAGGCTGTCCATGAAGGAGTTGACGGCCACGCGGAGCATGCGGTTCGTCGTGGCGCGGTAGTCGACGTGCAGCACCCGCGGGTCATCCCGCGCGACGGACAACGACCGACGGACGAGCGGCGATAGCTCCGGGTCGACGCCAATGGCCTGCAGCGCCGTCGAGGCCAGGCGCTCGGTGGGGAAGGGAACCTGCAGCTCGCTTTGTGTCCCAAGGTAAGCATATGTATGTGTACAAGTTGGGGTAGTTTAGGAGCAAATGGGATCGCAAGTTCGGATAAGAGGGCGCCGGTTCCATTCAGAAGTCATGGATTGGAATGCCGGGGATACAAAAACGTACATGGAGCAGGGAAACGCAGCGTCTGTCGCAGCCATCATGATACTTTTGAAACGACGGCGCAACTTGCTGCTGGTTGAACCTCTTTTTTCTGTCTATTTTTGGCGCGCGAGCGCTGCAAAGAATCTACTCGTACTGTTTGCTTTCCTACCCCAGGGGCGCCGAAAAATAGCGCTCGTTGTTCCAGGTTTTTGTTGTTGTGGCTACGCGGCCTCGACTGGAATGCAGGTTGAAGCACAAACCCCCCCATCCATCATCAAGTTTTTGTCCCGCCTTTCCATGGCGGGGTCTTGTTCTTTTTTTCCTGTCTCTTTTGGTTTGTAGCCACAGGTGGCTCATGCGCTGTGTGGCTCGCAGCATCGCCGTTGCCGTGGTGACCGTTTTCAGAGGACCGGCCCTCCCCGTCTCCACAACAATCACCGGTCGAGGAGGTACCAAGTCTCCGTGGGTTGGAACGTGGGAGCCGCCCACCCGCGGGTAGAGGGAACCGGGGATTGGCTGAATCCATGCGTTGCTGCATGTCAAGGAAGGATTCCTGCCCCATGGTCTTTTTTGCTCTCACAGGTAGGACAACAAGAAACGAAGCAGTACAGCAGAGGGGGGAAAACAAGTCTCAGCCACAAGTCGACCTACAATAACAAAAAGCAGTGTTGGATGGAAAAGAACCAGCCAGCATCATTCTTTTTCTCAACCTCCCCCCACGGCCAAATAGTTAGCCTGCTATATACAAGCCTACTGGGCAACTACCAGCTCAAACTCAACTGGGCATCCACTCTGGGCCCCCCTTTGGCATAAACACATTGCGCCGTTGTTTTGCGGCGAGGTAGCGTCTTGTTTCCTTCTTCCCTCTACATATCAACGGCTATTCCCAGTGTGTATTTTATTCTCACCTTGACCTCTTTACATTTCTTTTGCGGCTTGTTCTTGTTCTCTTTCATCACCGCCTCGAGGCGCCTTGCAGAGCAGCCAAGATCCACAATCGCCCAAGCTTCCCCTTGTCATCCACACTTCCCGCCTCCTCCTCTTCCTCACCCCGGAAAGCCCTGAACCAAAACAACAACATCCCCCAACAAGCAAGGCGCCCTTGTTTGCCAACTCTTCTTTTGCATCTTCTCTTTCTCTCGCAAAGCCAAAAGCAAGAGACGGCAGCTGGGCTCTTTTTTTTTTTATGTACTATTTCAGTTTACTTTTCGAAACGACGCAGCATTGTTAGCAACACAAACTCGTTGGGGGCCCTTGTCGCAAAATCACAACAAATCCTGGCTGTAGAAAAAAAAAACCTCCCGCAACACTCAATACAGCGACTGAGGCCACACAAAAGAGAGCTACATCTGCAATGGGTCCCACCGTCCGCCACTCCCAGAACCTGGGGCAGCTCATTGAGTATATACCTGGTGCGTTGCGTTTGTCTGATGCCGACGGCGAGAGCTTCGTGAATGCTGACTGCTTCCCTCCTAGACCGGCTCTACCTTGGCGCCTACATCACACCGCCCACGACCGACACCCTCTTCCCTACGCCGCCCGAATCGCCGCGGAAGCGAGCCCAACGGTCGGTCGAAGGCCGTGCCGCGCCACCGTCCAGCTCCCGCTCGCCGCCCTGCTACTTTACGATTGACGATACCCTCTTCTACAATGCCTTTCACCACGACTTTGGCCCGTTGCACATTGGTCACCTCTACCGCTTCGCCATTCGCTTTCACGATATCCTAGGTGCCAAGGAGAACAAGGATCGTCCCGTCGTCTTTTGGAGTGCTGCTGATCCCAGAAGTGAGCCCTCCCCTCGTTTGTTGTCATGTTGCTGTTCGTATCTTTTTGCTGACTTGTATCCTGTTCCCAGGCCGTGCCAATGCAGCCTGCATGCTCGCATGCTACATGGTGCTCATCCAGAACTGGCCGCCGCATCTCGCCCTCGCCCCCATTGCCCAGGTCGACCCGCCGCTGATGCCCTTCCGCGACGCCGGCTATAGTCAGGCCGACTATGGCATCACCGTCCAGGACGTCGTCTACGGCGTCTGGAAGGCCAAGGAGGAAAAGTGCATCGACCTCGACAACTTTGACCTCGACGAGTACGAGCGCTTTGAGCGTGTCGAGCACGGCGACTTCAACTGGGTCACGCCCAACTTTCTCGCCTTTGCCTCGCCCCAGCACACCCCCGTCGCCAAGATGACGGAAGACTCGGAGCTCTTCAAGCTCCTGCCCAGAGATCTCGACGCTGTCGACGCCCACGCCACCCTCCCCGCTCCCTTCAAGAATATCCTAACACACTTTGCCGAGCGCAATATTGGCCTGGTCGTGCGCCTCAACTCGCACCTCTACTCGCCCTCGTACTTTGAGGCCCTCGGCATCCAGCACATTGACATGATCTTTGACGACGGCACCTGCCCACCGCTCACCACGGTCCGCAAGTTTATCCGTCTTGCCCATGAGATGATTACCGTCAGGAAGAAGGGAATTGCCGTTCACTGCAAGGCCGGTCTAGGCCGCACAGGGTGCCTGATTGGCGCCTACCTCATCTACCGCCACGGCTACACCGCCGACGAGGTCATTTCCTTTATGCGCTTTATGCGCCCCGGCATGGTAGTCGGTCCCCAGCAGCACTGGCTGCATCTCAACCAGGGAACCTTCCGCGAGTGGTGGATCGAGGAGCGCGTCGAGCGTAGATTACGACGTGAGATGGCAGCATCGAACCCGGTACCCAGCACACCCATCCGGGCCATGCAGAAGAGCTCAATCCGCAACGGGCAATTATCCACACCCCCCAACCGCAGCCCCTCAAACCGCACGCCACTGAGCGAGGTTGAGGACCGCAGCAACCAAGCTCACAACCAGGAAGACTACTTGCCCGCACCTACCCCCGGCCAACCCAGAAAGACACGCTCAGAGCGACACCACCCGTACCACCGCTCAGGCACGACGACAATCGAGGAGGGTCAAAGTATCCAGCAGGAGACGGAGGTCGTGGCCGTGCAACGCCACTCTGCGGGCGGCGTTTCTGGTGACTCGGAAGAAGAGCTTCTCGTACGGATGCGCAGCTCCCGCAAGGCGTCCCAGTCGCCCATGCGCAGTGAGAAGTCGCCCATGCGGTGCGAAAAGTCGCGATCCGTGAGCCAGACCACGTCGACGACGACGACAATCTACATGATTGACAATGACGCATCGCAAGACGCCGAGAACATTGGCGCCGGCCGACCACCCAAGGCGGTAGAGCGCACGCAGAGCGCCTCGGCCACGCTGCCCCGCGTGCGCGCCAGCCGTCGCGGCGCCATGCCCGAGTCCCCTCTCCGCAGCAAGGACTCATCGTCAGCCGGCGTCCGCAAGACGAGTGGTCGCGTGGGCAGCGTTGGTCAGGGAACCTCTGCTGCCGCCATGGCGACCGCCCGCAAGGTGTCGGGCGCATAGAAGACGGCCCGAGCCAGACGACTCTTGTTTTGAGAAGAAGAAGAAAAAACGGCTGCGCATTTTTCAGCATCTTGGGGATATCACTCTTTATTCACGATGACGATTCACGTATTCCTTTCATTCTTTGAGCGATTCATTGCATGGCTTGGCTTTTGAAGACGGACAGTCTTTCTTTGGCGCAAGGGCGGACGAGATTTCTAACGGTCGAGCATTCATGTGGACACGTTGTCTACTATTCATCCTAACCGATTATTTTGAAGGATGAATACGGTTCTATTTGGCCGGTTGCGCGGGCATTGGGCGTTGTTGTGTTTTTTGGTTCATCATTCGGCACTTGGCATTTGGGTATTTTATCTGCGTTTGTTTTGTTTGTTTTTTGTTTGTTTTTTTGAAACGGCCGACATGGAGATTGAAGCGAGGACGGTTCTGATTTTTTTGGGAATGGCTATGAATGGATAAAGGGATGGAGGACTTTTCATTCTTTGTGGAAGAATGACAAGTTGACTCTGTTTCTCTCTCGGTGAGTGGCCTTTTCTTTCTTGTTGTTTTTTATATATCAGGGTATCACATTGGCATAAATTCAAAGTATTATTGAATATTAACAGCTCTGGCCTACGTACATGTGAAGCACCTTGGTGATGTAAACTTGTTTCAGCGTCTGTTTTTACACTGTCAAATGGCGAATCCAGGCCTACCCTGCACAGGTTGTGAATTTGTTACCCTGGTCACCTTGGTAGGCTCAAGTAGCCCACTAAATCCCTATGCAAAAAAGAAAAGCAAGGAGAAAAACAAATAGGGAAAAAGAAAAAAAGAAGCAAAATTCTACTATAGCTCGCATAAAGACGAATCAAATCAATCCACGATCTTGGCTTGGCTTGGCGATTTGCCGAGATCCAAAAGTCAAGCTAAAAACGAAGCCCAACCAATTTCAACCAAACAGAGACTGCCAATTACCACACACACACGAGAGAAGGGGTTGCAAAAAATAGTAAAAAAAAAACAATTGTATATAGAATTGCTGAATTCATACGCCGACAATTGCCAAGCAGGCCTTTTCTATGCATGAGATAGCTGGCGTAGTCGCCGTTGACATGGTAATGATCATGGTAAATAGTTATTTTCTCCTCGGCTCCGCCTCCGCCCCGAAAGAGCCTGGCTCCGCTTCGTATACATTGCTAGTAAATGACAAAAACTCGACTTCTTCAGAGCACCGGTTGGCCGTAGAGGGCGTGTACATGCCCACGACGTCCAAACGAGTCTCGTGAGAGCCCACGCCGCCTAGTAGACCTTCTTCTTCTCATCAATGGAAAACTGGCCGGGGCCGCTGTTGACGAGGAGGAGGAGACCACCGACAATGGAGAGGATCTGGAAAAAGTCGTACTTGGCAAAGTCCTTCTGGGGGTGGTGCTCGTGGAGCTGCAGCACGTTAGAAGACACGCAACAGTGGGGAGACTAGGCGCCGTCGTAGAACTTACAGTCCAAAAGTTGTTGACAAAGAGGTTGAAGATGGACAGAATGACCACAAGCAGGGTAGCGCTAAACTTGGCCTTGAAGCCGACGACAACCATGACGCAGGCGCCGGCGCCGAGGAGCGAGACGAGGACGCGCCAGATGGACCAGGAGCCGGAAAAGACGAAGCCAACAAACAGGAAGATGAGGAGGACGCGGCCGGCGAGCTGGAAATACATTTTGCGGTCCTTTTCGTCGAGCGTCGGCAGGCCGGCAAAGGCCTTGCTCTTGCGGACCCACGAGTCGGAGAGGACCATGATGAGGCCGCCAATGACGGACAGGTTGCGGAGGAAGAAGTTGAGGTCAAAGATGAGGCCGTAGCCAAGGGCCTGGGTGACGACGACAGCCATGAGGCCGGCGACGGCGTAGTCGGAGTACTTGCGGATGATGACGAGGATGGAGCAGGCGAGCATAGCGAGGACGTTGATGAGCAGGAAGAGGTGGGTGATGCCGCCGGGGACTGCAAGGGGTGTGTGTTAGTCAAAACGCTTCACCAATCTCCCGCCTCTCCATCGTGATTCATTTGTTGCAGGTCATCCAGCGGGGGAAAGAATGGGCTTACTGTGACGATAGTCGCGGAGGTAGATGAGCTGGTCGTTCCACTGGGTCATGATGCGGAGAGCATCCTCGAGAAAGGTGACGACGATGAGAAAGCGGCCAATGGCGGGGAGGTACCTATATCGAAAGAGAGACGAAAGCAATTGATTAGCCCAGATGCGTTCCCGTGTCCGTTGTCCTGACCGTTGATGGCGCGGCGCGGGCGCGCGAGCGCGGCGCAACGTGGGTTTCCAAGGGCGAAACGGGAGGGTGTGTTTTTTTTCCAAACTCACGGCTTAACGGGCTCGCTGACGGTCTCGAGGAAATCCTCGACCTTGCTCGTGTAGGGGCGGATCTGGTCGAGGATGCCCTGCTCCTCCTGCTGCTGCGAGGACGAGCCGTACGGGTTTGGGCCGCTGTTGAGGCCATAGCCGGCGGAGGAGCCGCCTCGAAGGGACATGGCGGCGGGCGGGCGGCGGCGAACGGGGGGGGGAGGGAAAGGGTTTGTTGGGGAGTTTCGTTGCTGTCGATGGAGAAAAGAGACGGACGCGCGGCGCTTCTCCCAAGCGAATTGATGGAGGCAAGTTGGGCGGATTTTTTTGGTGTTCGAGGAGTTTGGGGAAGTCGCGGGCGGAAGCTTTGGTCGTGGGTTTTAGGAACAGCTGTCCACTACTTTTTGCTTTGGCCTAACTACCTGGTTTAGGTCGAGTGCACAGTGGGTGAGCGAGAGAGCGGGGCGGGGGACGGAGCGCGGGCAGAGCGTGAGCGTCCAGGGAGAGGCTGGGGTAAGAAAAGCAAGCAGGCAAGCAACAGTGACGCGCAGCGGGCGTAGACTTATGAATAACGGCTCTGGAATTAATCATTCGCGAATTATTTGAGAGTTTTTTCAATATTACAGAGTTACGAGAATACTGGCTGCGAAGAAGTCAAATAATAGACACAAAGAGAAATACAGTGGCTGTTTGGCGTGCGCCCGCGAATCGTGAGCGATCTTGATGGGCCAGCCCAGGCCGAGCTATTTGAACAACTGTGTCCTCTCTGTACGATGGGCGGGGGGCAAGGCAAAGTAGCGGTGTCACCAAAATTGTATGAGGGCAGTACTTGACTGTACCTATGACACTAGCAGCGTTGTGGCATCATGGCACGAGCCAAGCCGAGCGCCACCAAGCTGTTTGTTGCTGGGTGCTTGCTTGTGCTGTGTACTTGAAACGATACCCGGAAATCACGCGCATGTACAGTAAGTACATGCCGCCAACTGGTCCGCAATAACGCCGTAGCCATCATCACTATTGTTCATTCTATACATGGCTTCCGGAGTCGAGTGGAAGAGTTCTGTCTACATCACGCAAAGACGCCGAGTTACACACAGAAGGGCCTGTCACTAGTTATGCAAGACAGGACGTGTGGCTTGCGCTCTCATGTCTGCCTCGTTTTGCTTCAGTAGTATCTTTTCAAGAGTTTGGCTGATGAGGTCATGATGAGATGAGAGCTTACATGGAAAGTTGAAAGTTGATCATCACTGCGCCGCATGAAAGGCGAAGAAACACAGAAGCACATTGGGTAGGGAGCGTCCATGGTGGGTGATAGATTCCTCTGATTGCCTCATATGTATGCAGATCAAAGATCTAACTATACCCGCTTACCCGCTAAGCAGCACCGCCCTTTTCTTATCAAACTAAAACAACGAACTCGGCTGCATCATAAACATCATGTCAAAACCAAAAATTCCATACTCGAGGGCTGGCAGCCAACCACAACTAGCCTACTGCTTCATCATTTCCCACAATCTGCAGCCCTCCGTAAATATCGTACTCGACCCGGCCTTCCTCCACGGCCCGCCGCATCTCCTCCCGCAACACCGTCCGCTCGCCCGTCGCCGGATCCCACTCCCAGCCCTCGCGCATCCACATCCATCGTAGATAGGCTCGGAGTTCCTTATCCGCCGGCAAGACCCTCATCCACTCTGGCTGGAACTCACCCCGCGCTCCCTTGCCGTTGTAGTCCTTGGCCCGTCCCAGGAGCACGTCTCTGCAAAAGATGCGCCAACTGTCCAGCGAGTACGGGCCCTGCGTCATGTGCCCAATCTCCCAGCCGTCCGTGGCGTCCACGCCGTCGACGACGCGGCCTACTTTGCGCGTTTCGTATCCCCGTACGGCATAGCAGACACCCGGTCGCGGCGGGTGAAACATGAACATTCGCGCGTACTTTTGCATCTTGGCGAGCCGGTTCTGACTGAGACCCAAGTGGCGAATCATGGCGACAATCTCCGCCGCATTGTCGGGGTCGGCAACGTCACGCGGTGTGGGAAAGCGCTCTCTGAGGCGCAGAAATGCCGGAATGGCGTAGTCGCCCTTTGTCTTGATGAGAAACGTGACGACGATGAGCAGCCAAAACGGCTCATGGGCCACCTGTTCCTGGATGATGCCGAATGACCCTGCGCTGAGAGGAGGGAAAGGGATGCAGGACACTGTTCCGGGACTGGGCCGGGGATTGGCAGATCGCGGCGCTCTCGATGGCGTGCTGAAGTAGGGCGACGTCCCGGCATTGGCATGAACGCTCGGCAGCTGTGTCTTGCCTGGGTCCTTTGGGTAAACGCAAGAGGGCCGACGACCAGGTGCAGGAATGTTGAGCCGCGAAATGAATGTGCTGGGAAATTCTGTCGCTCGAAATCTTTTCGGCGTAGAGAAGCCGTCGTCCGTTTCGCCGCTTTGGCACCAGTAGTGCGACGAGACAGCATCGACTTTGCGCTTGGCAGCCTTGGTCACCTTGGTCTTCTTTGGATATCTGAACAAGCAAGGATCCAGGGACAAGCTAGAGACGGCTTCTTTGGCAAGAGATTCGGCCCGCTTGATGAGACGATCGGTTTCCTCCCACGCCGTTTCGGATGGACGGGCATTCTTCTGAGTAGCTGACGGCGTTTGGATGTTGCTGCCGTGATTCCAAGCACAATCGACGTCATGGTACCATGACTCGGCCCCGGCAGTCAAGCTTTGGTCAAAAATGGCCTTGAAGTCGTGCGGCGACACATGGCGATCCTCCACGATGCCGACCAAGAATTCGTAGGCATCAGCTGGAACGTCAAACACCTGGAGGATCTGGTCCCCAAAGCGTGGCGCCATCGGAAGCGCAAATTTGGACAGAGAATCCGAGCTGATTGATGCATGCGCAAGAAGATTGTGAAGAGCGTCACGGCGATGGCGAGGCCATGGAGAGCCGAGCCGCGGATGGTGGGCTGACAGCCAGCTCAAGCTCACTTGGAGCTCACCTTTGGTTCACGGCAGCAGTGACATGTCGGGCGGCTTCATTGGCAAGTAAATGCCCTTGAACAGGGAATGCAGCGATATCGATAGCAACAGGCAATTTCACGTTGCGTAACGAGAGTTATTAGAGCTGTGGGCTGTTATGTCTCGGGTTAGGTCGGTCGCCGCGGTGTGTGAGAAGCTTGGCATCGATCTGGAGTAATTGCACTAACGTGGGCAGCGCAAACCTTGTGTGATTAGATGTTAGGGGAACTCTGGTGCTCGGGCCGCGCAGTGCACAGCACGCGGGGATTGTGTGTTTGTGGCACAGGCGGCGAGCGCGCATCCGGACATCGGTCAATGCTATTGCGATGGAGGAACGCCATTTTTTCTATTTAGTTGACATCTAACAGCCTAGTATTTTTTTGCATTCTGTCTTCTCACAACCCTCAATCTGATTTTTCCGTATTTCCCAGCGGTGACGACAGCGCCCCAGTAAACAAGGCCGCCATAAAACGAGAAAGAACAAATATCACAGCGGTCCAGAGGCCCTCCGTCAGCGCCGAAAGAAAGCACGCCACGCCGAGCGCCAACCGCTGGGAAGAAAGGAAGAACTGGATCCTGGAGCCACAGGACCGCCGCTAGCAAACCAGTGTGTGGGCGGGCAGTGGGCACCCACCACGAGAAACAAGTCGCCCCCAGAGACTCCCCCGTCCAAAAAATTGCCAGACAAACGGGTTCCTCCCTTTCAAGTCACGTGACAACATCTGGTCCTCACCACCTTTGTTCTCGCCCAGCACGGCTGCCTTGCGCTTCCCAACATCCCAATCCAACTCTCCCTCGGAGCCCGTCACCCGAATTCACGACAACCACCGTCATCACCCTCCGAAAAGAAATCATCCAAGAGATGAGTAGTCGCAGTGGGAAACTTGCCCCTGAAGTCAATCGGTCAGTCTCTCTGCGCCCGTCGCCCGTCTTTTCCTGTCGCCCTGTCGCGTCCTGGTTCTCACCACACCAGCCTGGCGCTGTGCGTCTGCCTGCATGACGTCGTCTGACACGCAGCGACCATCGACAGCATCGATGATACGAATTTTAACTGTTGCTAACTGTCTAATAGAGCTCTGTTCGTCAAGAACTTGAGGTACATTTATTTTCCGCCCGCGAACTTTTTGGTTGCCGACGTTTTCTGCCGCCTTGCGACCACGACCCATTCACGATGAAGTACTAACATGAAAATCTCGATAGCTACAACGTGACGCCGGAAGAGCTTTTCGCTCTTTTTGGAAAGTTCGGACCTATTCGACAGGTTCGACAGGGCATCGCCCCCGGAACCAAGGGAACGGCTTTTGTGGTCTATGAGGATGTCATTGATGCCAAGCAAGCCTGCGACAAGCTCAACGGCTTCAACTTTCAGAACCGCTATCTAGTTGGTAAGCCATCGCCCGACAACAATCTCTAGTCACCCTCCACGTCCACAACCCCACTATTACCTGCCCTCGCATGTCATACTAACGTTTACGCAGTACTATACCACCAGCCCGACAAGATGGCCAAGTCAAAAGAGGACCTGGAAGCACGCCGCCAATCATTAGCGAGGCTCAAGCAGCAGCATGGTATCGATTGACAATTTGACCGGTCTGCTGATGGTCTGCGAGAGAAGAAAACTTCCTCATCTGCAGGCCGGTCTCCCCCGTCTCCCAAGACACCCGCCAAGACAACTTCGTCGAATCTCAAAACCATTCCGCGAAGCGCGTCCCCGGCGACGAAGCCAACCCAACCCGAGTCCGTCAGTCCCCGCACTGTTCGCTTCGTTGAGAGCATGCGCGCCCCCGTTGCGGTTCATGCGGGAATGTAAACTCTGCCTCGCCAGCTCGATATGCCACCGCCGATACTGGACTACCTGCACCGACGACATCTCGACTGGCGCCTCGAGGCATGCAAGAGCTGAGATTGCCTGAAACGCCTACCAAGCCATACCACTCTCGACGGCAATGTCGAATCACTCGACATCTCATTCATCTTTAGACGGAGTGGTGGAATAGCACCTGTTACACTATGGAGTTTTAGGAGGATTTGGCTACTTGTTATATTATTGTGACGAAACGCTCCAGTCACGCATTTGCAACAAGGCTGCCATTATTATACTATTGTCATTATCAAGCAGCCCAAGTTGTCTTCTCTTCTCCCTTTATTCTCTATCTCTTTCCTTTTGACCCAGTTTTTGAACCTTCGCTTGGTGTACGTCTGATACTGGTCGCTGAGGCGCATTCTTTTGTTTACTATGATCCTAAACTTGCTTCCGAGAGTGGGCTAGAAGAATATATTTTGTTGCGAGTCCGTTTACCTGGTGTTATTACCTGGACCTGTGATGCGGCATGGACTCGCATGTCCAAACTAAAGAAAGCGTAGAGATGGGGTTCTCCTTTTCCATGATGCCGACAATCATGTCAAGTAATGTACTTGGCTGCGTAGACTGGCGCGATACTCTTTGTGGTGGCCGTGATATTCTCTGACGAGGTATAATCTCTGCTCATGAGTATTTTGACGTAATTTTCCCTTAGTGTGTGCACAGGTCGAATAAGAATTCAGCGGCCGCCAACGCAAAGCTTAAATTCAGCCACGCGAAATGATGACGCGCGGGCGGTCCAGTTTAAGCTTTGGCAGTAGTTATCTGATAGGAACGTGCGGTTCTCATCTCACTCGAGCAAGATAACCGACGAGCTCTGATAGGGCGAATGCTGGGTCGGGTTCCCCTTTGCACCAACGAAGGATATTCCGAGCGCCATCTGCCTTGACGGCGCACCAAAGGCCGGGGCGGGCCAACGCCGATAAGAAATGGTAGTTGCCGTGATGTCGAAGACGATCCAACCCGGCCGAGGGGCATTGATGGAAACTCGACCCAACTCATGGATTGACTTGATCAAGGCATAATCCGTTTGTTGCAATGCGCCTCATCGCCAGGCCTCGGGCCTCTGAGTGCCTCGTGGCAAGCCGACAACCAGTCCGGGTTCCAGCCGTGCCACCGGCGTCGGCCAACACCCACGGCCCATGGTGTAACCGAAAAAAGGGTCCGTCCAACGCAGCTCGGTTATCGGTAAGAGAGGGGGGGCCGCTTCACCGACATGAAGCGCAACAAGTTGGGCCAGAGCAGAGCTTTGTTGGGATGAAGGAAAGAAAAAGGCAGATGCTCAAAAAAAAAACGCCTAGGAGTCAGACTGGCCGCGAAAGGAGGCGGCCAAGCGCAAGGCGACCAGCGGCCTGTTTTGGCGGCCCATGGGCGGTGCTGGGGGTCGCATCACGGGCGCGGGGCTGTTGACGATGGGGGCAGGCCAACGTTGTGAGGTAAATCCCCGGTTGCTACTTTGGATAGTTTTTTCGGAAGAAGAAGACGGAAACAAAAAAGAAGAATAGCTCCTGAATTCTAAAACTTGTCATTCTAATTGTAGACTTGAAACGTATTTTGGCTATTTTTGTTCCCGCTTTCTGCCCCTGGGCGGTTAGCGAGCCTGGGGTACCTGGGGCAAAAAATAGGACAGTGACAACTTGGTGCAAAGCACTTTGTGCAGAGTGCTTGGGCAGCCCGCCAAGCGCGGGCGCTTACGTGCAGTGCTCTTGAACATATTTTTATGCTTTTGGTGCATTGGTACGTTGAGACGAGAATTGACGAGCAAACAGGTGCAAAGTACATGGTTACTACGATGATGTGTAATTCCATTAAAGTGAGTGAAGTGAGATATCTTATTGTGGTTAATGGCCGACATTGGCCGCAAGATGGGGTCGCAGATGGGCCAGACTATCATCACGGCTTTAACCCATTGGGAACTACGCCCGGGCTTACCAGCAATCGCCCGCATACATGTCATCGGCTATTATGCAGTTGTCTTCGTTTCAGAGTGTAAACAAGAATGAACAAGAATAGATAAAACGTCAGATTGCCCGTACCTTGCGTTAGGTCGTACTGAGGCGAAGATGCAAAACAAGAGAAGGCTGCGAATGGCGATCGCCCCCTGTCCATCAGGCTGTGGGAACGTTGTTATTTTCTTGCCCGCATCGTTCATCTATTATTGGAAGCGTTCCCAGCTGCGAATGGAGGTGTGGTGGTGCCAGGCAGGCGGGCTGCAGTCTTGCCTTGTAGGGAGCTTTGGCGAGCGACTAATACGGAAGCTTGGCAACCACCTGAGCTGAAGAGGTTATTAGGTAACTAGGGAAGCCCATGCAGGCAGGCAGGCGCCCAGGGAAGCAGTTTTGGTGATGCCAGTAGAAGCTCACCAGTTAGCGCCCATAACATCGTTCCGGACCAGGGGGGGTCCTCGAGCAGGAACCCTCGAACCCACCAACCCGCAGCCATGACGAAGAGAAGTTGCAGGGGGCCGTAGTTTGCGGTTCCCTTGTTACCGCTGTCTTCATGGGCTTCTGAACTGGGACGGTTGTTTGATTGAATGGTTCACCTAGAAGCAGAAGTCGAGTCCGCCTCACGCAAACACCAGGCAAAAAGGCAATTGTGGTTTCAATGACGTCGTTTTCGGGCGCAATGGACATGGGCAGAGGGCATCATGAGCCCGGCCGTCTTTCGAGGCCTGCGTTAGCTTCAAGGCAATGGAGAATGGGGCATCTAGCTCCCATCTCGGCGTCCAAGGTGTAACGAGCAACTCTGTACTGGAAAGCTGCCTGTTCCCCGACTTTCTTCGGTGGGTCCGGCCATAGATGCCGACAATAGACTTTGTCCGGACGGCGGAGAGAAAGGACAACGAGAGAGGCGTAGATGCGTGGGATGCAGGCCAGACAGGCCGTTCTGCTAGCCAACCCTTCTAGCGCAAGGCAAAGGCGACCCTGGGCAAAAACCCTTGGCTGGTCCCAACACAGCATTCTTTTTTTAGCGTCACCCTCGTTTTGCAGTCTCAGATGGGTTGTATGTATCCTCTGCACTGGGGATGTATGCAGGCGGTACATTGTATCAGCCTATCCGCCGCCGAGGCTGTGATGGAGCCCATCGTGGGCGCCAAACTTGCCCACACGCATCCCTGCCGCCACCGCAGGTCCCCCTCGCCTTTTAGTTGGAAAAGAGGTACGGATGGGACTGCTGGCGCTGTTCCTACTTTCTGGGTCATTGGCTCTGGAATGGGTTATGCTGCCTGCATGGCGGTTCGCCCAAGTTGGATACCACACCATCTTGGGATGGAGGTGGAGGAGGAGGAAAAGGAGGAGAGGAGGGGCACACTACTCCGTACACACACCACACTCACTGCCTTTTGCCGCCTTCACCTTGGAGCCGAATTTAACCAACCAAATTCTGTCCAACATCTATTAAAGGCGATTGATTCCTGCCTCTTCCAATGATTCAATTCTCACCACCACTCACCACTTCCTTTCCTCCTCACCTCTCCTGGCCTCTTCTCCTCGGACTTGCCGCACAACACTCTGCCGTTTGTCTGCCGCTTACTCGAGAGACAAACAATCCTCAATATCAACGCCCCCAATCCTCGACTTTGAATCACCCTTGGGCCCCCAAATCCCACAGCGCCCGTTTGTTTGCTAGATTGCATACGACCTTTCTGCGCCGATTTCCTGGTGACGGTGGCCGAGACATTCTCATCCTGCCACTTCCCGCCTGCATCACCAACTTACACCAGAACAACACCCCACCACCACCAAACCATGCCGCCCACTCTTCGCCTCTCCGTGCCCGTTGCGCACAGCAACTACGAGCTCGGCCGCGACGACTACGGGACCCCGAGCAGCAGCGAGCCCGACCTGGACTACAGCAGCAGCTCCTCGGCGAGCGGCCTCGACGACGACATCAGCAGCAGCGGCTCCGACAACAACGACCAGCAGTCGGACCAGGTGCGCTCCCCCACGCGCCTCGTCTACAACCTGGACGCGCTCCCGGAAAAGACTAAGACAACGGTCCGCGAGGCCTTTCACGAGCCCCCGGCCATGGTCGTGCAGCACTGCCGCCAGGTGGACGACACCTTTGCCTTTCAAATGTCCGAGGTCGTGACACGCTCTGTGCGCATCCGCGCGCCCTCGTCCGGCCCTGCGCGCCTGAGCTGTTCCTGCTCGCAGAACAACAAGACGGACAGCAACAGCAAGGAGCCGTGCCACCACATCTTGTGGCTCCTCGACCAGCTCGTCAAGCAGACGCTGTACGACACGGACCACGAGCAGCCGCTGACCATGACGGCCGCCGGCTACCCCGAGGAAATGGGCGATCCGTTTCGCGCCATTGCCGACCACCACCTCAACATTGTCGCCGACGGCCTGCACTGCCGCCACGTGGACGAGGGCTGCTACGACCCCAGACAGGACAACACGCACCGGATGAGAGAATCGCGCGAGCTGCTGTCTTCTATCCACGGAACGTCCCCCGATACCTTTCGACCGGATCTCTTTGACGAGCCGCTTCCCAGTCCGCCCCTGGCCAAGCCCCAGGACCTCGACCACACCATACTGCGCATGCTCGTCGACGAGGACAATCTCTTCCACTACTTTCTCACGGAAGAGTCGCGCGGCAGCACCGTGCTACAGCAGTTCCGCCTCCTGACGCACCGCATAAACGCCGTCTTCCAAGACTTTGACCAGCACAACGCCGTGACGGGCGAGCCCAAGAAGACGGGATCAAGGCACACAGTTGCCTGGGCGGCCCGCCACATCCAAGGCGTCGTCAACCTCGTGCGGTACGCCATCTGGAGCGGCACGCGACCGCTCACGGCGGCCGAAAAGACGGCGGCGGCGCGGACGCTCATCCACGTCCTCGACTGCGTCCTGAAGCGTCGCCGCGCCGACGACGCCGGCCACCTCTTCTTCCAGCGCTTCCTCGGCGGCGCGGACACCGGCTTCGTCCTGGATGAGCTGGAAATGATCCCCGAAGGCGCCCGGCTGTACCTGCGCAGCCTCGAGGCCATGGTGCACAGACTGGCCGAGCAAGAGGAGGTGATGCCGGCCTACCTGCTCCGATTCCGCAAGTTTGTTGCCCAGCTCAAGGCGAGCGGGCCGCCGCCGAGTCTGAAGCGGGAAAGCCCGAGTGATGACGACGAGGAGGAACAGGGCACATGTAAACGCAGGAGATGAAGAAGAAGAAGGAAACTACTTAATGATTGGATGGGGCATGGGTAAAAAAGAGACGCATCACACGATTGGCATATTTTGGATTTGGGCAGATTTACACTTCTTTTGTGATATATTAAGACTTTACAATTCACTTTTCACTTTTTTTCTACCTCATGAGACGGACCACATGAAATCAACATTTATTTAAACTTGATAGATTTATACTTCTTCCTTACATATTAGAAAACTTGAAACTAACCATTTTCCTTTCAAACCCCGTCTAATAATTTTTTCTACATCATGTCAACGCCATTGAGGATGCTGGCCGTATCATATGACCAATGCAAGGTCAAAGCTTGTCGTCATACGCGTCCAAGAAGGCCTCGACCGCCGCCAGACTCGGGCGGTCCGGGAAGGCCTCGTTTGCGCGCCCCGCCTCTCGACACTCAATATGGTTCCGCACCCAGCGCTCCGACTCGGCGATGCGGCGCCTCCAAAACGCGGCGGCGGCCGCGCGCACATTCTCCGGCGTCGACCCGCCCGTCGTCTCCAGCTCGCGCAGCACCAGCGTGCTGCCGGAGCGGACGACGACGCTGCTGAGCGTGGGCACGCGGCCGGCGGTGCACCAGTCGACCAGCCGGCGCAGGGCGGGCGGCGTGCGGGCGTAGGCGGGAAA